TTCCAGGGGGGGAGTTCGTTGAAAGCTTCCTTGGAGAATACATCCTGGAAGTCTCGGTAGTGCTCTGGCACCAGTTCCTCGAAGGGGCATTCTACCGGGGGGCCTTCCTGTGCATCCTGGGCCATTCGCTGAGAGGGGGTGGATGTGGCTCAGAGCTCATGGCCCCACTCTGGTGGGATCATGGCCGCATAGACTCCATCTCCGGGTTCGAGGGCGAAGTCGGGTTCCCCCTGGGTTCCCTGCTTCAGCACTGGGTTCCGGCCATAGCAGGCTGGTGGACACCGGGACAGGGTGACCCTCTGCTTGACCCAGTCTACTTCTGGGTTGTGGTGGAGGAGCCATGAATGGCCAATTATCACTGTCTGGTGGCCCAGGTTAGCAACTGCAAACCGGGCCCGCTCCGTGTGTCGGCCGAATCGGAGGAGCACTTCTACCTCCTCTGTGATGGATCCATTCTCGTTCAGGGTTCCGTCCACGTTATGGACGGGGACCGGTTGCACTAGAGGTGAAGTCTCTAGGTTGTGCTTCTGGACGAAGTCGCGTCCGATAAACATTCCAGTGGCCCCTGAGTCCAGTAGAGCAGAGGTGGTGACTGAGCGGAGTGAAGTGGTGGATGTCAGTTCCACTGAGAGGTTGAGCGAGCGGGGGGAGTGCTTAGACAGGACGTAAATTGCAGGGGCTGGGACAGCAACCTTGCATGGGGGTTCACCCCCTTCTGGCTTTCTTGGTGTGGCTTTTCTCTTTTTTGCAATTACCCGGAGCAGCTTAGATTGCATGGCCCGTCTGGGGCGGCTGCGGTATTTACAGGTGGGTACATTGCTCTCATCACGCAACCGGGGCACACTCTTCACCGGTCGCCCTCTAGAAAATCCCCTGTTGGATCTTCTTCCGCTTCCTCTGGTTCTGGGGGAGGGGCCTCCACTGCGTGATGGCCTCTCAGCGAGTCAATGATCGCTCAAAGGTCCTCTGGGGCCAGCCGGGATGGGGTTCTGGGGCTTTCTTCTTGGAAGGCCCCACGGATCTGGTGAGGTCTCGGCCTTGGGCAGTCGCGGGCTATGTGCCCCGGTTGGTTACAGTTGAAACAGAGCCCACTGCGTCTCTGCTCAGTGCGGGGGGAGCGTGTGCGGTCCAGATCCATTGCCTGAGGGTCTGGCTTTGGGGTTGCAGCAGGAGCAGTGGTGGATGGTGCCAGGGGAGGGGTGGAGCGAGAGAGGAATGGGGAGGGTTTTGCTGCGATGGTGCGAGGCTGGGTGGCTTGGAAACGTCGCCACTGGTTGTCGAGGACGGAGGCCTCACGCTTCCATTCGGCCCAGGTTGCAGGCATCAGGCGGAGGCGGTAGATGCTCTCTCGGAGGCGTGGGTGGAGGGCCTGCTCAAAACGGTCCACAAGGGCAACATCTCCCATCCGTGACACAGGTCCGTGGAGTTCAAACTGCTGGATCAGTTTGTCCACCGACTCGCTGCCTTGCCGAAGTGAGGCCAGCTTCTGCCGAGCTGTGGCCTGGCGGTTGGGGTCAGCAAACATGGAGTCTAGTTCTTGGGCAAAGTCATCGAAAGCGATCCTTGGGGAACCGGGGGCAAGGAGGGAGTTGATGCGCTGGGTAGCCCATGGGCCAGCAGCACCTCCCTTCATGTACGACAGGACGAACAGAACTTGGCTGTGTTCATCTGGGAACTCGGCATGGTGCATGCTCATGTAGAGCCTGCATTCTGCCTTGAAGCGGTCCAGGTCATCTTGCGACCCAGAGAAGGGAGTGGGGGTAGCTACTTTGGGTGGCTTGCGAGTCGGAGCAGCAGCAGCAGCAGGGGGGGGGGGCAGGCTGCCTTTGGGTAGCCAGCTGGGTCTGGAGGTCTTGGAGCTGGCAGGTCAGCTCTAGTATCTGTTCTTCTAGCGACATCAGGGGGTGTGGAAGTAGGTTGAACCCTTCTTCTGCTGTCAGGGCCCGGCCTCCGTCCGGGGGCGGCCCTACCTCAAAGCTGGACACTCACGGTGTCCCAGGCAGCCAGGTGCTGGATCCTATCCCAAGCTCCTCAAACTCACTAAGTGGGGATTGAGTTGTCATGTATTATGGAAGGTAGCTACAACTTGCCTAAGCGGGGATTGAGTTGAGAAGAAGGGTAAGTTTCCCTATTCCCCGCTTGGCTGCTATAAAAGGAAATGTACTGTACAGTTTGTAGCGTGACTATGGGTAGAAGCCGAGCATGTTCCCGCGATGCGGAAAAGGTGTCACATGGGTTAAGGCGAGTTGCTCGCCTTGACCCACATGATTTTTCCCACGGGTTCGCATGCGGGCTGTAGTTGTGAAAGATGGGAGGATGAGGGAAGTGGGGGGAGGTTAGGGAAGGTGGTTCTGGGGTTGTATGGTCAGGTGTGGTTGCCCTGACACAACCTTGCGATGTCAGTATTCAACGCACACTCAAGCTTGCAATAAAGCATTCACAGCAAACCACTGTGGTATGTGAAGTTTATTCTCAATTACAGCGAGGTGTTGGACCATGCAGTATCGTCCTTGACACAAAGCTTGGAACACTAAGGGACCAAGTCCCTGCTACTCTGGTTGATGCATACCATTCAATCAATAACCCGAGTCGAATCCAAAAGGTAATTTACACCTTCTCATATGCCATAACCATAACTAATAAGTATTGGCATGTAGGCCTTTGAATTGTGCCGTTCGGGTGAATTTAATCTATCGCAACCCAGCCTCACTTCTCCTCCACTCCATACCATCCTCGACAATCTCCCACAACAAGATGCCACTCTAGCCCAAGCAATAGCTGTGCCGTGCCAGCATCCTTCCAACAACAACCTTATCCATTCCAGCTCTGCTACAGTACCATTCGAAGCTGAATTCTCTTGCACTATAGAGGATGATGTAGAGGTAATGTTAGAAGAGGTTTATGATCATCTTGATGGAAGACCTTTACCTGATGGCCTTGCCGAGGTGGATGGCCAGCAAAAAATTGTTATGCTCCTGAGTGCTCCAGAGTATGGGGAGCACTGGGAGAATCAGGAGGAGATTGGCCAGTCCAGGAACAGCTCATTTCCTCCAGAGTTGGTCAGGTACTCCAGGGCACTCCCAGGAGGGCATGGAGCATTGCTTTGTGCACAAACATATCCAGTAAATACAATTTAATGCTTCAAAATGTATAGGGGTGAGAAGCTTCTGGGAGCTCCTGGAGCATTTGAAAATGAAAAGGAAAGACTCCCCATGAATACCTCCTACCACAAGACTAACACAACAAGACACTACTTAACATTTAGATCAAACACTATACTATACATCAAGGACACTGAGACTCACCAATACACAGTCAAAATTTATGGCCTGATACATGATTAATCTGGCAACTTAATCACTTTCGGACTTGCAGAATATGGAGGAGGGGGAAATGGGGGGGAATGAGGGGGGAAATGAGGGGGGAAATGAGGAGGAGAATGAGGGGGAAATGAGGGGGAGAATGAGGGGGAGAATGAGGGGGGAATATAGAGGGAAATGAGGAAAATTTGAAAAATAGGGACTTCTAAAAATAATTAGGGAAAAAATCAAAAAAATTCAGGAACTGTAGTGCCTTTGAAGTGCTTTCAGGATATATAATTATTTGCAAAATTGAGGAAGAAATGATGGAGAAAAATGGAAAATACTTTCGGAGACCCAAGAAATAATGAGAACTGAATTGATGGGAAAGTCTGAAAATTGAATAGGAAAGTGAGGGGAAGCCTTGTAGCATTGTTATTTTCTGCTGTTCTAATTTTTCCTGATTCTTCTTGGTCTCATTCCCAGCTGCTCCTGGATACTCCTGGAAGCTCCTGGAAGCTCCTGGGAGGGTCCAGGAGCAGCTAATGGAAAATACTTTTGGGGACCCAAGAAATAATGAGAACTGAATTGATGGGAAAGTCTGAAAATTGAATAGGAAAGTGAGGGGAAGCCTTGTAGCATTGTTATTTTCTGCTGTTGTGATTTTTCCCGATTCTTCTTGGTCTCATTCCCAGCTGCTCCTCAATACTCCTGGAAGCTCCTGAAAGCTCCTGGGAGGGTCCAGGAGCAGCTGGGAGTGAGACCAAGAACAATCAGGAAAAATCACAACAGCAGAAAATAACAATGCTACAAGGCTTCCCCTCACTTTCCTATTCAATTTTCAGACTTTCCCATCAATTCAGTTCTCATTACTTCTCAGGTCTCCGAAAGTATTTTCCATTTTTCTCCATCATTTCTTCCTCAATTTCACAAATAATTATATGTCCTGAAAGCACTTTAAAGGCACTATAGTTCCTGAATTTTTTTGATTTTTTTCCCTAATTTTTTTTTTCAACTTTTTAGAGACCAAAATTTTCCTCCCACTGCTCCTGGCACATTGCATACTCCTCACCACTCCCAGCTGCTCCTGAACCCCCTCCCAGGAGAACACTATTGGCTCCAGGAGTGCCCAATCTGCTGTTTTGTCTCCCACATGCTCCAGCCACTCCTGATGCTCCGGAGCATAACAGACTTTTGCTGATGCGTGGCCTTCAATCAGGTGTGACTGCTGCTGAAGAGGAAGATGTGGAGTCTATTGGGGAACTTGCTATTGCAGCGGAGTATCTAGTTGACAGCGATGAGTTAGGACGAGGTAAATGGGTTAAGTGAACAAGAAATCTGGACAAAGAGATGGTGAGGTACCGCTTTTAGCAATATAGATACTAATTTAGGAAAAATTTGAATATAATTTTGCACAGCCACTGGAATCCGCCCAAATAGCGTGACACCGGACTTTTGAACCGCTATACTCGTGTGACGCGTGACAAATTTTCAAAAAGTACCGGACCGGCTGCCCTGCGTGACGCATGACCGGTTGTTGGTTGTGTCAGTACAGTATTCACGAAATGAACTGAAAAAAAATTAGAAATAGGTTCATGCTGGGACAGGCGAAAGGAAACAAGGGCTGTGCAGAGTCAAGCGAAGCGCAAAGCGCAAGCACTCTAGTTAAAGTACAAAGAGTTGCTAAAAGCCCGAGCGAGATTATTTGCTATCAAATTCAGATCTTTTGCCTGACTGCTGGGCGAGTGTTTTACATGTAGATATCTATAATTCTATGGCATATCATGTACAATCCCCTTTAATGGACCTCGGGTGATTAACCACTGAAGCATAGGTCTTAGGAACAACCCCGGATGAACATGCGATTAGTTGAACAAGACTCACTTCTTGAGTAGGGAGACCTCGAACGAATTCAAGTCGGACCTGCATCGGTGAGGACTGAATAAGTTATGTGTTCATCGAGGAGGAAGAAGAGACCATCTTACAGCACCATCTCTAACTGCTAAGACCAGCCCCGTCCCAGGCACGGTAAATCTTTCCAAAAACCAAAAAATGAAGACTGTGAGAGACGTGTTGCCGAAAAAACATACATATATGTGCCACTCTGCACTTGCTTCAATTCCCAGTGTTCACCGCAATCTGGATTCTCCATAGTGATAGTTTCGAGATCTATTGCATCAGAGAGGCCAGGGCCGGCGGCGGTGGGGGTAGAGGGATAACGTTCCATAAACATGACGGTTTGTCCATGTCGCGTCGGTAACTCATACCCGAGGACGTATCGGGTCCCATGATAATTCCATAACAAGCGGAAGACTTGCCGACGTTTTGATCCTGAGCTAGATTCCGGTTTGAAGCTCATCGCTGTGACGACCATAGCAAGTAATCTTCGGCTGAGGCTAAGACATTTTTCGGTCTTTATGATTGGCTCGATTGTCCGGCACTGGGAGTGACAGAAGAAGATGGGGAGAAAACAACGTCATTGTGCCAAATTGGGTGGGTGATGATGTCGGTAGAAAAACGCGATTGAGTGCATTAATAAGATAAGATGATTTTTGATGCGAACCTCCCAATCAGAGCTTGGCCGAACCATGGCACCGGCTCCATCCCGAAGCTTGTTGGCGAACCCAAGCTGGTGTCCTTTCTCAATATTCGTAAGCGTGACATTTCTAAGCGTCGTTCCATCCAGTTAAGCATCGGCGTTATTGACAGAAATCGCTGGCACGTACTCGCGCTGAAGTAACTCAAACGCTTCCACACCGTGTTGCCTCTTCAAATGAAGTTGGGCTTGACGCCGTTTTAGATCGAGAAGCTTTATGTCACTCTCATCTTGAGGGTCATATCTCATCCATGTACTGGTGATGAACGATGCAGGGGATGATCTGTAAGTGTATTGATCAGTTTTAGAAGTGTCGATGGGCGAAGCCACAGCGGCCGACTTCGGCGTGTCTCTGATCTTCTCAAACGTCCACTACAGTGAGGCAAAGGTGAAGGCAGAAGGTGTGAAAGTGTGGGGAGACAAGGATCGGCAAGAAAAAGGGAAGGCACGGATAATTGAATGAACCCTTCCGAAGACTCTATGCTATAGGTTTTATTCACCTTCTGTAGATCCGTGATTTCTGCGACTTTTTGGAGATCCCACTGATTGCGGCGCGGATCGCGAGGATCCTGTTAGGAAAGGGTGGCTTCGATGTAGCGAGGGAAGACGTACAGTGCTTCCCCCTCGCTTTCCACAGAGGATCCGGCCATCACGGAGACCGATACTGCTCGAGGAACAGTAATCAGTGAAGGGGGGCTTAGGCAGGTTGGGGGTTGACCAGATGGCCTGAGATTTACCTGTACTTGTGGCCATCATGGCAAGTCAATCTCCAGTCGTCGAACACATGTCCTTCCTCAACTGGATGTGGAGCAGGAGGGATGTGCTGAAGATCCCAGCAAAATTCGACACAGAAACTCACAGAACATAAATTCATGGGATAGTCCGTCGATTCGGGAGGGGAAAGCAACCCTCGGCCGCTGGTTGAACGAATCGAGCACCGATATTTTGTAGCCCTCCGAATGGGGACTATACTGAATGCTAATCTGGAGGGACCTCAGCTTAGAAGTCCGGAACGGACGTGACGAGAATACCTCTAGCTGGAATTTAGAGTCGCTCAAAAGGCCCTTTGATAGAGTGATTTCTGACTCGATAATGCACTGGGCAATTGTCCCCATGCTGACGGCTAACACGAGAGTCTGCTGGCGAACATTCCTAATGATGTACTGAGAGGTGGATACGTTAAAGAAGATTCCGACCATAGACACAGGATCACTCACGGTGTCATCAGGAAGCACAGGCATTCTTCGCGTTTAATGATACCTCAGGTGATTTTGATCGTTTCTGAGCGTAGACCAGGAAACTTGGGTAGCCGTAAAACAAGAACAAGTTGGGGGACACTGGTTGGGCCGCAGCGCCACTAAAAATAACTGGGCACCGGGGCAGAACTTGAAATGGCGCGAAATGCCATTGGACCTAACGCAATGGTTGACCCCAGGAACGAATATGCGGTATCTATGATTACAAAACTCTATTGAACTCCCATCAAGATTTGCAAGGTTGAATGGTTTAGGGAAACTACTCGCTACGACGTCGGGACCGGAAGACGGGACTGGTGGTGGTTGTAAAATCGTGGGGTGCCTGCGATGCGGTGTTTCCTTGGGAGCACGCATTACATTTGTGTGATCCCACATCAACGAACGTTTATCGGAAGGGGGGTGGGAAGAATATAGACCAAGCCTCGTGATTTGCAAGCTTGTGCCACCCCCAATGCATTTCTTGAACTGTCAGTGTGTGCATGAGGTAGTGTGTGATGTTTCAGAGGTGCTTGCCCTCATGAGTGGTGGGCTCGGCCTAGGTCCAGAACCATGATCCAGCCATATTTATTAATTTAGTACAATTAGTATCGGTGGCTTTCTGCACGACACTGCAATTGATAATCAATCCAATCATAAGCCACCTCCAAACTTGTATCTCTCCATAGATTTCACCCTCCCCCTGTCTCCGCCATATCACTCGTTTTGAATGCAACTTCCCGTTCCCCCGTTCTGATTCCGTCTCACTTCCCTCAGACTTCCACTTCACTTCCGTTGCCATTCGCACAACTGCCATGATGGTGGCTTTCGGCTCTCTAAGTCTTCACTAGAAGATCTTGCATGTGAGACCCGAGCGCGCGCATTAGTCCATAAGGCATTATCATTTACCCAAGATGAGGGCTTGCAGCCAAGGATGATACAGCATAGACTCAGGGGATTCCAAGGCCCCATCCCACGAACCCAACCACTGAACGGAAGCGGTGCAAATGACACTAGATCTCAGATAATCACTATTACCAAGAGAGGGAGTAATAGAGTACATAGATACTTTACTGGTTCCAAAGGCGCATTTACAAGTCCACTTCTCAGAGCTACTTCAGCAACAGACGAATACAGGCACCAAGGACAGTTCGTGGTATTCTAGACAATTCGGATCACAAATGAAGTCCTAGGGAGTATGAGAAATGCCTGGCAAGCTTCAGTGCATCGGTGGCAAAGTGAGAGTGTCCGAACGCCCGCAAACATTCATCCAAAGCTGTGCTCGTGCCAAAAAAGCTTGGCCAATCAGGGGCCAGCAAATCTCGTGGGTAAGTGTGAAGTATCGCAGCCCTGACAAGCGCCCGGCACCCCGGCCATATCATCGGGAACTCCGCAGAGGTCTCGGTCGTGCGCGCCTGATCCTATACGCATCTTCCCAAAAAGTTTATCAAGAGGCTCGCAAGAGTCGTCGTTGCTCGTTTTGATGATAATTCGACGGATCTGAGGGAATTGCGCTGTGAGGACAGCCGCGAACCGAGCAGGTATTGGATGCTGGAGTGGATTTCCCTCCCCGCTATCGATTTCTGTGCCATCCGAGCGGCGAATTGTGGACCCCAACTCGGGTTCAATGAGCATTTCAACGCCATTATGTGTTGCACTCAAAGATGAGCCCCGGGCCAAGCAGTCCATTGACGAATCCTGGGGGGTGTTCACACTGCGTCTAGGCTGTGCCAATTCATTCCCCTGAGTCCTGGTTCCGTTTGAATATTCACCGCTTCTGAAATGATTTGAGATATCGAGTGGATTGAGACGGGATCTAGTGCCAGAACTCTGCAGGTTGCCTCTAAGCCATTCGAGCACGAAACTCAGGTCAACAACGACAACTGACCGGATGCTCCCATGTGAAAGTGTCACGTCCACGACGGCCACGGCCACCAGTAAAACAATTCTATAAATGACTATAAATTTGGGAATGACTATGGTAGGGTTTGAGTACTCACATCGGAGCTGGAACTGATGTTCATGAGGGAGTTTCCTTGAAGCGGAAAATTTTTGGATCGAGCCGAAGCTCTAGTCGCCTTATTATACGGGCCATCTGCTTGAAGCGCCCATATGCACTGCGCGCGGGAAAAGATGTACCCGCAGGAACACATGGGAACGCTATACGAATCCCTTTCCCCTATCTCTGTATCAGGGTTCCCATCTGATCAGCTGCCGCGCAATATTTGGGCATCATCCGCAGTACCACATGGATACGGTTGTATGTAAAGTCGCAGGGAAGCTCATTCCGCACCAAGTGATCTTCACAGCTTCACAGAGGCCGCCAGCGCGCAAAAAGGACGCAAAAAGGCGCGCGGATGAATTAAGGTGTACAGCCATGGGTCAACATTCCGCGGGGGCGAGCGCCGAGCGCCTACTGACAGCAGGCCGTGCGGATAGACCTTCAAGGTAGTGATTAAGAGCGTCGAGGCGCGTTCGATCCGCGCGGAGGACAACAACCAGTATATCAGAAGTTCAGCTCCGACTCCTGGGTTCGCTCCCTCTGAGTCAGTAACAGACAAAGAACTAACGACGCCAACAGAGAAACTTGCTGCGAGACTGTGAACTTCATTCACACAAAACCAAAAAATGCCCGGGTGCTTCACCTGTGCAGACCGAAAGAAGGTAAGCGAGCGTCTCCGATTCATTGCGGCTAGTGGACCCAATAACATTTGCCCATACCCGTATAGCGCTGTCCTCGCGAGTACGACAGTGAAGGAAATTGTGTGGAATGTTCCCGACTTCGCTTGAGATGTATTAGGGATGAAGATGGAAAAAATATGGTGGGCCTTGCCCAACTTCTGCCTATCATTGTAGCTCATGCAATGATGTGCCCAATAATAGAGTCTACCAGAGCTTACAGATTTCCGACAAGAGAGGCTCAGGGCGACCAAAGAATCCAGAAGCGCCCATAGTAGGAGTGCGTTGGAAGTACAAAAGCCATCATCCACAGTCACATCACTTCCGAATCATGTACGTGGTGTGGGGCCCACGAATTCTCTCAATGCCAGTGGTATAGCCGCCCACCAGCAGAATGCAGGAGAGCAAACGCTTCCTAGAGACATATCCGAGGCTTCACGCTACACTGTAATACAAGGCCATGAATCATTGGATGACATCTTTGACGAATGGAGTTTTGGCCCCACGGGGAATGCCGGGCCTGGAGTTAGCCGCGTGCCCCAGCACCAGATCACACGTCCCCAACATGAATCTGATGAGTTTCTCAACTCAGCCATGAATCCTTCACTATTCCCCCCAGCATTTGAATATGATGGGGATCACGACTACCCCCAGTGGCCTGGATTTATTGTGGCCGGTGGCCCGAACGCAAGCAGCACGGATGTGTTTTCTGCCAGCGGTCCGGGTATCGAGTTCCTGCCTGATGGAGCACAGGCCACATTCCCAGATTTGGGACCCCCCTCTGGCCCTACGTGGGCCCAATGGGGTCGGATCACGGATTCTAGGACCTCGGCTATCCCGAGCCGCCCCCCACCACGTCGCTCACGAAACTTGAATCCCGCCGACTCTAACCGACATGTAGCGTCGGGAAATCGTCCCGGCTTGGCGTATGAGAGCGCTGGTAGGCCGTTCAATGAATCTACCTCATCCATGAACAGAGGCTCCTCTTTTGTGGGTGGTATGCCGGTTGCCACTACCTCCGGCCTTCAAAACATCCCAACATCCCAGTTGATGCCACCGCCTCCCACGGACGATCCCGAGGGTGAGTTGAATCGTTTCCAGAGGTATATCTGGTCCAACATCCCCGGTGTCGCTCGTATCGTGATCGAGGTGGAAGGTGACGATGGAGTGACGAGGGGCCTTGAGGCCCTGTTCGAACGTGCTAGTGCCGTTGGTCCCGTCGCAATCGACGCCGTGCCTGTCAAGCGTCGTCGTCGTCGTCATCCCCCTCCATCGTAATGGAGTCAACTCTCTCTCCTGTCGGCAATCTCTTGCCGCACACACGAAGCATTCCCTTTCGAGGACTCTGCCTCCATCTTTCGTGCGATCTGGACGCTCTTTTTCCTACATTCTTTCGTTTTACCTTACGAATAGAGAATATTGGTTGTCTATGGTTGTTTCCGGCCCGTGTTTTGGGTTGACCGCTTACACATGACTAGCTACATCATTGTGCAAGTGCGAGACAGGAGCTCAAAGTGTGTGCACGCTGGATTGGTCCCCGAGAAACGGGGAACGGGGACCGCATGTTATCCCTTGCTCGCATCACGATCCATCATCTGGCGTTGGGAGGGGACTTGTGCAAGGCACAGTATACAAGGTACGCTTGCTACTAACAAAAATACCCCCACGTAGCTATGGAAGCTAGATTGCGAGGCAACTGGGGCAGCACAATCGTCATTCGAGCTCAAAGCGTCGGCTGCTCTCCTCGTGTATACTCAATTGTTGGCGCCACTGGATTGTGCCCTCTATCCCACCACTGGAAACGACCACAATCAGCAGGCATGACAAGCCCTGCCGGCCTAAGAAGAAAAACAGATAGCGCGGAATGACACAACATAAGAATGGATGGATTAGTGTATGATTGGTGAACCGTCCTTTCAACCTGCTGCACAGTACAACCGTAAGATGTGACCGGACATATCAAGCAATCAGCATCCAGTGCAGACAGAAAAGATTTCAGTGCATTTACTACGAGCGTCACCAGGCAGGAGAAAAGGGGAGATGCGGGAGAACAATGACTATCGAGACTGACACGTATCCACCAACTCCCGAAGATCCAGCTCAGAATCGAGGCTGTGCGAATATTGCGGTATTCACTTCAACACCGCTAACTGCCACTGCTCTCATGGTTGAGTAGATCACGAAGGTCTTCGCCACCCTGCACATTACCCTCGAGTTCGAAAACCAGGCGGAATACTCCAGGAAGCGCAAATATGATATGTCGTTGGAACCGAGTGAGATCCACTGATGGATCGTCTGTCGTAGGAGGGTCGACCAAAGGGTGACGTTGTCTCCCAAACTGTTCTTGTTGGAGTGTTGCAGTTCGCCCCGCTCCAAAAGCATTTCCGGGACTGGCGGGGTCTGGCATATTCCAAGGGGTCGCGGGTCCCAGACTCGCCGCTGGAGAGGGAGCTATCGGCGGAAAATCGTGATTGTGGCCTTGGCCTTGACGGTGCCCAACAGAACCTGTGCAAAGATAAGGGAAAAGTAGGATACTGTTTAGAAACGTATCAACATTGATTGTCGGAGAGCGTACCGAGCAAAGAACCGTGTACTCCTGCAGCCACGTCCATCGACTCGAACCACTCAGACCCTTGTCCTGCAAGGTTGGACCTGGCCAAATTATTCCAAGTGGCGTTACTTTCGCTCATGCCATCTGGCTGATGCAGATAGTCTTGAGATCCTTGGCCTCGTAGCAGAGGTTCCATCGCAACTGCTGTCACTGGGATAGGTTGCATGTTCAATTCGGCGTACGTCTGTAGCAAGGGATGCGGAGGAGCGCACGCGGGGCCAGTCGCTCCAGCGCTCTGTGGTATGCCGACAGCAGCCGGTGCTATCTGTGGCTTCTCCCAAGCAGCAGTCTGGGCCGGCCTGCGATCCAGAGATAATCCGGGAGAATTCGAAGCTGTTAGGGAACATCAAGAACGGAGCATACATGGGACGATTCAAGCTGAACTGACAGTGAGTTCTTGGGCGTCGACCCTGTGAGTTGCTTTGCCGGTGAGCCCGTGCGCCATTCTAAAATGGTGTGTGTGTTGGGGGGGGGGGTTGTTCATCAGCTCGTTATGGAGACCGGTGACAATCTGGGAGTTATCTACCGATTGTTCCAAGAAGATACAAGTAAGGTTGAGTCGTGCGCATTCGGCGCACTTACCGCGGTGGGACCTGCCCCCGCAATACTACGAGAAAAAGGTCTCAGAGAGTGATCCACTCAGAGTCAGAAAACCCGCCTTACTTTACGTCGATGCTTACAACTCGAGCATCGCGCCATCCACGTTCTTATAGATTTATCTGTGCATCGGGTTCAGTTATGCTCATGGACATGGGGAAGGAAGCGGAAAGTATACGGTACTCACGGTATGTGATTAGTAAATGTGGGGTGACGGTATGGATCAGGTAGAGTGAACATCTGGAGCTCCAATCTGACCGACTTTTATACTCTTCAGTTGGCAATATTGAGATGTAACAAAAAATTCATATTGCGCGCCATCTGAATAGTGAGATATTCAAATATTGTAACGCGCGGGGGGGGGGGGGAAGAGAACAGCAAGTTGCTGTAGCTTTCCAACGAGGCCAGAGAGTGGGATCAAGCATGGCGACTGCGCAGTCATCAAATGGCGAAATTATTCCTCAGCATTGACGTTTCTCTCATGTTCGCGCCCAGCTCTATTTCAAAAATTTAATTGCGCGCGCTCGCGGACCCTCGTGACGTCTTCAACGAGGCTCAATGCACCTAATCACACGTAAAAATGGCCAAATTATATTACTTAATAAGCGCGCCTTCACAACGCCGTGCGCAGCTCTTCGTTGCTGCAAGCAGGATGACATTAGTCGCAGCGGGCGATACATCCGTTATTCAACTTCAACCGCAAGGCCGAAATTGCCGATCCTATGATAGAGCTATCTGCCGGCTCGGGCTAGTGTAGTAGCTTATCTCGAACTTTCAATGGACCTTGCAGGTTCACTTGTTGTTCGTGAGACATGCCCTTCCTCGCCTCCGAACCCACATCGGATGTTCATCGGCGCCACTCGAAGCCGGGCGAGGTGAAATGGAGAAATTGTGATGGCCTTAATTCACCCTCTTAGAGAAACAAGAAGTCCCTCATTCATTCTCCTATGTATAGTCTCACGTGGTCTGGCCCTACGCCCAGCCTAGCTCTCTACACTTCATAAAGACGCACGTTTTAAATAGCTGGGATCGGCAACTCCACACATATTGCGCGTGAAATATCGGGCCTCACGCAGCCCTCGTCATCAAAATTGCATTCCACATCACTGTACACACTACACATCCGACAGGACTAATGTTGTCTCGGGATGCCAAACAACAAATAGCCAGCGAATACGGAGACATCGTTGTCCACAAATCTTCAAAAGCGAACCTACTCTGAACAAAAATCAGTTTTGAGCACGCCCCTTTCCCTTTCCTGAGTCTTCTTGTGAAATGGCACCATCCGAGTCATTGGACGTATGCATGCTAGTTCTAGCGGAATCACCGTCAAACTCAAGGACCAACCGAAAGCAGCCTGGGACGGCGTAAAGTATATGCCGCTGGAATCCAACCGGATCAACATATACTGGTGGCTGTCGAGAGGACGAAGTGCGTGTACTGGTATCGGCGAGTCCAGGAGCCTGATTAGCCGATGTGTCCTGTCTTGCAGTGCTCGCATATCCTCCAACTATCGGATCGCCAGTCACTTGAGGCCCGGCAAAAGAGGGGCGTGGCCTCGCCGATTGTTCATGCTGGAGCGGTCTCAAAAGGTAGTCAGGACGGGCCGGATGTAGCGTGTTTCTGTACGCGGGCTCGAGGCTGGGCGAGTCATGCGGGGGGACCAACTGTGGGAAATCGTGTGCCTGGCCTTGATCTGGAAAGAGTTCGCCGGAGTCTATGTAGAGATCAGGGAAATTAAGGAAGCGCCTCAAGATTGCGAAACGAACGTACTGAAAAAGGAGGCCCCGGTTAGTTTGTGCCATTCCAACCCCAGTTCAGTGAAGTCGAAATTGGCCGAATCGCCCGAAGTGGCGAACGAGTGATTGCCATGACTGCCCACGTCGTTCGGTCTTTGCATCGCGGGCGGCAGCTGAGATGAATCTCGTGAATACACAAGTTTTGGGGCTTGCCAAGCCAACGTATTTTGCTCTGGAGCGTTCGATGGAAAGTTTTGTGGAAAGTTTCGTTGTGAAGATGGACTTGCTTGGATGAGGGCTCCAGTAAAGTCAAAGAAATGTGAGAGGTGTGACGTATAATGAGTCCTCGCGAATAAACGTACCCTGCCCTGATACTATGGCTGTCTCCGTGGGCGAGAAATTAGTCTCTTGGACATAAGAGTCCCCTACTAGAAAGGATTATAAAACCGGGCCCAGGAATTGTGGATTGGATTGCAGGAACTGACCGGTTTCTGTTCCTACGATTAGGTGAGGTGAGTTCATCGAACCGGCGATGAGTGCGGGAGTTAGCTGTTCTGTCTGCGTGGTACTGGTGATTTCACTGGAAAATTGACATGGTTGTCTTAGACGTGAGCATCGGGCGCAGCCGGATTGCTGGATCTTGCCCGAGCAATGCTGAGAGAGAGAGAGTGTGTGTGTGTGTGTGAACAGATATTAATGCATCAACAGCATCTTACCTGGTGACTGCTCCGACACTGAGAGCACCGAGACGGTGACTTACGATGTATCTTTCTCGAAGGGCCCATCAGAATTGGGGTGTTAAATCCACGCGCCCAGAGGGCGCAAGAAGAGTTATCCCTGCTCAGGGATTGACGGAAGAACGGGTTTGAGAGAGGCCTAGGTTCAAAAGAATATTGCTTATATACTTAAATCTGGGACTGTTGGGTAGCACGCCATTCATGGAATAGACGCGCCGCGGTACGGGGAAAGGGGAATGGCTGGTGAAACGTTGCTGCAAGGCCACACGCAGGCTACAACGTGTGAGCCTCATATCTCATGACGGCGGGTCTCATTTGTTACCCCGCGGTCAGTCATTGGCCGCGCGGCTCTAGGCTTCAAGTTGAACAGGTGTCTGAAATTGGCCAAGCCAGCAGTACTTTCCACAAAGTCAGATACGTACGTACAAGCTGCGATATATGATTCGAAATTGAACCACATTGTTACAGGCCGTTTTGGAGCACGTCAGAGTACATCACCGCGCTGTAGCTTTCGGCTTTTCCATACATCAGCGCCGTCAAAAAAAAACAGCGCGCGGATGAATGACCCACGTGGGTCTCGTGATTGTCCGAAAATGGTAGGGAATCAGGGGTGTCAATACATCGCCCTTTTAGCGCTCCGTGTGCCGGGGGCTTGAGTGTGGTCGGTCACGCGTCTCAGTAAGGCGGTCAGGGTAGTGCCTTTGTGGGTTGTGGATGGTATGTACAGGACGCTTGAGGTGTTTGCCCATTGTGATTGGTAAGGTAGCGTCTACTTTAGTAGAGGCTGGGATCCTGCCTAAAGGTAGCGGTGAACGTGGTTGAGGGCCTAATCTCCAATTTTGGCGGTCACTGGGACACGATGACGGGTGCTCATTTTCATCGATCAGATAAGTTGTTTCCCGATATATCCATTGAAATTGGATGCGCTGTTTTTTTTGACGGCGGCTAATGATGCGCGCGCCGCGCTTTGACTTACCTCGAGTTTGCAGCCTGGGAGGGGAAGCCGCATGCAGCACCTAAAAACCGCTCACTTATATACGCCTCGTGCTGACCCTCGATCTGGAACACTCCGTCATTCATGGCATAATCTGTAGCGGTGTCTTGTCCGGCTAGAAATATTTCCAGCGAACCTGCCCCAAGATCCCGCCTCATTTTTTTCCACCGTCCACAGAAACCATGCCAAAGGATGGGTCTGATTGGATCCCATTCACCTTAGCCGAGGGTCTTATGTATGCAACTCTCAATGGATGTAGACTTAATTCTGACTCGCGTTTTCTTGACAGTGTATCTCGCTCCAACCAATCGGCGTTCGCGATTCGTGGAGCGTGTCCGCGCACTTTATATATAGTAGATGTATCATTTTTTTCGAGGCCGCGCCATGTATGAAGCAACTCGACTCCCCTACGGAGTTACTTCCAAGGCTCTCCTTGTAACGCCTGCACGAGGCAAAAGAGGGCTCTTCGATACAATTTCAACGTTTGGGCATAGCATGCGATTCGCCCAGCTTATCCAACCATAGTCAGCATCATTTTTACATGTTAAACCCTTTGCTTTGTCCCCAGTTCATTCCCGTCACGCACAATAGCAGTATCCAAGAACAATGGCATTCGTTGTATCGTTGTTGCTTGGTGCAGAGCAGTATTGTGACGAGGACTGTAGTCTCAGGCTGGTAATCAAAAAACAAGGCCACAAAGACCCTCTCGCGAGCCGGTTAGATCTAGGACGATGATTGTCCACATTACCTTCTCATAGGCGTTGGCCGGTTTGTACCGCGTGCTTGCAACGAGGAGGACTCGCGCCACTGTGTATGCCGCGCGATCGATGTTGTTCTATTCAGTTGTGATTAATTGAGGCCCCTGGGTGAAAGGAACAAAGAAAAACGGGGTGAATGATGCGAAACAGGTCATATTGTGCGCGCGCAGCACGTATCTCACCAAAGCAGGATACATTGTTCAGCGTATAAAAGCAAATCAAACTCATGTCCCCTCGTACTCCCTAGTTCCCCAAACAGGTCACCTTGTCGGAATAATGCTACACCCAGTGAAACGCGAGGTGTGTGTCGCGTCATTTTCCCTCGATGCTAAACGAGTGACTTCCAGCTTTGCCCAAAGAACAGCTGTGCGGCATGCAGAAAGTGCAGGAAGCGCTGCTCACTTGAGTCGGAAGCCATCACAAAGTGTCAACGTCGTACAAGTGAATTATCGACAAACCTTTGGCCTCCGGCTCACTGTGCCTTCCCGGCTCACTGTACCTTCCCGGATGGCCTTGGGCGCGCTCGGGCAAATGCGCGTACTAGAAAACGGCTCCGGGTGCTGGATCTTGGAGTACCAAGGAATTGTAAGTAACATGCAAAATATCTGCGCAGTAATCTGATTATACTGGGGCGCGTATCACTGACCATCGTTCAATCCGGTCGGAAACTTAGCCCGTGCACGGGACCGTCGGTCGCTCCCTCGCAACGACGTTTGTCAGCTGCAGGAGGGAAACAACGCAGACCACCCGAACGATGCCGATGCCGATGGCACCATTGAAATGGACGCCGTATCCGCAGGTACCACCAAACCCGGTCTTCCATGTTCCAGTTATTCTTTAAACGACGATCGACCAGGAATCTCCCAAGAGGATCACGCCCAACCCATGCCATCTTATGCCGGAATCGAACTAATCGTTGATCACACCACCCGTGATGACTCCTCCGGTTCAACGATACGCAAGGAAAACTTTCATTGCACGTTAAATTCCCCCAATCACACACTCTCCACGCGCCTCCTCCAAGATCCAATCACAATGCAATATCTTTCTGCCTTCGCTGCTCGATATCCCAACCTCCGTAGAATCGTGATCAAGACGGACAGCGTTCCTCTTGAAACTCCACCGTGTGGTCGCCCACAGGAGGACCCTGTCCTCCAAACCAGTGATTACCAATTTAGCCGCAACTTGCGGAGTGGTAATGCGGCTTTCGTCTCGAGTCGGCTCTAGCTGACTTGTGTTACGACTGTAATTCTGTAAGTGTCAGTGATGGGGCTTTAGCGGACGCCCATGGCCGCTACCCATTTTCCTTCAACGATGTTTGCTACTGTAAATATCCCCTGCCTGGCTGCAGGGTAGCTAGCGGTGTAACGTTCCACGATCATATCTATTGAACTTCGGTTGGTGCCTTCATTAGGGTAGAGATCGAGCGGCCGATACCAATCTAGCAAATCCATTGTAAAATGGAAATGTGGTCAGCGCAGACAGTGTACAAACACATGGGAGGGCATTCATCAGCATCGGCGAGAAGCGTATATTAAGACCTCTGTACTTGTGTGGGTGAAGGAAGGGGCACCGTAGCGGAATTGAGGGAAAAGGATGGATGAAATGACCTGAGGCTCTCAATTTTATGCCGTAATGCGAGGAATCCGAAAACCGTGGCCACATTCTACCACTGTTGAAATGGTACCCTAGGTGGTAGTCTGGGTCATTGGTCCCACGGGCCCTTCTCTGGGTCATAGCATTCGAATTCAGGAATGATACGCAAACACCCGAAATGCAAAAAGAACATAACGCCAGGTCGAACAGGACCAGGACCCGCCAATTCTGGGCTGCGATTAGTGTGGTTGTTGAAAAGGTGAAGCTCCTGTAGTGGGACAAGCAGATTCAGGAACCGACACACCCTGCCTCAGGATGCTGGAAGTGGAGAGGAGCTGTGACCTTGCTTCAGGCCATGAATAAGCCGGATGAGCTGCGATGAAATCAAGGAAACGCGAGCTGCTTCGAAACGGATTGACTGACTGTGAACAGACGGGCTGTTCCATGAACTTCCTCCAGTATTGGCTCCGAAGGATGGGCCACGCCACGAGACATGATGTGCCGATGCTGGAAGATGACCAGCTGTGTGCTCTACATATTTGCGATACGCAAAGACAAGCTCCCCGCTTCTGGTTCATTCATAACACTGGCGTCTAAAGGCAGGCATGTGTAGTGTAGGGAACAATGGAGATTGATTTGCTGACCGGGGCGGGCGCTGGGCATTTCTCCTACAAACCCACCACCCAGCCTATACGTGCGCACAGGGCTGCTTGCGTCCAGTAAAAATGGGAGCAAAGTCTTATTCGAATGGCTGCTCTTGCGGCCCTGGCATTGAATGGCTCCTCACTGATGCCGGACTGGGCCCCCCTGAAAAACCCATGGGTAGCTAACACACACTTGGTGGAATATGAGTATGCACAGCCTCGTCCAAAAGGATACCGAGAGTCACGTCTACATTGTGCAGGATCCGGTCGCAGCAAATTATTGTGCATCCGGAGGAGGGGCGTCCTCGAGGGGAATTGCAGAGTTATGGAGGCTTTGCAGTGTCACAAGGGAAGAGGTCATGGTGTGTAGTTTCGTGGTCGAGCGCCGTCAACAAGGGAACATGACGTTAGGCAGGCCACTAGCCCTTATGAGTCTTAGGGATGCTATGGCCAGGTTCAGAGCCTGACCGAATGAGTCACAAAGCGCGAGCACGGCAACAGGTCGGCTCATATTCTGGTATGTTGAAGGAGGACTGCTCAGTATTGAACCACGCTCCATGACCAATTCAGTTCGGCTCCGAACCGACCTCCCAGTCATGCGAGAGTTAGACGAGTTGCGCGGGACCCTGATGCACGCAGCAGGATTCGGGGCTGTCGACCATGAGCTGACACGGGCTTCACATTTGAAGTTGATTCGTCGACTGATGCTGTGACTATTGTTGAGAGCAAGTTCGCACAGTTTCGCGAACCACCCTCCGCGGCTTCGCCACGCACGTCCAAGAAATGCTCTAAGTCGCAATGAACCAAACCTCTAACTAGCGAGATCATCAGGGTAAGCATCTACGGCTGACAATTGCTTCCGCGCGCAGCGCTTGGCACAATTTCAGCTTTGCACAATGTGGGCAGACTCTTGCCCAGTTTGTCGTCGCTCGTGGAGCCGCGAAGGGGCAATTTCAAAATCTTACGAAGTTGGGTTTGTATTGAAAGTCACAGTCACGTTTACATAATACATGACTGCTCGCCGTATAACTGGGGAACAAGCGGCAGATCCCGCTACTCTTACCTCGCATGTATGTTCACTCTCAACGTTGCTATTGGCTAAAACGAACCCCGAGATTCGCTCTCGCTCGGTAAATCCACCACATACTCTGATTGCAGGAACACTGCAGCCATGCAACGAGCGGAATAGAACTGTATGAGGCAGAGAATGGACCCTGGGTTTGGGGTCATACAGGACAATTGAGTTTGGGAGAAAAAAAAACGCAGAACCCGCTACGGAGTAGCGGGAATTAAACAAACGCACATCCACGTGCGGTCAACCATTACCTTTTCCCCAGGCATAGATGCTGTCCCACCTATCCGGAGTTTTGAAACTCACCGTCATGCATTTCAGCGCTCAGCTTGGCTGAGTGGTACTCGAATACCGTATGCTGATCAGTGGCCAGGCACCATGATGTAAGAAAAGAACGGATCCAGATGCGATCCGAAAGAATGTTGCACGCCGTCAGCGAAGTTTCCCGATTGCCCGTTGCTTTCCATCTGCTTTTTTTATTCCAAATTTCAGATCCTGATGAACGCCATTTGACTTGGCTGAGTACAGTCGTTCCCTTCTCCAGTGGGCGTTCCAGATGCACAACCACCCGCATCAGATTTTGTCTTCTGCCAGATGATGCCATGGAAGTCTTTCACAACGAAAATACCCTCCCTCGTTACCATTACTCATCGAGGGAATAACTTCTGAATATTTCATTTTTGGGTCATGTCGGGTCATCCTGTGCTTGTTGACAACGTACTATTTTCCACGCATCTTCTTACATGCTCACTGGGAATAGCCCCCCGCCAGTCCTAGGCTGTACCTCCTGCACCTGTTTGAAGACGGTTCCTAGTTAATGTGGCGGTGTCATGGCTGTGCTCACTGAGTTGCCGCGCTGTCACATCGCCTGTGGATTGGGCAGGTGCCCCGTTCCTTGCAGACCCGGAATGGGCCTTGTCTAGGCACCAAGATTGTGGTTCTCTGATAGACGCCTGGTTGGCCTGTAAGCAACACGAGTTTCCGCATAAAAATTTGAACTTCCTTTTCCACTTCCTTTGGCAGTGCCCCCTCACTCTACCCAAGATGTGGCTCCGAGTGTGGCCAAAAGCGCCGGCGCTCATGCACGTTACGACCTACACTTCACAAATATCGGCACCCCAACACTGTCTTCTAACCCTACAAAGGGAAAATCAATCGCGTCCACTTCTTCGACACCTCGATAATCCAATTCTGATATAGTGTCCTCCCTCTTCCTCTTTTTTTAATCCAGGTTGCTGGATTCTATTCTAATAGAGGCTGGAGTCCTGCCTATTGCTGGATAACAAGTCGTGACGGATGCTATTGATCTGTATTTACATGTATTTACATCGACAATTACATCGCAAGAGTCTACAGCCATCCCACTGATGCTTCAACGCAAGTTGGAAGCCTTCTCGGTAACGCAGCACTTACCGAGTGGTAGTTTAGCAACGGACGTAACTGAGAAATTAAGTATCGTTGAGCCTACGTTAAGCGACTTCTGAGTTTACAGAATTTAACAACAACGGAAACCTAAATCGGGTGCCTCAGTGGTTCTCCCACTTGTTTGACACATGCAGCTGATGCGATCTAAAGGAGTGTTACGCACTTCGTCAAAGAAGTTTCTCACCTCCGCTGTTTGGATTTGGTTTCTCGGATTCCGGCGGGAAGCGCGTTTTTCTGCGGGGCTCCAGTATCCGAATTTCTGCGCATCGTTACCGTCGCGACTGGGGAAAGAAATTCTCCATCATTCCAATCTCATTTTTTCCTGCTGCGAACGAGGACTATACAAGTTATAGAAGTGGTTAGTAGAGGCGACCGACACCAGGAGTACCAGTGACGAAGGTTAACCGACACTGCACTGCTGGGTCTCCATACTTTTGCCTGGCAATCCTTCGCTTGCTATGATTTAAAAGGATGCCCGAGAAGCACACAGGGTCCATTTTTCTGAATCAAGCGACTTGTTGACATTACCACTCCGAGAAATAATGGCTCATTCTCACCCCTTGGCTAACAGGGGTCATCCTGCGTTTATTGATGGTGAACTGCTCGCTGCGCGCCTTCTCGGAACCGGTGACTTTTCCCTAGAGCGTTTCTGCAGGCCATTGCAAATAGCGGGACATTCCGGCGCCTACCAAACTAAAGTTTACACGTAGAACGCCACCCTATTGGTGTACAGCACATTCTGCTGTCGCACATCGGTGACGGGTTCATCTGTATTTGTATCGAATATTGCGATGAGACGCCTGCTTTCCGATTAGTTTCCGATTCGACTACCCTTCACACCATCGTTCTCAGATTGTGTGTTTGCCCTTTGGAGGCAACCTGCACCCTACCGAACCTAGCAGGTTATGCTTCCTGCATCCACTTCGCAAATAGATCCAGTCAAAATCGCGCGGTAGTCGTGCGGCCATGGCTGTGTTCACCCAATTGCCACATCCCTTATGCTTATGCACCGCCTAGTTGGGTGGCTGTTGCACGGGACCAGCTGAATGGGATTCATTCCGTGCAGATAAGAATATACCTTTATTTAGATACCCAGATCGTGGTATTTTTGATTGGCGCGCAGTGGACTTGTGAGGTTTCCACATAAAAGCCCAAACATTCTTTTCCACCTCCCGGGCAGCGCTTCTGTCGACCACGATGTGGCATCTCGTTGGCAATATCTTTTTCATTGCTGGTTTCATCATCCAGCTGAACGCCTACTTGTCCCCCGTTCCCTGGCTCAAACATAATCCAGACGACTCTTTACTCAAATTTATTCGTAAGCTAGAGTCCATTTTGACAAGCGTCACTGTGTCATCAACCCCCCAACAGCTTATGAAGAGCCTTCCGGTTATGTTCCCCCGAACGCCTGTCAACCTGGGACATTCACCAACTCTAGTACCCGCTTCGTCAACACGTCTGAACCTCTTCCGCGAGGCGAACCGCTGATGAGATTCAGACGCTCTACCTTCCTGAATGAGGGCACAGTGAAACGTGCCTCCAACACCGCGAACTATTCCCAAGCAACAATTTGGATAGGGCCTCTTGGTATGGGATTCGATCCTTGTCGATTATAACATTCCAATTAATCCCTACTCCTGACTTCAAGGTTCGTGCAATCGCGATCTTGACGGGAGGGTGTACTGTACGAAGCCATCCTACTCAAACCCCCAGTACAGTAAGCATCAATATTCAGTATTGTATGGGGAACGAGCGTTTACAAAGCAACACAGACCTGACCCACGTACAGGATAACAGCGTGTTTTTCTCAGCAATAATGTCAGATGTGAGTCCATTGACGATGTGTATCAAATCGACCCACTAAAACGGCCGCGGGACCTCAGGTGATCCATCGGCGCGTAATTTTGGCTACGATTGTTCTCAACGGCATCGGCTGCGCGATCTACTTGTTCACTTCCCTTCTATGTTTGTGCACGAGTCCCTCTGGGGATGATCCAGCAGGAGGTGCAATCGCCCTCCTCCTAATACTGGGGATAGCCGAATTCTTCATGAATTTCGCGATCTCTGTCACGGACATCGGTGAATATAACTCGATCGATAATTTCTATGACCCTTCCCCATGTGGAACGCGTAGGCCATTGAAGGCCGGTATCCTGCTCAAAGCTGCCGCTGGTAAAATGTATAATATGATTTGGGTGCGTAGACCTCTAGCTTCATAACACAATGTAATGACTCGAATCCTGCAGGTTGGCTGGTGTCTCATGTTCCTCGTTGCCCTTTTTTTCCTTGCCATGACAATGGCTTCTCGTTCCCGTTAAATGAGGACCACGTACGGAAGGGCAGTGGAGGGAAGGTGGGATAAGAAAACAGTTCCGCTCCAGCAGAAATTCCTGGAGTTGAAGTACAATTCCAGCTTGCTGCATCATTCTACCTATGCTTTTTTTGGAAGATCCTCTCTCTTGGGCTGTTTATGTTCACTGTCATGACTTCTTCAGACTTTCCCAGATTCCCGCGTGTAGCAGTAGAACCAGTGTGATTCCCAATTACATATAATTGTTTTTTCACGGATGTGGAGGCACACCACGCAAGTCAGCAGGCAGCGTACGGACAGCGTTAATACCAATAATATCTTGTGCGTTCTTTGCAGCTTTGCGCTCCAATACCATTCATGCGTAGCCAGCTAATGGATGTGGACGTGCGCCCATGATGCATGGCTGCCACTGACGTAGATTACATATGGAGCACTTGAAGCCTTGAGTGATTGTCACAATTGGCGCATCGTGGATAACACCCGCCTAATAAACAAGGTCAGGATTTGGGTGACCTCGCTTCTGTTGCGACTGCAACATAGCATCAAGAATAGCGTGTTGTCGCAACATGAGCAGTATGTTGTCAGGCTACTAGGGGACCGATCGAAGGGTTCGAATAAATCCAGAACAAGCCATGGGGGTGACGGAGCTATCCGCTCCGACAATGCTGCTAAACAACAAACAAGTAACAAATCGTTTGGTAAGGGTAAGAAAGATGAAGCGTGACCAGGGGAATACAAGTAGGGGTGCAGAAGATGAGACACACAAGTGGTTCGTGACGTTCTGTGATGGCCGGAGGGCCTCTCCGTCAGTACGGTCCCAATGAGACTGACCATGGTCTATGATCACCACCACCACTGTTCTCTAAGATGGATGGGGCGTGGAGGTGCACAACGGCCTGAGTAGCGCCATCGTTGGTATTCTCCCAATGTGGTGGACCGGAGGGGTCGAAGATAATTTGAGGTCCACCATCGCTATCCACCGGTGAGAGCGGGCCATGGAAGTCATCTCCTCCATTAATATTCTCCCAATGATGATTGCTATGATGGTCGGCAGTGATTTGAGGACCGTCGCCGCCATTTCCCAGGATGGGCCCGCTGTAGAGGTCCAAGACAAATTGCCCACCACCTCCAATAGTATTCTCCCAATGGGGTTGGTCATGGTCTATGATGATTCCGGAGCCATCGCCACTGCTCTCCAGTATAGGCGGGCCCTGAGGGCCTACACTCTCAGTATTGTCCCAATGGAGTTGGCTATGACGGTCTATCATAGTTCCAGGGCCACCGCCATCATTTCCCAGCGTGAGAGTGGGCGGGGTCCAAGAGTTCCAAACGGCTTGACTGCCCTCTCCGTCTTCAAGAACGATGTCAAACGGTACTTTCACTTGGTTATGAATATGGCGGTCGAATCGGTTTAGATGCGCCATCACATGTTCTGTATCTGTATTCTGCGGGGTCCCCAAAAAGCTGTTTAGGGTCATGGGCGGCTTATGGGCGACCGAAGACTGTTCAGGCAATGAAGTCTTCACTATGGCCTCGGGGTCGTTATATGTGGGCGTCCCAGGGTGGGTCCCAAACGTGTTGGGGTGTTGAGCTTTATATTGAGGAGCAATGATTTAAGTGATCAAGGTCAGATGCTCGCATCATGCGAAGAAAACATACTTCTGAGGCAGCTCGGTCGCGTAAAACCTTCTCCCTGCAGTCCCTTCCAAGAAGAGTCCTGGATTGTGGAGGAGCTCTGGACCGCAGAAGACGATGAAGCATATGATGTGGCATAGGCGGGTCGACTGTATGCTTCTCCAACATGTGCCGGGGAGGTAGGGTTATAGGATCGAGCGGGGCTACGGCAGGGCTCGACGGAATCTGAAGGGATCATAGAGATTAGATGAGTCCTTCACGTTTCCACGTCATGTGAAAGGACGTACTTCCTCTGAAAGATTTCGGCCACGCATCGTGAGTCGGCTCTTCCAGATCAAGGGGTTGCACCCCACTAGCATAGAGTGCCGCCGCCAGCAACTCGCGGCGTTTCGCCTCAGTATCGAGTGACGCCATCACAAACTTGCGACGTTCTGCCTCATCGTAGCATGCCAGAGACTCTAGGCGTTCCAGGCAGTACAGTCCACGATCGAGTGAATCGAGGCGCTCTGGCTCATCTTTGATCTTAGCGAGGCACATCTCCGCGTCCCAACGCTGCAAAAAGGACAATACAGATTGAGGATTTTCCGCGGCCTTCGTTATCAAGGAACGATAATAGTTTATCTCTCCAAAAACCCGATACTTCCTCGCCAGACAGTTCTCACGAACAATAGAGTACGGGTTTGGTTCGATGCGGGAGGTATGTCGAGCGAGTGGAGGGGTTGCACCATAAGGTGAAGGGCTTGTAGCGATGAACGTATGGCAGGTCTGGTGCGTTTCGTTTGTCGCTGAAGAAAATTCAGGAACTTAGATTCAGAGATATGCGGATTGACTAACTGGAATTCTCTGGTGATGTTTCTTTGGGAAGTGTACAATCAAGCTCGCACCGCTTGCAACGCGAGCATGGATTAGTCCCCTCACAAAACTGCTACCAGGGTTTTAATCAATAACGAGTAATGGATAAGAACGCCTTACGCTGTGAGCCTTCCTGCAAGTGTCGCAAACCAGCTTCTTCACTTTCCTCGTTCCGTTGGATCCATCGTCAGCTGGCTCCAAGGTTAGCCGTGCATGCTTGGCTGGGTCGTGCTACTCACTGTGGAGCACGTGGGGCACCAAGTGGGTGGGATCGGAGGCCATGAAGAGGGGATGCGTGGGGGAAGATGTGCGTGTATATATACGACATTAAATATCCTCAGGCTGGAGGCTAATTCTGATTTGGTAATGATGAAGAATTCACTGGCCGCGGGGATGTGAAGCACCCTCGATTCTAATCAATGGGGCAAATGAATTGACTGCACCAAACGGCGCGCGCCGGGCCCTGCTCCCTTGCACCCCCCGCGGCGCGGGGGCGCCAATCAATGAAAATACCGGCGGCTATCATTTTTGCGTGTGACTGAGATGTTATCTGCACCCTCGATCCTCTATACTATATATAATCAATCCGGCGAAAGAGCACTCGTGAAATTGTCCCCCACTTTTATAATGTTCTTGCTTAACTTGTGCGCGCCAGAACGAAAGGTATGATCATACCTTGTTCCTTTGTCAAGATCTTCGTCTACCTATGTAGAACCGTAGGTCTGTCCAGCCCTCGGCTGTTTGGAGTGTAGCCTCTTGAAGAAAGGTAGATCGTACTCAATCACCACCACCATCAGCTTACCACATGTCTAACCAGGATGTACTCGCGTTGATTCGACATTGCTGGCTCACGAAGATCAGCTCCAGATGCAGATGGCTCGGGTTACGATAAATGGTGAGCGACGTGTGAATGAGTCCAGTAACCAAATACATGTGACCGGGGTTGCAGAACCGAATAATGGTTGTGAACATCTCGACCCTACGCCCACAATCGAAGGCTCGACCTCTCGACCTCCCAAGCATTGCTCCAAATCCCTATCTAACGGAGGAATGGTGGATGCCATATCCTCGAACGGTAGCTCGGTATGCGCAACGCCGAGCCCTCCTTCTCCCTTGATGGAACATCGCAGGATCGAGTTGAAAGTTGTTCACGCTACCCCTGACACGCAAGATAGATGGGGACAGAAGGGAGGGCATTCTCGGAACTCGTTGGGTGCTGTCGATACCGCACTCTCCGAGCTGCTCCTTCAAGACCCAGTCACCATACAATTCCTTTCGGATTTCGCTTCCCGTTACCCCAACCTCCGCAGAATCACAGTCAGAATGGGTAGACATGCCTCTGAACCCTGCTCTGCCCTTGGACCCACCGACCCACCCGCCGACGGACTCGATGGTGATCAAAGGAGCGCGGATTTGGGTAGAACTGACTCTGCCGATCGAGTTCGCAGTCATCTCTAGGATAGTTCCGATAGATAGACAGACTAGTTTGTGGCTAAGTGCAACGCCTAGCTCCAGGTCCCACTTTGCACTATCCGAACGCAACTCATATACATTTTCTCCTGGCCAGCCCCGCCCCGTTTGTGTCACTGTTCTATTTTGTTTGGTGGCTGTTTTCCATGTACCACATCCAGAATGGCTGACATGTTTGACCTGACCGCCTAATCACTTTACACGGATTTCGCTGAGGTAGCTGCAGCATGGGGACAAGCGAATTAAACCTCTGAGTCATGCATCAAAAATCAATGGTATTCCCATTCTAGTACGCTCCATATCCCTTATCGCTTCTCGCCTCCCACCTCAGGGTGGGGTCTTGAGAAAAACAAAACCGAGGGCTAATTGGGGAATGCAAAACCGAGCCATCCTTTGCAGAAGGAAGAACCCAGCAGGCGAAACGCCGGCAAGCTTACGGGCAGTGGTTAGTCCTTCTCCAAGTTCGTCCGACCCTGGTAACTTCCTATCGGTGTCCTCGCAATATGGTAGGTATATATCAGTAACTAATGTATTTACCATTATTTGTGTCGGCAATTCTTGAGCCTGTCAACATCGACAAAGTGTGGGAATTGGGAGAAGATCACAACTGAGAGCAAAGATCACAGAGCGGCAAGACAAGAGATTGATCAGGAAGGGACCCTCGGCGACTTATTAAAACTTCAGGCTTTACTGGCCAGCTCCTTATATGCATGAAGGCTGAACTGACATACAAAGTGTGCAGAGACTGCGGCGATTGGGATGCCCGAGGGAGGAAGTCCGGCCGGAGCGAATCCATAACCAAGCTAATTGCTAACCTAAGTGAGCTGCCTCGCTGAGCAGGTTTTCCAACAGGCACAAGGATCTTACTGGTGCCAAAAAAAAGCCTTTCCCTGGGGAAAATCTCCGCTCGGCTTTCTAGCCTATCGTATTGACTACTAACTAGCTGGGAACGACAAATTATTGGGAGGATCATTGACCAATCCGCACCATAACACCATGGCGTTTCGCGCTGTGAAAACTTCCTCCTGGTAGAGGAGATACCTACGATGACTGTTGTGGTTGAACCTATCTCCCTAGCGGGGAGGAGCACACTGACACACTAAGATCACAATATCCTGAATCCGGATTTAACAAGCTCGCAAATGCGTGAGGACATTCATCAATAATAGAAAAAGGCCTACAATCTAGTTCTAACGGATACGGCCCGAGAGTCAGACATAAATTATAAAAGCGCTCCAGGATATCATGATTGTGGCGTGTGATGGCGGGCTATTATTGGCAGACCGGCAGCCTTCATAGCGGAACGTCAATCAGCACGTTATTTCGCGCACGATGGAAATCGCCTTACGTGTGCTTCCGGGACCACTAGGTCAGAGGACGCGCTGCACTTACGCACCCCTCAAGAAGCGTACTAGCACGCATCAACCAACAGCACTGTCCGAGTTCCAGAAAGGCTTCCTACACTGAATTATATCAGATCGTTTGCAAGAATTTCCTGTTGTGGATATTTCGAGGCAAAATCCGTTGTATTCGTTAGGCGATAGATCCACACGGATGTCAATCAACTCACAGTCTGTCCTTTTTTCGCCACAAGGTTCAGAAACAAGGACAGGTGCTCCGATACTGTGGAATGCTCCTGGCGAAGGGCACATTGTTATTAATCCCCTCCGATCCTTGCGCTCGAGGTTAGCAACAGAGTATCTGCTATGGCACCGCTATCCTCCCCAAGCAAGTCACTTTGTTCACAATTTGCCGACAAGTAGTTTGAGAATTAGTCTGGAGGTCGATGTGGCTTGTGGAGACGGGCACAATATACAGCCTGGGTAGGAGAAGGGGGGGGGGTCCAGAAGAATAAACCTAGCACCAAATTATGCAAAATGTCTCTCCGAGTTCAGGAGCATCTCCAACATGGCAGTGGCACATTTGGAGTTAATATGGCACCTTTAGCTTCAAACGAGCGCTCAAGATCTGGGAAGCGGGATTCGCGAGACACAATAAGATGAGAGTAAGATCGTACAGAGATCCTCAAACACCAACCTGCAAGGTCATCAACGATCAGCCGCCCCTGCGACAAGCGGACTTCATCATAATCGTTGGTTAAAAGGTTCTGGGCTCTATAAGAGGGGTGTAAAACACCGGGATGGGTTACACACTCTATTAACAAGATGATTCGTCCAAACGACTGTATGGCCTTTTCGCCCGCATCGATACTGGATACATATCATGCGCGCAGAACTAGTACGAATAAGGATGCAATGATTAAAGACGACTGAGGACCAGGCCGTTGGGGAAACGCCGGAAAGACTCAGGAATTGACATATCGCTGTGCCCGGTTGTAGACTCCTCCGGGGTCTGGAGATCGACCCGATCCATAAGGGAACAAAGAACACGAGAAGGCTCGGGTTCCCCAACTTTGACAATGACCCGAGAGACACCGGGAAAATGGGAAGCAAGGAAAGCAAGGAATTGGGCAGGGGTGTGATGACGAAGGGGATCTATTTGCGAGTTACTTGTATCTAGGTTTTCGTGCGTAACTTTTGGGAAAGCAGAGGGATCTTTCGAATCAACTTCTGGCTCAATAACCAATTGGATGCCATTGAATGATATACTGTTAGTACCGGACCGACTTGAGGAGGATGGATTTACGGTTTCTCTAGCTCCAGTGTTTGGTGAGTAGCCGGCTTCACTGTCTTCTGGTAGGCCAACTGCCCCCTCAGTGGCCATTTCAGTGGTGTCCACTGTTGGTTTCCGCTTGTTAACTCTTCTAAGCTCGAATTTAGGGGCAGCTAGTTCTGTGGGACGCTGATATAGGGATTGCGAAAAGTTCCGCAGAGTACTCCGTGAGGGCCGGTGACGATGGACATGCTGATTCGCTCTGGGAGTCCTAGGCTGTATTTCTGGTGATCTAACAGAGTCCCCTTCGGGGCCATCAATATCAGACGAAATTGGAGAAGCAGGCAAATAAGCTCTACCCTCAGTAGAAAATCTGACCGACGAACGTGATGCTGTGGCAGAGCCATTTTTCAATAGTCCCTTATGATCCTGGCCCGAAACAATCTCATTGGAGGTCAACGCGCATACCAGTTCAGCATACGTTGAAGGACGAGTGGGTTGTGTCAAGGAAGAAGGCCCGCACTGCAAGGTGCATATTAAAAACGAATAGCGGATACAATGGGCAAGACGAAGCACCTTATTACACAAGCTGTTTAGATCCATGTAACAAAGGAGATGGCTTGGGGTAGGTGATAGTGGATGCTGAACCGGCAGCTTGGTCTTTAAGCAACCTATCTCGGCACCGATGTCCACTGCATAGTCTCAGCCATCATTGCGGTTACTCATCAGTGAAATGATGCGCCGGGTGCATAGGCGCTCAAAATGAGATGCGACGAAAGATTCCTGTGCTCTGCATATGGAGGCTCCTGTGAACTGCGGGATTCGTCAGGGGTGTGCCTCACAACCCCTGAAAGCGCGCGCGTTGGCAAAAGCACTGAGGTCCGTCATTTTGCGGCGACTGGAAATGCGGTACAGCCGCTATTCAACAGTATTCTGATTAGACAGGTGACCAGGACCAGCCTCTTACGACTTCCCTTCCTGGTCAATCTGGCGCGCGAAACCCGGGCGTTACTCCCAATTCGTTGCCTTGCTATGCTATGCTGTGCACGTACTCGACTGCGGCCCAATCTCCAGCGCGCCAAATGAGCACATATCTTGCAGGATATTAATTGCGCGCGCGCACACCAAGCGTACACGTCTCCTCCACAATCCGTCGCATGAAGCACAGCTCTCGCCCGCTCACGACAACGGCCACAGCCGTTGTTTCCGGTATACTCCCCACCTCCCGCGCGGGGCCTTCGCATTATAGCATAAATCCATCGAATCAAAAAGCATCCAGATGATTGTTGCTTCGCTATCGTTTGAGTTCTCTTGTTGCTCTGCCCAAACTAGTTTCCATCCTCGATGAGCACTGTTCCCCGTGCAACCCCATCGTGGCTATCCTCTGTGCCAACTGCGGGCAAGGTAACGAACGACATGCAACAAGAGCACCGCGTCAACCCGTCAGACCCGAGAGATGGAACACAGACTCTTGAGACGCAGGTCTCCAACAATCTCTTCCCTGACGTAAATTCGGGGGAGTTCATTACAGAGAAGTGCCGCACTTGTACGGAAAGGAAGAAGGTTAGTTACATCTCTCCCAACTTTCTGAATGATTTCTTATGGACCGTCTTTGGATTAGAGATGTCCGCTTGGCTACGATGAGCATGGTCGTTGCCAAGAATGCGCAAGACTGTCATTAGATTGCGTCCAAAATAGTCATTGGGAAGTGATGGTGAGTAATATCGTGTACCCACTGGAGTCATGCGCATGTTTCTGATTGTCAATGCCAATGCCAATGGGATCGACGGTATAACTACTAAACTAGTCTTACCAGGCGCGGATCGACTTTAACCTGGAAAGACGCCGGGCTGCAAAATCTGCTCGAAAGGCTCGTTACAATGCTCGTAAGTTTTTTATGGGATCATTAATGTTCCTACCAAAACCCATTGGCTTATCGGCTTCCGTCGTACCCACAGCTAAGGCCAGACGTGCGCTATCTAGAATGCAGTCTTCGCGCGAAACCTCGCTATCATTTCGGCGGCGCCTCCGAACACCAACACGGGTCAACCCGCCTCCGAGAAACCAACCGACGTCCGAGCTAATCACAACTATGTCCGGGGAGCATTCAAATATTGTAGACACGCTACTATCACTTTCGAGTCAAGCGGCGTCGTCTGACGCCCCTCCCCAAGAGATGAATCTTCCAACCCTCCCGCAGAGTTTCGGGCTCCCGTTGGGCTCGTCATCCTCCACATATAATCAGCCTCTCAGGACTCAAGATTCCAGTACACATCTTGACTTGCACGTTTCCCGTGAACCCGCTGGACTCCATGGAAGCATTTCATGGGATGTGTTCGACTGGAAAGAATGTCCAATCCCGGGTGATGACATATTATCAACGCATCCGTTCCCAGCGGCCAGACCGAGAAGTCCTTTTACGGCTGGGGACCTCCAGCAGCCCCCGCAGCACTGGGGCCTCGAATCGAAACTTCCTTCTCATCCTTCCCCTACCTCATACCACACCCAGGAATATGTGCCAAATCATTTATCTGTTGCACAAGGCCCAGGACCGCCTCTGTCAGCCTCTGCACATCCCAACAATATCCGTCACAATCTCTCTCCCCAAACATGCTTGAACCCATTTCAGCCGGTTGCTCACTTCAAAGACTACATTACGACGCTATTCCCCAATACTTCCCGCATTGTCATCGAAGTCGAGAACGACAGGGGCCCAGAGCTTGTGGACCTGAGTGCATTATTGGACTATATTAATAATCCAAGGCTTATTCAGACAAATGAAAGGCCACAATATTTACCGTTGAGTTCATCTCTTACTAGACTAGAATCCTTTGATTCGGAGGCGACTTAGAATCCCTTGACTTTGCATGGACATCCGTGTTGTATGGCGGCTTGAATCCATTTGCGTATCTATTTCACCCTACTTTCACTTGATTTTGTTTGATGGTTTATACCGAGGGTCCTTCCCGTTAAAGAGAGGCTGGTCACCTGCCTACCGAGGGTCTGGGGCCGCAGGACGTTATCCTATTTTTATATCCTTTGTGTAGACCCTACTCCAATACCCAAACCCACGTGGCTCACGGCCTCATTCTGTTTTCTTGATACTCCATACTATCGCAGCTCACAATTCCCTCTTACTCACAAAAATCTCTGATCATAATACCCGATTCTGCCACCCTATTATCAACCTTACACCAGTACCGGTCTAGTTTCGTTGCGGCAACTTAGATGACATAATTTAATGTATCGGAATCTACTTGATTGGCAATCATTATGTAGCGATGTTGTTTTGGGCTTCGGCCTTCCGTTGGTGCCCATGGATGGTGACAGCAAGCTGGATCCGACCCTCGCTGACGCTTATTTCATATCAATTAATTTAACAACTAACGCCGACTTTCCGGAATGCAAAAACCTACACAAAATCAACTGAACTACACACAACTCGAAGGATGGTGAAAGAAAATACGAGTTGGTACTGACATCGATTCGCGCTCAGACATCACAACCTCGAGGATCACTAACTAGGAGCTTACACCTCACCATGATGCCCTTCATTTCGGCGCCTGATGGATGACACTGGGTTTCGAATAATGTTAACAGGGTATAGTATATTACTTTTCCAGGTAGTCCGCATTGTCCGCATAATCAGTACGAAGCCTGTTGAGAAGTAGGTACACAGCTTGATCAAATGACAACATCAGTGAGTCGACAGCGCGTTCTGGAAGGTGCTCCAGCGACATACAAGATACAGAAACAAAGAAAGGAATTCGGCGATAGGATTTTTCAGATAGCTTGAATCACAGAAACAATTGCCAGGCAGCCAGGCGGATATCAGAATAGGGTAAAGAGTACAACTGTCCAGCAACGTTGGGGGTATTGATCTCGGAAAGCGTCACGTTGGCTAGTCCAACGCCGGATTAGCAAATCCCATGGATGGGTGTGGAAAGCGACCTAAAATTGGCTTGGTTTCTTTGGGGCTGAACCCTGGTAGTCCGCATCACATTCAAAATCCGGGATGCCTGATTCCAAATGCATATTGCTGAAAAGTTTTTCGAGATGTCCGGGCCATTCGCGCGACGTCTGAAGTCTGTGGGACCCTGCATCGTCCGTTTTAATGATAACTCGGCGGACCCCAGGGCAGCGCGCTATGAGAGTTTCCACGAATCGAGCGACAATGGGATGATCAAGAGGGTTGGGTTGCATTTGTGCCCCTCCGGCGGACTCAACGCCTGAGGCTTTACCAACACCGGCCAAGCGGCCAGTTGCACTACTCATATAAGTCTCCGGTTCGATGATCATCTCCACACCATCATATGAGGCGTGAACGGATGTGTTCCTTGGCGGTGAAGCCGTTGACGCGATCTGAGCATGACGAACGACCCGAGCCCTGGATTCGTCTGCACATCTGCAGAGACTGGATGATAAATTATCGAGCGGCCTGACACGATGTCTAGTACCGGAATTCTTCACGTTGTTCTTGAGCTAGCTAGAGCAAAAACTGAGACTAGCGACAATTACTGACCGAATAGCGTTTTTCGGAAGCTTCGGATTCGCGATAGTCACAGTTCCCTGCGGGACAGATCTGCCGATAATAAGTAATGAGTAAAGTAATATAGCCAGGTGCTCACATCGGAACTGGTGCTGAAGCTCATAGAGAAAAGTTAGAGGGGGCGGAAAGGTTTTAGGTGATGAGGCTTGTTGTGGCCCTATTATATGTTGTGGTTCGGTGAAGCGCCCAGACACACCGCGCGGAACTTGCCGAGGCGTATGCCTGCGTTCATCTGATACCGCGCGACATTTGGGCAGTGCAGCATCGATGCGTGTCAAAATTTGCAAGAGAGGTCTTTTCATCACATAGGCGCCCTGAGACACGCCAGCGCGCAAAAACAACGCAAGCAAGCGCGCGGATGAATTGGGGTTACACAGCTTTGCCAGTGGGCGAACGCCGAGCGCCTACTTTGTCATGTGGCCAGACTGGACGGCCAGCAACTGGGGTGCTAAGGCGCCACCCTTGTCCCGCGCGGGGGCCCGAGTTGTGTGGGATATAGACTGTTGCTCCAATCACTTCTAGAGAGCTTGTCCTTGCACCCCCCCCAGGCGAGCAACGATGCTGGGTCCAGGCAGAGTGCTAAACACCTCGGCGAGAGAGCCCACTGAGGGATCGGGCTTTGTTGGTACAAAGTCCGAAATGCCTGGGTGTTTCACGTGTGCCGATCGAAAGAAGGTGACTGAGTCACCAGCACCAGTCATTTGAGTCTGACGTCGTGCTTCCTAGCGTTGCCCTCGCAGATATGACTCCGAGGGGAAATGTTGGGATTGTGCCCGACTGCACTTGAGGTGCCTCAGCAATGAAGACGGTAAGAAGATGGTGAGTTCTCGCCTGCGGTTTGGGTTACAGACTTCCTCATATCTTCAAATAGACACCGTCACAACTATTAAACTTTCAAGATGAAAGGAAAAGGGCAGCCAAAGAAACAAGAAGGCCCCACAACAGGAATGGCTCGGCTGCACTGGAACCACAGATGCCAACTTTTAACCCCACAAGGCAGTACGTCCATCAGCAGAATGCAGGAGAGCAAGTACTTCCGAGTGGTGCATCCGGCGCTACAAGCTATCTTGCCGCGCAGACCCACGGCACCCACAACCTCTCCGAGACAGGCTTCAACAGGTTCGGGAGCGCCGAAGTTTCTACGGAAAATGCCGGGGGCATGGAGTTCGCCGCTCATCCACCGCCTCAGGTCATTCCTGAGCATTTCAGCCCAGCTTTCGCATTCCCCCCCGTATCTGACCGTGGTACGAATTACGGGTATTCTTTGTTTCCCACTGGCGATGGTGGTGCGTTCCTTCAGGATGACGCGCAAACTATACATCCAAGCATGATACGGACACCCCGCTCGGCACATGCTCATGGAGCCCAGAGCTGGGGCGGCGCCGGGACCTCAGCCGCTTCAAGTCGCTACCCGCCAAATCAATTTCAAAATTTCACCCCGGTTGACGCCCAATATATGCCGTCGGGAGGCCGGCAAAACTTAACCCGTGGGCGCAATAGGTTATCCAACCAACTTACTTCTCCCGGTGATAGTGATCACCCGGCTGTGGGCGGGGGCGGGGCTGTGGCTGCAGGTGGAAATGTTCCAGCATTCCAACTTTCTAGGAGTGAATTACTTCGCTTCCAGAATTATATTTCATCCACCATCCCGAGTGCCTCCCGTATTGTTATCGAGGTGGAAGGCGATGAAACAGCTGCTGAGAGTCTCGCCGCCTTGGTTGAACACGCGAATTGCGTTGGTCCCGTCACAATTGCTGTCAAGCCCCGTCATCGCCATCGCTTCTAGACTAGCAGGGGTTCTGAGTGAGCTGATTCTTCTATTTATGAGTGCTGTATCCTGGCATCATATGCCGAACATTCTGTTCGCACCGTCTTTTTGCCTGATTTTCGTGTGACACCTGATAGATGACAACTCTTTTTGCTACATTACCTCGTTTTTCACCCTATAATGGATTGATAGAGGCTGCTTCGACCTATAATGGATTAGTTTTTGTCATGGTTGTTTCTCGGTACATGCGTGGGGTTAACCACCCGCCGATGGTTACCCTCATTCTTCGTCCAAGCACAACATTATCCCCTGGGAAAAGGGGTCCACGCTTTGTCCCTCCTTGCTTTGCGGCTTGACGTTTCATATTGTGAGAGGCGTCATGCAAGGCGCATATTCACACAAGGTACGCTCGCCACTCAACCAGAATACTTTTGCCCCTAGACAAACTATCACCAACGGTCTCGGTCGACTGTCAGCCAACGCCTCGCGTTTGCTCAAACTCTGGCATCGCCGGCAACCAAACCTGCAATAGCTAGCTCGGCCCAATTGCCACGGTTATTCGGAATGGCGGCCATAGGGGCAGATGTGAACAGGCCATCGTGTGATTGGCAAACTGTACTCTCGACCTGCATGGCACACACGACGAAGTTTTGTGACAGGACATCACAGGGGAGAAACAACGCCAATCTATTAGCATGGTATACAGCTAAAACGGCAGAAAGGCGCTAACGCATTGGCCAAGAGAGTGGCCGCTCCAGCAGAAAAAGTAAGTACAAGGAGACACGGGAAGACAACCGCCGTCCAGGCCAGCACTTGTCACCAGGTCTCCAGCTTCTGAACCTCCCAACTCAGAATCGAGGCTGGTCAAACATCGCAGTGTTCATTTCAACAGTATTAGTGGTGCTCTCATGGTTGACTAGATCATCAAGGTTTTCGCCACCTTGTCCATTACGCTCAAGTTCGAAAACCAGGCGGAACACCCCGGGAACGGCAAATATAATATGTCGTTGGAACCGAGCCAGATCTGCCGATGGATCGTCTACTGTATGAGGATTGGCCAGAGGGCGATGTTGCCTTGCGGGCTGTTCTTGTTGGGGGGCCGTAAAGCCATATCCGGAGCCGGCCGCATTTTGAATATCCCAAGGGGCTACAGGTCCCAGACTCGCCACGGGAGAGGGACCTATCTCCTGTAAATTATGATTCATGTGGCCTTGGCTTCGACGGAGTTCGACAGAACCTGAAGAGAAGTATACTGTTTAGACAGCCATCAAGATTGTGAAAGGAGCTCACTGGGCAAAGAGCCGCGGGCTTCCGCAGCCATATTCACCGTTGACTCCGACCATTCCAGCCCCTGTCCTGGATTGAGCCTGGTTGAAATGGGATCAGTTCTGCCCTTGCCGTTTGGTTGATATGGATGGCCCCAAGATTCTAGACCCGATAGAAAAGGTTCCACTCCTGTCACCGGGACAGGTTGCATATTCAAGTCGGCGTACGTCTGGTGAGGGGGAGTGCATGCAGGGGCACTCGTTCCAACATCCCATGGTACACCGACAGCAGCCGGCGCCATTTGTTGCCCTTCCAAAGCGACAGTCTGGGTCGACCTGCGATCCACAGATAATCCGAGAGAATTCGAGACTGTTAGGGAACATTAAGAATGACGTATAAATGAAACGATATAAGCTTAATTGACAGTGAGTTCTTGGTCGTCGAGCCTGTAGGTTGCCTTGAGCCCGTGCGCCATTCTAAAACAGGGCGTTCATCAGCACGCTAGGGAGATCGATGAAAATCTGGGAGCTGGTTACCGTTTTTTCCAAAAAGACACAAGCGAGATCCAGTCGTGCGCATTCGGCGCACTTACCGCGGTGGGTCTGACCCCCGCAAAACTGCAAGAAAGGGCCACGGTTATAGAGAATGAGGACTCAGTCAAAACAACGCCTTACCTTTCTTCGACGCTTACAGCTGGAGCATCGCGCCATCTACGTTCTTATGTATGAAGCCCTTTATCATCTGGGCTTTAGGTTTGGTCATGTGGAAGGGAATGGGGAAACATACAGTATTCACGGTAAAAGATAAACAAAGTGAAGATATGCCAAGAGGCAGGGCGACGATGTGTTGGCAGAGAGGGGCTGTCTGGTTCTCCAATCCAACTTATATGCCTCTGTTGGCGGCATCCATATTGCGCGCCGTGAGAGTATCGATATTTGACGCGCGAAGGAAGCAGCAGGTTTCCGCAACTCTTCAATGAGGTGAAGTATGTAGTCAACAAACGGCAAAATCATTCCTGTGATACTCCTATCACGTCACGAGGAACTATTTCAAACTTTCGGTTGCGCGCGTGCGCGGAGTTAATTTGCGCGGGATCACCTCGTGGCGTGTTCGAGGCTGATAAGCAATTTGAATTGTACCTCATTATAGATTACCTAATATTGCCAACGCGTCATGCTTCCTCTAGCTCCTCGGCCGGCCGACACTTGGTTAATGTCCAATGGGCAGATTGGAGGTATATATACATCCCTCATAAACGTTCACGCCCTAGGTAGCAGCTCATCCCTTCCCCCCGCAAAGTGCTGTGAACTGGTAGTACCATATTCATCCACAACTAGCATATCTCATCTGGGGAGCAGAACTCTATAACAAGCCTTTCACGTGTGTCATCCCCTCTTTCATCCGTACAAGGTTAAATCTGGGGCTATGTGCTGAAGCCCAATCAGCAAGGAAGTAGGGCACCGCCCGCCTCGGCAAGGCTTCCAATCCCTTCTAAGAAAGAGGAGTTCACAACGCAGCTAGGTAAATCTAGCTTCAATCTATCATCATCCACTTTCACTGTGTCTCCCACCAGAAAATCCAGATAGTGACTGCTACAAATGTGCTGGTGAGCAACCTCTTCAATTCTGGACGAATGTAATATTTAAACCCGTCTCGATTAGGCCCTGGAAATTGTAGTAGAGCCTGCGCGTCACAGAGCTCGAGCAGTCCGTTCAGCTCTCGGGGTGCCAAAGTTTTCCCTCGTGATTCAGGAAACGGTACGACTCCCCGATTTCGCACCGGGCTTTCCTGATTACTCGCATTCCCCCCTATACCCTTGCGTTTCGGGACTATCTATATCTCCATCTACCGTTCCACATCGCGACAGCACGTTTCCAGCTCCCAATGGTGCCACTGTAGAATCACGGCCTCCCTCGAACGCCGCCACTCACAGCCCTCCACCCACCGATCACTCATTAGGCAACACTCCTTCAGAACCCCAACAAGAAAATACTGTTTTCCCTGTACCAGATTCGGAATAGTCGTGGATCACGAGCCTCTCGATGCACAGGACAAGTTCCGCCGGACATGAGGAGACTTCTGGCTGCCGCTTGAATTCTCCAAACCTCGCCCTCTCAATGAGTCTTCTCCAAGACCCCGTAACGATGCAGCTTCTCTCTTCCTTGGCTGCCCGTTTCCTCGCGCTCCGCAGGATCGTGATCAAAACGGATCATTCCCCACCAGAAGCCGACACCCCCAGCGACCTATTGGATCAATTCGATAGCCGATTCTTTTGGATCGCCCCTCCAAGGGTGGTCATGCAGGTTTGCGTTTGAGATCCGTGTTCCCAATTGGGGGTTTATGGTCCATGGCTTGCGTCTTATGTCCGTCATTGCGTCCCTGACTCCTTCGCGCCTTCTCTTCGTATCTTTGTTTTTCCTGAGCTACCACTGCAGCTCTAGCTTGAGTTCCCATACATCCATCCAACAACCCACCCCCGTCATGGAGTGACACGGTTACTTATTCAGGTTCAAACCGCTCGTTTACGGACCTCATGTTCCTGTCTTTCTAGACAGGTAGTCCATAAATCGCCGGTGACCTACTTGATACCCCCCTGCTCTCCGTAGTAGCCGCCACCAAAGGACATCATAACTACCACGCAACGTGGAAGTGCCGAGCAACGGCAAGATTCCAGTGCAAGAACAGTTCGTATTACAGTCGTACTAAATGCATATGTACAGGCTATGATAGCATTTGATCATCCTGGACCTGAGATGTTGAGCAATTTGAAAAATGAGTAAGTCATAAAACATTCGATCTTCACATGATAGGTCCAATTGCCAGTCAGAGTATGATGCCAAGGATGCGACTCAGATTAGTAAGTGAAAGTTGGCCCTATCCCAGCATTGCCGCCATTGATCGCCGCCAAGTAAGTTGAGCTATGAGGATCGACAATGGTTTGAGCACTGACACCATTATTGCTGAAGCTGGCCGGTTCATGACTTTCAACTCTGACGGCTTGAGCACCACCACCTCTATTCAACGTAGGTGCGTCTTGAAGGTTCACTATGGCCTGATCGCCGCCTTCGACCTCAAAAACGATCCGAAATGATCCCGGCACCGCGAGGAGAATATGTCGCTGGAACCGCATGAAGTCAGCCATTGCGTCTTCTGCTCTTTGGGGGCTTCCCAAGAGTCCTCGGGCTGCAGAAGCACTTTGGGCAGTGGGAAATAGTGATGCCCATGCTGTGTCATATCCGTGTCCACCGGATGTTCCTCTAGCACTTGCTGACGAGATAGGTGATGGAACAGGCTCATAGCGGTATTGAGCTTGGCCACAGCTGGGCGTAACGAAATCTTCAGCGAGATCAAGTAAGTGATCATGATTTCAAGAATTAGATGAGTTCTCCCCGTCCCGCACCAAAGGACGTACTTTGCCATAGTCCCCCCGCCCCGTTGGGCGGTTCCAAGGAGTGTCCTGCACCATGGGCCTGCGGGAGGCAGTGCGCCCCAGTGGGAGGACTGGGCGCGACTCCTGAAGGAATTGTGACAACCGAAGGCTGGATCCAGTTCCTAGCGACCCCCGAAGACGAGCCTGCGTACAATTCGTTTGTCGCTAACGCGAAAGTCAGTGATTTAGACTCGGAAAACATGCAGGTCGACTGACGGCAATTCCTTGATGGCAGAACAGCTGGCGGCTCAGGAAACACGCAACGAATCCCGCGACGCGCACAACGCGCACATGGCCCTCCGCTATGGGACCTTCCTCCACAATGCTGCCAATAAAGTTTTAGGGTATAATAATGAATGGATAAGGAAACCCTTACTTGGTGAATGGCTCTGCAGCCCGTACAAGTTTGCTGCCAGTGATTCCTTGCTGGGGCCTGATTTCGGCTTCCTGCCAATGAAGAAGCCATCGGAAATTCCTGGCCCCTAAATCAGCCGGTATGTTTGATGGAGCCAAGTACACCCACTGTCTTATGAAGAGAATGGAGGTGGCGCAATTGCAGAAACGAGTGATATTCAGGGACGAATCGTGGAGAAGAGGGGGAGAGAATGTGGGGCAAGAGCGGACTATATAGGATTGTGGACATCGAACAGCGCTTACAGAAGTCAGAGTCCCGCGGGATGTTTAATCACTCACTCGATTTAGAAGCTACCCAGTGACATAACTGAGTTGGCAACACCGCCATTTCATCTTGTCCGCGGGGCGGTTCTCCAATCGGCGCGTTCCGGGACTTATTGCGCGGGGCGTCAACCCCCTGAAATGGCTTGACCTGTATATATATTCCATGTGCGCCACTCGTCATCTCCCATCACTTCGTTTGGACCTACGACACCACCCTTCACTACCTACCCTCATCTTCTACTCCTTGGTTGGAACTACGATGCCTCCCTCCACAGATTTGGATTGTATCAGAGATGTACATCGCCTGCTACAAAGGAAGGTATGCCACTTCCCCTTCCCCTTTACACCACATTAATCAACCGCCAGGGACACTGTCCGCCTGATGCAGTAACAGTCTTAACCGGACCCCTTGCTTGCTCACAATGCCGTTCACTTGGGATCAGTAAATCTGGCTTGGCTTCACCGCATCACCATCGATTCATTGTAGCTTTTTTTTACTAGTACGCCCCGGATTTAGCCTCATATCATTTGATCACAAGGATCAGCCCCAAACGCAGAGTGCTCAGAATGCAATGGGTGGTGGGTGAGTCGTGTGCAAGGAAAATACAGTGATTTGATCGTGGTCCCAGAACCAGATGATAGTGATGTGTCGCCTGACGCAAGCGAAAGCTTGGTACGTTCCCAGGAATCCAGTCGCGCACGAAGCAACACGCTTCCCAACGATGCGGGGTCCCTCGGATCCTGTGTCGTACCTCCCCCTCATTCCTACGCTGGCATTCAGCTAAGCGTTGTTCTAGCAAACCGTGATACCCAAGGAGAGGAAACCGAGAAGCAAGTGTGCTCCTGTCACACATTAGATGCTGTCGATACGACCATCTCCGTGAAGCTTCTCGAGGATCCAGTGACGAGGCAATTTCTCTCAGACTTTGCTTCCCGTTATCCCACCCTTCGCAGGATCGTGGTCCAGACGGATGGCCAACCCCCACCGCCCGTGGGGTCGTGCGCTAGCCGGGGGGATGTGCAGCCGAAGCCCGTTAACCAATTTGGGGATGAGCAAACAAGAAGTCATTTGGGGATACCTTGTTCTGCGGATCTTGTCCGCACTAACCTTTAAGTTCCTCCGAACTAAAGGGTTTTGCAGTGGCTACTTTGTGGGTTTTTTTTTTTGCTGAATGTGCATGACGTTCTCCGACCCGTTTTCCCTCTTATCGCGGCTTGGTTGGGCTCGCTGGGCTCGGAGCTTCAATCCAATGTGTATGATCCTGTTCCTCGATGAAATTGTGCTGAGAGTTCCGAGTTGAAGTAGGGCTAAATCAGTCATCCCTCAGGCGCGATCGCACAAGTGCCGTGTCTGTTTGAATATGGAGATATCGAACACTTTCGGTTTTCTGGCATCCCGCTTTTCAGGCAGGACCGGTGATCTGTGGACCCCATACGGAATGCGCGGTAGGTGGAGATGAAATATTTTCACAACGAGCGAACAGCTCATCAATGTGACGTACACGTAAATAATCTGTTTCAGTTACTCGGCCCGTACGTACGTTGGTTAAGCCGAGTGAGAGCCTTTGAATAATGAAGGATTCTATGTTGCGCATCGTGAACACCGAGAACACTAACGTTGAGACTGCCATGACGCACAGACGGAAAAAACCTCAGCTTCTCAAAGGTGGACGGACGAGGCATGCACGGTGCCAGTCTTCGCAGTCAATGATAGGCCGAAGATACACGAGTGACTCCTATCTCATAGTCACACCAAAGTTTCAATTATTCGCGTGCGCGGGACTCCCACAAGTTTTGTGGCTTGCAGCTTGCTGTCGCATTAATGGCTGTTTGGCCCAATATCACCCTCATGGACCATTGGTGGGTACATGCACGCCGAGCCGGGGGGGGGGGGGGGGGGATTGACGGGCACAGTATCAACCAACCATTTCTATTTCATACACGTTACCAGGAGAGTTATATCCATCGTGTGTGGTCCTCGTGGGTCCCACTTGACAAATAGAATAACAAAACACGGTAATGATCATTGACGGAAACTAATAGCACTGTCTGTACAGCATGGAAACACAAGGAGGTCAGCGGAGCAACTTACAGCAAGCCAAAAAAAAGGTGGGAACGGCTGGTGAGTTTTGAAAAGCTCAGCGCACCATGACATATGTGACGTCTGAAAGTGGGATGGTGGGAGAGAGGGAGAGGGAGGAGGGAGCTGGATGCGGCGGAGAGAGATTTGGGGACGGAATGCGGAGAACGAGCTAGAAAGCGAGTTGATTAGAATGTACGGGGAGCCTGTTAGATGAAAAGAGAGACAATAGAGAGTGCGAGTTGGATGGAATGAGTGCGAGTTGAATGGGATGAGTGCGAGTTGAATGGAATGAGCGCAAGTTGAATGGAATGAGTGCGAGTTGAATGGAATGAGTGCGAGTTGAATGGAATGAGTGCGAGTTGAATGGAATGAGTGCGAGTTGAATGGAATGAGTGCGAGTTGAATGGAATGAGTGCAAGTTGAATGGAATGAGTGTGAGTTGGATATGGGATGAGTGTGAGTTGAATGGAATGAGTGCATGTTGGATGGGATGAGTGTGAGCTGGATGGATTGAGTGCAAGTTGGATGGAATGAGTGCGTGCTTGACGAAGTGATTGAAAGGGGGTTCGCGAGGCGTGTTTGAACGCCCGTCGGGCGGATCCTGTCTATGCTAACTACCGAGTTAATTGTGAGTAGGTGGGATCGCTTCGTTGATTCTCAGGGCATCGCCCCCAAATTCGAGGACGATCTGAAAGCATCCAGGGATGGCGAACAGAACGTGTCGTTGGAGGTCCGCATCTGCGACCGGCCGCGCATCGCCTACAGAACCTTGAAGTTGCTGAAATGAAGCTCCTGAAGTGGTATAAGCGAGTCCTGGAACCTGATGAAACGTATCCTGCCCCACGATATCTGCGGCCTCTCTGCCTGCTGGAAGAGGGAAGTCAAAACCTTTGTTCTTTGAAATGGATTGATTCCTTGCGAATAAGCGTACCTTGCCATGAATTAGACGGGCCCACCGCTTCTCCATGAACTGGTTGCAGAAGATTGAAGGAATATCCTGTATCGCTGGTCATCAGGAGCTGATCGAATTCGGTAGAGAGTGCCGGTAAAGTAAAGGATTCTTCGGGTTCGGGGAGACCAGCTCCCATGCTTTGGGAGTCTAGGGATGGAGGAGGCTGGCTACTTGCACTGGTTATAGGTGAAGGGCCCTCTCCAGCTTCAGGTTCGTTTAACGTCAGTGCCGAAGATTAAAAAATCTCAGGAGTTGACTGACGGAAATTTCCTTGCTGAATTTGGGTGCTTGGTGTTTCGCCTGGAAACACGCAAGGCAGCCCACGCCGTGCGCATCGCGCGCATCTATCGTCTTCTGTTCTGCCTCCACCATACTACTAGAATTAAGAGGATGAAGATTACTACTATTGAAAGGGTGTCTTACTTGGTGGATGTTCTTGCAAAGTTGACACCGAGTCCGATTCCTTGGTATGCGACTGGGTGCGGACATCGGTTTGCAGCTCAACGAAAAAAGTTTGAGGGACGATTGTAGAGTTATATAGTGTTCGTTGGGTAGCGCGCCATAACACAACGCGACGTGCTCGACGCAAGGAAGCAGACCGCGGCGCGCAGTTTCATGTGTTCGAGTGCAAAAAGTCAACTCCACGCCTTCACACGGAGGTAAGCGCGCCATTCATTTCCACAAATAGCAATAAGAAAACAACGCAACCATGTGTTGACGATCCCACTCATGTGAGCCGCATGACAAGTAGGCGGAGTGGCCGCTCGGGGCTACGGTGTAATAAAAACAGACTCGCCACCTCCACTAGAAGAACGCGCACTACGCATGGGATGCACCAAGAAAGCACCACTATACGCGTCACGTCCTTAATCTGGGTCACACAGCTCCAAGCAATGCGTCTGGTTGAATATGATTCGCCCTAAGCATCGATTATCGCGTTAACTAGTAGGAGGTCGGCATCACTTGTGAGCGGGATGGACCTAGCCACAGTGCTTGCATAAAGGAGCGCACTTGAACAAGTGCAGTTCCAATGTGGAACAGGACCCGATCCGAGCTTCAGCGGCATCATTATTCATACATACAAACGAACCTCCTCAATGCTAACCCCCACTCCAAACCTATTAAGTACATGCATCCATTGTATTTACACAGAAGAATATTAATATTGTCCCGCGAGACGGCGTCACGACGGGCACCCTTAAATTGGTATTCGCGTAAGTCGGTATATATACGGCCAAGACGATTCTATCACTCCTTCCCGTCAAGATTCGGGCTGGCCAGCCTGTGGTATAGGACTGGCGCGTGGTTACAACCAGGCCCACACGCGCTGGACTGCGCGGCGCGCTGTGTAGGTATCCAGCCTTTATTGGAATAGAGCGGCGCGCGATCGAATTGGCGACTCAGCCGTGAGAACAGCAACGAAACCCTTCGCCTCCCGTTGCGCGCGTGTTTAACATCAAAACATGATCAAATGACACGGTTTATTCAGCCAAGTGCTTATAAGAGCGCCTTCGAGGCTGAGTATTTTCCCCCAACGCCAATTCTATAAAACATTTATACTGCAGCGAGCCACAAATGCAACCAAGGTCCAAGGTACGTATGTCGTCTCATTCCTCTTCCACGCTCGGTTGGTTCAATGCTTCCGGCTTCGCCCCCAGACTACTTGCAGGGAATGCCCACAATACCACTCAGATGGGTGCCTGATGTGCCGTCGACCTCATTCAAGTGAATTATCCTGGCAGACCGTCCTTTTCCCAGCATCATTCACTGTATCTTTTTAGGCTGTTCTGAACGTGCCCAGGGAAGTGAATTTTCGGGGGAACAACTTCGGAGGCCGCATCCTGAAGCTCCCGACTGTGGTAAGCAACACGCAGACTCCATGGTTTTGTTGCAGCTCTAATTACAGTCGCAGTTACCAATAATTCCGTTCTAGGACATGTTTCGTGTAAAAATGTCGCCCATGCACATGACCACTTGACTGCCGATGCATGTTTACCATACCAAGGAAACAACCTGGAGCCTCCGAACAGTATGGATACCACAATTTCTGCAGAAGGGGACGCAAAGACCTCCCCAGGTACTGTTGAATCCAGTTACCCGTGTTGCAGTCACCTGTCTAATGATGACTATTCGGGTCTGCTTCAAGAGAATGACAATTTCCCGGTGTCATACGCCGGGATCGAATTAATCGTTGATCACACGACTCGTGACGTCTCCGACCATGATCCAGTAATCCGTAAACAAAATTTCCCTTGCGCATTGAAATCTCCCAATCGCACCCTCGCCATTCATCTTCTGCAGGACCCTCTGACCATGCAGTACCTTCAAGCTTTCGCAGCCCGTTATCCGACTCTTCGTAGGATCGTGATACGGACGGACAGCCTATCTATTCCTGGCAACCAAGTTCCTGGCAATCAAGTCTCGCTGTTCTGCGGCCACCAACAGACAGACCCTGTCATCCAATTGGGCGATCATCAGGGCAGACGCAACTTCGGGTGTTCCGATTCTGCGGATCTTGTCTCGAGTCACCTCTAGATGGCTATCTATTCATTCCACGTTAGAATTTCGGGGGTGTCAGAGGTCCCCCATTCTCAATTTATCTAATTCTGTCATGCCAGGGCAATGTCCTAGGACGAGCACATGTAGCTGGCATTTTATTCTCGTGTATTCCACCTCCCATTTGCATCTCATCACATGTATACGTCAGGAAGATTAATTGCTTGGAATAGTCATAATGAGGGACGGGCAATGAGACGACCAGGGGTCAAGTTCCCCAACTGAACTATCTCTATGAAAAAACTCCCGGCATCTGAAAATCTGAAACGCCCTAAGCTTGGGAGTCCGATTCTGTGACGTCGAGGATTTTTCCTCGCTTTGCCAAGAGCGTACATGGAGTGTAAGCCTTGCATGCTCTGTTAATTGACTCAACTACCTGGTTTGATGTCTCTCATCGGGCCACTAGTGATGCAATAAAAATCGACCTGACTCAATACAGATCTTGTCGGCTACATGGAGTTGCCGAACGCCATATTATGTAATCAACATTCGGTGGGTGGCGGAGCCCTCAAAACTCTATCCAGGGAACAGTATGATACCCCGGTTTCACACTGGACTTTCCTGATTTTTTTTTTCCGTTTTACCCTTGCATCTTTGAACTGCCCACTTGTGTCCTCGGCTGGGGGTTTGCGGTGCAGAGCTTGTGTCCCCGGTTGCTTCTTACATGAGTGGTACCATGTCTCAAGTATTGATTATTGCGGGGCAACGACCCGGCGTGACTCAGCAAACACCCATCAACTGACGATGATGTGTATAGTTTGGGACTGTTTTATTTTTCCCTCTGATCTTCATTCACGGGGACTGAGTCTTTCACTCTAGTGCTCCATTACTGATTTCCTGAGCTATTTCTGCGACTTGAGCTCGAGTCTGTACAGATCGTTCCTTGGCCTTTGTTGTTTCTTGCCCTCCCCGTCCTGGCGACATGCACACCGTTGTTATGAGGCGGTTTTTATAGGCGCTCAGCGGCCACATGGCAGCAAAAGAGGCACTTCAGATCTTCAGATAAGTATCGAAGCTTATCATACATCAGGGCTATGCCACAAAATGATCGGTGTACAGACGGATCGGGGAGGCGGTGCCGTCGGGTGTGGAGCTATGCCCGGGAGGTAAGTCGGTAGCGTGGCTTGTGATCCAACACACACATACTATCAAGTATTCCACCTTTTGAGGATGGGCATTATCTGAGGCTGAGAGCGCAGAATTTTGCCCGAAAATACATATCACTGCAGAAAGGAAGCAGTTCAAGTTAAACAAAAAGAGAATGACAGGAACGATGATTGTGGCCACATCACCTCATGGAGTAGTAGTATAAGCCCCGTTGGATTTTCAACATGATTTAGTACACCGCACGTACTTATGGGATGAATGGCAGGTCTGTCTGAACAATATGTTTTTCAGTCGGTTCGATTCGGCACGTTCGTCAATGCGCGCACAGTAATAAATGTTGGAATAACCATCAGGGATGGAGTAACCTCCCTGGCATAACGGGTGAGTAGTGTATGGATGCACGCTAGAGGTCCTGGGTTCGATACCAGGCTTGTCCATTTTATGTCATTTGTCCAGTCACCTGGTTTACCTCAGTTGAATTCATGACATAAGTCTATAGCGCTAGCAGTGTTGAATTTCTTCAATAAATGTGGAAGAACCAGCTCAGCAGGACGTGTAATTACATGTTTAGAAGTTGATTTCCAACTATTAAGAGCGCAGACATCCGCGAATGAAGCAAGATTCTCATATGTTTCAGGCAGAGAAGTACTATGTATGTGTCGGGTGAACAAGCCATGGCGACTGTCCACTGTCTTACTGTTATAACCGCTGCCTTGGCCTCCGCTTACCTTACGCCCGCTGTTTCATCGCTTGGTGCAGCTCATTACTTCGCGTCGCTCATTGATCATCTCTACGTTTCGTGGTATTTCTTTCTGATATCTTTTTGATATCTTCATTCCTCTAAGTATCATACATGCTGACAGGCACAGATTAATCCGATCTTCGTTCTATTCCTATGCTCGAAAATCCCCCGCTGAGTGCGTCGTAACGATGTGGATCTCTTAGGAAACATCGCTATCATTAAACACATGCGAGAACGCCATACTATCCTCGGCGTTCTCAGGGGAATTGCCACCGAACTCCAGGACCAATTGGGCGTTTCCCGGCAGGGCAAAAAGTATGTGCCGTTGGAGCTGAGCAGGAATTGCATCTCCTAGCGGTTGCCCCAACAATGCACCTCGTATATTGGTGTCGGCGAGTCCGGGAATCCAGTGAGCTGGTGTCTGCCTCAGCGTGTTCATATATCCTCGGGTTACTGGGCCATTCGTCATTTGAGCGCTGACGGTGGGACTCCTCTGCAGAGGTCTTGCAACGGAGGTATATTCAAAACTGGCGGGGTTTCTGTCCCAGTATGGGTGTTCAAGACTGGCCGAGCAAGTCGAGTACGGGAAACCCTGAGTCTGATCTGGAGGATCGCCCCATACGCTTCCACCTGAGGGGTCGTCGAGGCCCGGATTGGGCCCAACCAAGTCAGTGCGGACAAAAGAGAAGTTGAAATCATTTGCGGCAGTAAATGTGCGAGAACCATTGCCATCATCCCCATCTGTGCCCTTTGGCTCTTGGACCGGCGGCAGCCACTGAGATGACGAGGCCCCTGCGTAATGAAGTTGAGGAGTCTGATGAACCAATGCACTTCCCCCTGGAGGGTTTGCTGAATACGGAGATGTGAAACCTGTGCCCGGGTGGAAAGGAGCTGTGACAAAACCAAGGGAATATGAGTTATTTGACTTATCGATTCGAGAAGAGGAGCACCTTCGCATGGAGTGAAAGATCCCATGGCCTGAATTGCTCGAATCGGTTGTACAGGTCCCGAGGGAGGGACTGGGAAAAGATGACTGTTCTCCATATTCTCCACAAGCTGGTAAGCTGGAGGATGACCAACGCTCTGTGTAAATGGAAGTTGAGTGCTAGGGCCGGCGCAATGCGAGTGAAAGCCCCCAGCTTGCAACTCGCCTAGCACCGACGACGAAAGTCAGATACAGAGTTAAGAAGCGAGTGGGGTTGGCTGACGTCGATTTCTACCAGTGCGCTGAGCCGAGGTGGTGGATGAAAGGTTGCAAAACTTTCCAAGGCGGGCACATCGGGCACATTTGTCTCCCCCAATAAAATCGCAATGCTACTGGACTTTGGAAAATAGAGACCGAATCGTAAAGAACAACGTACCTGGTGGGCGTCCTTACAAGATATGCATCGTGCTTGTTGGGTAATAGGAGGGGTCAAGCACATTATAAGTTTTCGAGTGATGCTGAATGGTGGTATATGCTACCAGGCCAGCATCTATTTAAGATGAAGATGAAAGGGCGTCTCCGAGGCGGCCGAGAAATGCCAATTACATAAGTCTTGCACTGACTCCTGAATTGACACCGCGCACGTATCTTTCTACCATAAATAATCATCTTCACGACTGCGAGATCCGATGACGGTCTAGTCCATCACGAAAACCTTCCAGGCGTGCCCAGGTGCTCTTAGAGTCTCCGTGGGTCTCCGTGGGTCTCTGGAATAGAGGGCCTTGCGTCCGATTTTCGTAATGCCGTACACGTTTGGCCTCGAGGAAACTTCCAGGTGATTATCCGAATGAGGGGATCTCCGTCAATTCGTTTATTTAAATGAGAATCGCCCTAATCGTTCAATCAAGTCTAGACAGGACTCCAGCTTATATAGAGGATAATCAGGTCGAAGTTTCCTAGTGCAGTAAATACTTGCCACTTGGTATGCATACTGACTCGATGCTTTCTACTGAGCTCTGTGTAGCACGTTACGGAGGTGTTCAATAAACATGGTCGCTCATCTGCGGGATGCGATTGGCTCAGTCGTGAACGAGGATGGCATTGGGTGTACGTGTTACGGAGGTAAAATGCCAGGCTTAAGGTGAGGTCTAGCTTTTCAGTTATGACGTTAGCTGTATTGTAGCGGAGTTGACCGAATTTATTGTTAATTAATGTTATGAGGGTTCCCCACGATGATGATAAATCTATCTTAATACCCCGCGGCCTCGTGATGTCGTGGCAGTGCGGCTGTCCCGTCGATACACCGTAGCGTAGGGTTCCCCACGATAAAACGAACCCACTGCGAGTAGTTATCTTTGAATGGTTTTGATTGCTGATCCCGATCAAAATCCAATCCTTTGGGGTTTTGCTGATGTGTAATTAATTCTGCGGCGCAGCATCATTTAAGTACTAGGAGAGCTATCGGCGGAGGACTCAGTTTCCGTAAACTCAATTACTTCGGTAGTACTAAAGACTATAGTACAAAGTACAATGTAACAAGTACTCATAACTGTGATACTAACCTCAGTCTCCGTGAATGAAGAACTGAGGGGGAAAGCAAAGCAATCATCTATGCAGGGATGTAAGAAGGGATCGATGTGCTTACGCGAGACTGGCACCGGACTATCCTCAATTAGGCACAACTGAATATAATAATTCGGCTTAGCAGAGAAGTAATGCTCCGTAGAAATCTGGTGTTCCTTCACCTAGAAAACCCTCTTGCAAGTCTGGGATCCGACTGACCCTACTGAATAGAGGTCAGAATATGGCCAGATATGGAAATGCCGCATGAGGGAATACTGAATAGTGTCCGTGATCTGTTTAAATATTATTTGTAACTGTTGGTGTGCTATAGTGCAGATGTTATAGCGTAAGTTGAGGCTATGCGGTCTTTTTGGCTGCATGTGTTCGCTTGTTGCAACTCTTTTTTGGCATTCTCCTATGCAATAATCGCATGCCCAGCATTGAGGAAGTACAGAGTCCCAGCTTTTGCTTTAGTAGAGGCTGGGATCCTGTTTAGGTTAGTTGGTAAGTAGCACCTACAACGTGATGTCATAGATCCGATCATGATCCGCGGCTGGAGCTAGCTCGCGATGAATCCAACGAAACAAAGAAAGTGAAGATGTCAATCAGCACGACTTGCATGGCGGCTCACACCCTAGGGCGTTCTTATCCATTAAATGATATTCGCTAAAATCCTCGTGGTAGTATTGTGAGAGTCGCTGTGTTACATAAGTGTGATTGTACACTCTCCAAAGAAACATCAGAGAATTCTGGTTAATCCGAAATTTTCCTCAGCGACAAATAAATTGAACTCGGGCTCGTATTGCAGGTCCAGCTAATGATTTGGAACCCACGCAACTCACGCTGTTAAACCCAAGATTCGTCTGGGCGCATGATTATCCAATCCTGCATCCCATTACCATCTTCCTGTCATGGAGACGAAACACCCCCCATCATCCGAACGGTGTCGACCTGAGGATCCCCTCCACTGCAGGGGGCGGAGAGACAGGCTATATCCTACCTGAACGCCTTGAACTCGACCGGGCGCCCGCGACTAGCTCCGAAAGTCGGACCTCGGAACTGCAAAGAGAGGTAACTAGCACGCCACATGCAAAGTTACCTTGCATACCTGACCATAATTGCGCTCCCTGTGAATGGTTTAGAACACAACATCCCGTCGATCAGATCAGGTAGGAAACTAGTCCATTCGCAGGACTGACCTCCTCGGCGTCATAGTACCGGCGCCCATCCGCTGTATCAAATGGACAACTCGGCCCCTCCGAACGATGTGGACCTTAGGATGTCCATTAAAGGGAACGGAAAGACCTCTTCAGAAGTTACCGGACTTGAACCTCCCAATCATATTCCAGACCATCTGTGCCAACGTACTCTGGGATCGAATTTATTGTGGATCAGACGGCCTGTGATCTCTCGATGTATGGTTCGGTTATACGCAAAGACAACCTCCTTTGCAAGTTGAATTCCCCTGATCCCTGTCTCTCCAGGCGTCTCCTTGAAGATCCGGTAACGCAGCGATGTCTCGAGGCTCTCGCTGTCCAATACCCTGCTCTTCGTAGGATAGTGGTCCGGACGGACAGCACTGTGAACCAATTTCCTGTCCCTCAACAGAACACACATAACCGCCAGCCCAGCCATGCGCTAGGTTTTCCCCGAAGATGCGATCCGGTTTTTTGTTATTTAGTTTTCGTGCCATCCAATCACCGTGAAGTCCGGAGGACCGATGCTTTCTACGTACCTGCATTCCTGGAATGTATGTAACAACTAAGCGCTCTGCCTGGCAGCCGATCGTTCCAATGCCCTGGCTAGGAACAACAAGGAAAATGACACCATCGCCAAGCCCTTCAACCATACATCACTTCTGAATATACCGTTTTTTCTGCAGGTAATGACACTATTTGCGCTGAGCGCTATCGTGCCAGTGGTTCAATGGACTTGTTCGGTGACGTCCGTAACTCTCAAGATGGTTGTCGCAAACTGCTATGTTAGCATGGTGGCGGGAAGAGTCATCGGTATGCTAAAATTGCAATTGGGTATCGCACGTAAGAGAGATATTCGTCGGCATCATGGGAAAGCGCGTGCCAAGATTACTGCGCAGAAGGTAAAAGATGCGGTAGTCCGGCGTACCAGGAAGCTCCGTAGAATGAAATCAATTTTTTCAAATTCGAGAACTATTTTTGAAGGGAGCATATATAGCATTGAGACTAAGCGGAGCCTTGCTATTTCGAACTGATTATCTGTTTAGTGGCGAAATCTTCGTTTCACCATTGCGTCTTTGAACTGCCCATGTCTCGATCCAATGAATCTTCTTCAAGGGCTAGCGTTAGTGTTCCACATATTAGGATGTTAGCGATTTACGCTAGCGTTTTACGCTCAGTCAATCGTTGTTGAACTGAGGGAGACGAAAGTGAAAACTTGTTCACTGCTTTTTTAAGCAGTCGCCTCAATGGCGCACTGACTTTGGTAGCAGGAATACCAAGAAAGGAAATAAAGCGCCGCTAGCTCAACATCACATTGTGAGATGGCCACAGCGTACAAGAAAACCAAGATTTCAACACCACATGGACGCTGCTGATAATTCAAAAGGATAGTCAGAGGGGAGGAATGTACCTTCTTTCGCCAGTGAGTCAGAAAGGTCATTCCCTTTGGTGTTTTCGTGACCAGGCACTCATTTGATATCTAGCTCAGGAGAATTCACTTATCGTTGAGTCAAGTGACCCAAAAGTGACTAGGTACGTGTTCTGTGCCTTGCTCCATCTCTGCATCATAGACGTCAACCCTCGCCCCCTCCCTTGCCTTTGAGAATAACGTTGTCGCAGTGGAATTGCTGAAAATCCGTATCCTGATCTTCGGACTTCCAGGTTATGTTGGAATTCAACGGGCACACAGTAGGAGCTTAGGCCCTACGGCTATCATGGGTTTAAGGTGGCGTAGTTGAAACTCATATTTCTTTATTCTTCTTCGTTGAGACATTGCGCTTTGAGCGCTTTGATACTTCGCTTTGCCTCGGCCCCGATCGCTCTCTGGCCTGGCGTACTACTGGGGCCCCAACACTTATCTATAAAACATTCGCCTTCTCGCTTTATCGTCTCCCTCAGTTCACTTTGACGTGAAGCTGAGGTGAGAGCGATACTTCGACTGATTATTATGATAATTACTGAGTTATCTTGCGATTAGCACAGGCCAAGCACAAATTAAAATGCGATACTCATTGGAACTCAGTTTATCTTTATGTTCCTTCGCCCTTGCTGATATTTCTACTTCGTTTTCTGGGACTTCTACCCATAAAGTCATCCATTTTCCTTTCCCATGTCAGATGCTTTGTGAGGAGAGCCTACGTCAAATCTTGATATGAGCTGCACGGAGGAGCGACTTCAAACGAAGTAACGGACTCAATCATAAAATGCAGGGCTTACACTCCATGTACATACGCTCTGGGCAAAGCGGCGAAAGTGGGAATCGGACAGGCACTGGCGACTGGACCCGCCCCATGCAAAGCTTAGGACATTCTAGATGCTGGGAGTTTTCCCCACAAAGATAGTTCGGTTGGGGAGGACCCTTGGTCGCCCCATTGCCCGTCTCTCGTTATCTGTTGGAATACAAGTCATCATACCCCTTCGGCAGCGTGCATGCGGCGCAGATGCGCAGCATCCCATGTCCATTCTAGATTATACCGCCTCTCCGACATGTCTGTGCGTTGCTTGACCTGCAGCATAGCCTTGTTATACTATAAGTACTGCATATACACAACTAACAATAATTGTCGATTTTATGGCCACTATCGATCGATCCCTCTTATCTAGAATGATTCTGGTCCCATCTTTAGTCCCTCGCAATACCAATGCGAGTGTAGCTGCCGAGCGCTACGTCCATATCGGGCTAGTCATGAAAACATTGTCACTATTCAAAGCAATCTCCCTGACGTGTACATCTGGTGAGATGCAAATGGGATGTGGAATACACGAGAATAAAATAACCAGTTGCTACACGAGCTTGTCCTAGGGCATTGTTGCCCTGGTATGACAGATTTGATAAATTGAGAATGGGGAACCTCTCTGACGAAACATTGCTCTCATTGAACGAATGCATGCTCCTCGGCGTCCTCAGGGGAATCACCACCAAACTCCAGGACCAATTGAACGTTTCCCGGAAGTGTCAAAAGTATATGTCGTTGGAGCCGAGCAGGGATTGCATTTCCTGGCGGTTGTCCCGACGATGCAGCTTGTACACTGGCGTCGGCGAGTCCGGGAACCCAGTAAGCTGGTGTCTCCCTCGGGGTGCTCACATATCCTCGATCGTCCGCCATTGTCGTTTGAGCGCTGGCGAAGGGGCTCCGCCTTGGCAGTGGTCTTGCAATTAAGGTATATTCAAAACTGGTGGGATTGAGCGTATTTCTCCCCTCGGGGTATGAGTGTTCAAGGCTGGCCGGGTGGGTCGAGTACGGAAAATCCCGAGTCCGATCTGGACCCTGATCCACGTCGGACTCAATAGAGTCTATGCGCAGATAAGAGAAATAGGGCAAGTTACAGTAGAACAGAACGTACTGGTAAGAGAGCCCGTAGTAGAACCGTCCCATTCCAATCCCTCTCTTGCAATACTGGGATTGTTGGCATTGCCTGTGGTAAAGAAGGGCAAACAACTGCCACTATCATCCCCCATCTCTTGGAATGTGGGCAGCCGCTGGGATGATGAGGCTTCTGAATAGGAAAGTTGAGGAGCCTGATGGTCCCATGCGCTTCCACCTAAAGAGTTGTCTTGGCTCTGGTCGGGCCCAACGGAGTCTGCGCCGGAGAAAGAGAAATATGGAAAGCACACCGGTTCAGGAGATCGTGAAACGAACGTACTGATAGAAGAGCCTTCCATTGGATCGTTCCACTCCGATATCCCTCTTGCGAGGCTGAAACCACTTAAATCGCTTGCGGCGGTAAGGGAGCAGGAACCATTTTCGTCATCTTCGTCTACGTTCTCCGATGCCGGTAGCTGCTGAGATGGGGCCCCTGCGTAATCAAATTGGGGAGTCTGATGGACCAATGCATTTCCATTTCCCCTTGGAGGGTACGGAGATTTGAAACCTGTGCGCGGGTGGAATGGAGCTGTGACAAAATCAAGGAAGCAAGAGTTTGTACGGTGTGCCGCCATTGCCGTTAGTTAATCCGCAATTTTCGTCAGCGACAAATGAGTTAGACTCAGGCTCGTCGATTGCAGGTCCAGCTAATCGCATCCTCATCTTAAAGCTGTCAATGAGTCCCGACTCGTTTTCAATCGTGCGTTTCACTAGGCAATCGTTGCGAAACACCCCCGATCCTTTGAACGATGTCGGCCTGAAGATTTGCTCTGCTCCAGGGGACGGAAAGACAGGTCATTATGAACGCCCCGAACTCGATTGGGCGCTTGCGATTGCTAGCGAACAGCTTCAAAAGTTGGACCTCGGAACCGCGAAGAGTATGCCCCATATAAAGCTATCTCGTATATCTGATCATAATCGCACTCCCTGTTAATGGTCTAGAGCATATTCGCCGCATCCCGTGGTCCGGGGAACTAGTCCATTCGCAGGACCGACCTCCCCCACTGCCCCCCTGGCGTCATAGCACTAGCGCCTATCCGCTCTATCAAAGAGACAATCCCCCTCCGAATGATGTGGACCTTAGCATTTCTACTGGAGGGGACGGAAAGGACCCCAAGAAGTTACCGGACATCAAGATCCATATAACAATTGCGCCCATCCAGACGTCTCCCAACAGAATTGCTCATCTGTGCCAACGTACTCTGGGATCGAGTTTATTGTGGATCATACGACCTGTGATCTCTCGATGCGTGATTCCATTGTACGCAGAGGCAACTCTCGTTGCAAGTTGGATTCTCCCGATCCCTGTCTCTCCAGGCATCTCCTTGAAGATCCGGTAACGAAGCAATGTCTCGATGCCCTCGCTGTCCAATACCCTACTCTTCGTAGGATAGTGGTCAGGACCAACAGCGCTGCGGACCAATTCCCTGTCCTTCGACAGAACACGCGTAACCGCCAGCCCCGAGATCAGCTCAGCCACATGCTAGGTCATCCACGAAGCCGCTTGTGAATGCGATCCGTTGGTTTTTCTTTCTTTCTAGTTTTTCGTGCCATCCAATCAATGTGAAGTCCGGAGAACCGATACTTGCTACGTACCCGCATGCCTGGAATGTGTAATGATTAGAACGTTCCGTCCTGTGGTCGGTCGTTCCAATGAAATCTGGCGGGTTTTTTTTTTCACCGTGGCTCGAACCCAAAAAAGGAAATCTGATGGGATTCTGCTGAAAGTACCGCCCTGGCTAGGAACAACGACAAAAAAGGAAAATGACACCAGGCCCTTCAATCATGCATCACTTCTGAATATACCATCTTTTCTGCACATAATGGCACTGTTTGTGCTGAGTAGTGGTTTAATGGATTTGTTGTTCCGTGACGTCCCTCGTAACCATTTAAGATGGTTGTCGCAAACTGCTGAGTTAGTATGGTGTCGGGAAGGGTCGTTGGTGCGCTAAGATCGCAGTTGGGTATCACACGTGAAAGCGTATGCCAAGATCACTGCGCGGAAGGGAAAAGGTGGGAGCAACCTGGCGCACCAGGATGCTCGCCTACGGTAGAATGAAGAAGGTATGTGAAGAGCTGGATGAAATTGATTTTGAGGCAGAAGGAGGCGCATTCGTGACAAGGGATCGTTATATGCGTGGGATCAATCTACTATCGCTGAGATGCAATTTGAAGTGGTCGTCTCGTTAGTCTTCGGGACATCACCTTCGAATTCGAGAACTATTTTCGAAGGGAACAAATATAGCATTGAGATTAAGCGGGGCCTTACTTGCACCAGACTAGAATTGGGCTATAGCAAATTCAAGGAAACACGAATTGTTCTGAATTACACGCATCCGAGAACTTCCTGCTCTGACTAAAATAAAATGATGAAAATCTGTTACGTGTACTGAGTGATAGATCCGCACGAACCCAGAGGCCCCAATTACTGACACCCGAGGATCATAGCAATGGATTTCACAAAACCATAGCCTATCCATTGGGTTGGGATTGCCGTTGGGTACTTCTGACAGAGGGTGTATGGCCACCAATCCCGTCCGGCCCTCGCGCTCGGAGCTCGTAGTAAAATTTACGCAATGGCACCGTTATTTCCTTCAAACTCAAGTAACGCGCCACGTGCCAGCTTAATTCTCCCGGCAAGTGTAGGTCGGATTTGCTGACAGGTGGGTCAGCAATTAGTCTAGAGGTCAATTATAAGACAAGGGGCGTCCGCAACGGCTATACGACTGGGAGCAAGGGGGCTCATCAGCACAATTCTAGCGCCTCCATGGGTGTTTTCAGGTTTCCAAGAGTCTTCAACATGTTGACTGACGTACATACAAGCTAGTGTGGCACCTCCAAACAAGCGCTCAAAATCTGGGAGGTGGGGCGTACAAGGAACACAATAGGATGAGAGCAGGGTTGCACTGATGTTCTCAAACACTACATGAAAGGTTGTTAACGATCAGCCGCGCCTGTGACAAACGGACTTTACAATTGTTGGTTCAAAAGTTTTGGTTCTCCCTAAGGGGGACGTAAGACGCCGGGATGTGACACACTGTTACCAAGATGATTCGTCCAAACGATTGCACGGTCCTTTCGCCCGCATTGGGGCCGAAGACAGGAACGGCACGTATAAGGGATGCAATGGTCAAAGACGACCAAGAACCAGACCGCTTTGGGAACGGCGAAAAGACCTCGGAATTGACGCATCGTTGTCTCCGACTGTAGACACCTCTAGGGTCTGGAGATCAACCTGATCCATAAGGGAACAAAGGGTATTATAAGGTTCGGGTTCCCCAACCTTGACAACCACGCGGGAAACACCGGGGAAATGGGAAGCAAGGAAAGCTAAGAATCGATCAGGGATATGATGAAGAGGATCTTTGTGTGGATCATTTGCATCTGGGTTTTTTTGCGTAGCCTCTTGGAAAGCAGGAGCATCGTTCGAACCAACTTCCGGCTCAATAACCAATTGGACACCATGACATGATATGCTGTTATTGTGCCAGCTTGCCGAGGGCGAGTTTACTGATCCGTTAACTTCGTCGTTCTGGGAGGATCCCATACCACTGCCGCCAGATTGACCAACCGCCTTAGTGGTTTCAGTTGTTGACTTCCGCTTATTTAGCCTCTTGAGCTCGAATCTAGGGGAGGCCAATTGGGCGGAACGCTGGTATTGCGATTGCGAGGAGTTCCGCAGGGCGGTCCGGGACGGCTGACGACGATGAACGTGTCGATTCGTTTTGGGAGTCCTAGGCTGAATTTCCGGTGATCTAATAGAGTCCCCTTCGGCTCCTTCAATACCAGATAAACCCAAGATAGTGCATGGAAATAGGCATTACCATGAGTACGGGATTCGAGAAGTGGGCATGATGCCGTGCCGAAACCAGTGCTAGAGAACTCCCCAAGATTCTGGCCCAAAACGGTGAGGGGCTGTATTTTCGGAGAGGGTTAACGCGCATACCGGCTCGGCGTGAATCGGGCTAGGGGCGTCTAAGGCGGAGGAAGATGGCCAGCACTACGTGGAACATGTCAGACATAAGAAGCCAGTGTGATAGGGGGCGCAAAGTACCCCATTGCACGAGCAGCTAGCTAGGTGGGTAGCCATATCGGTCGGGATATTAGGATTTGTATAACTAAGCCAACCCTCAGAGGTGAGTTATGGTATTCGCTGATCTGGTAGCTCAGTCTTTTAACACATCAGCACAGGCGCTTGGCTGTAACATGTTGATGACATGATTTTTCATGCAATTTCCTCCCCTCATTAGTGAAATGATGCACCCGGCGTTAGGTACGCGCGGAAGCGAGATGGAACAAAGCCTCCCTGTGCGCCAGGCATGAAGGCTCCTCTGTATCGGTATAGCTACTCCGAAAAGCTGTATCACACAGCCCTTCAAAGCGCGCGTCCACGAGGTCTCTGGACGCGCGGGAGATTGACCATTCACGTCGTGGTCGCCATTGAGTTGGGAATGGTGCAATACAGCCACTTGTTCCGATCTCCTTTTTCGTCACATACAACGGTACGCAAAAAAATCAGCACGACCAATTTGGATCAGCGACACCAATAGCGAGGAATCCAAGTCACAAGAGAAAGCAGCATCTCCGGACCTGGGGCGGAATCTTCAACAGCGAATGCCTGCGACACATGTGCAACTAAAATGATTGGATGATCACATGACCTTCTAATCACTCATGGGGCCGCTGTAATCGTTCAACTGGGACCGTTACATCCTTGTGCTCTCAATTGGTGCTGTACCTGCTGTGTTTTCTTATTCACACACCTTCCCGCGTCTGGATGCTTGCCGCGATTATAGACGCCCTAGCGAAGGACTTAAACCACAGCATCTAATAAGCATCTGAATGGCGCGCGCACAACGCAATAATGGCGCGACACACAGCTTACAACGACGGATATAGATGTGGTCCCCGGAATTCCTCTGCACTCTCCGCGCGGGCCCCTCGTGTGGCCGCATAAATTTCATCGAATCACCATGGATCTCAGTGATTGCTACCTCTTCAAGGCCCTCATACTGCGGCTGAGTCCGCGAAAGTTTCTTGTAGCTTATGGCCGTTGTTCCGCGTTCGACCCCACTGTTACCACCCACAGTGCTGACTGTGGCCACCACGTTGACGAATGACTTGAGCACACTGAACGTGCAACGAACTTGGCACAGAATCACCTCGACTGACCGCGGCGCAGATACGCTAGCGACGCAAGGCCCCGAACATTTCGGCTCCGACGAACATTCTGGGGCGTTGGCTGGGGAGAAATGCCGCACTTGTACGGAAAGGAAGAAGGTCGGTCGCGTGTTTCCCCACTGTTTTCGTAATGTCTTACACTCTCCCTTCTGGCCAGCGATGTCCCCTTGATTATGATGAGCGGGGGTATTGTAAAGAATGCGCGAGACTTTCATTGCATTGCGTCCAAAACCTTCAGTGGGAAGGGATGGTGTGTCATACCGGTTATTCAACAAGTCAATTACCAGCTTACTGACTGCCAATGGGGTCGGTCGTATGGGTAGTCTGATCAAGCGCGGAATGAGTTTAACTTGAGGAGACGCAAGGACGCGAGGACCGCCCGCAAGGCTCGGTACAATGCCAGTGAGCCTTCACCACCCTTTTCCAGATGAACAATGCTCATCGGAACGTCCTAGGCCTATCCGCTTCCATGGCTCAGAGGACTAAGGCGAAACCCGTGGAATCTAGGGCGTCACACAAGGTCTCGCGATCAGTGCGGCAGGATCCCGTGACATCGATGAGGGCCGCCCCGCCTACGGGAAGTCAATTAGGGTCTGATCCAGCCTCGATTAAATCAGGAACACATTCAAACGTTTTGCATATGCCACCACCGTCTTCGAGCTATCCTATAGCATCAGATAATACCCTTATCGAAGAGACTAATCTTCCCATCCTTCCGCAGAGTTTTGGGCTGCCGTTGAGCTCCTCAGCGTCCACGAGCAATCCACCTCTCAGAAGTCAAGATTCTACTGGGCGTCTCGATCTGACTGTTCCTCTCGATTCCCCTGGACCTTCGGGAGGCTCGTTCTGGGATGGATTCGGTATGAACGAATACCTGATCCCCCCCGACGAGATGTTGTCGACACGTCAGTCTCAAGCGACTGGAGTGGAAAGTCTTTTCACAGCTTCGAGCCCCCATCCTCCGCAGTTTTGGGGCTACAGGTCGGAGAATTATCCTGCGTCCAACTGTGCCCAAGGGCACGCGGCTAGCCATTTCCCTGTCTCACCGGACCCAGGTCCCCCGATCCTATCGATGTCTGCGCTGTGCAACGATGTTCCTGGAGGTTCCCAAAGAAATTTGAACCCATACGAGCAATTCGCCCAGTTCAAAGATTACGTCAGAACATTATACCCGAAGACTTCCCGTATCGTTATCGAAATCGAGAGTAGCGAGGGCCCAGAGCTTGTGGACCTGAGCGCACTGTTGGACCGTGCGAATTATGGAAGTCCTCGTCGGCTCATTTAGATGAGCGGCAGTTCACAGGGTCCGCCTATGGGACCATGCCCAGGCTGGAAACTCTCACCACAGCCCCGGAGACGGCTTAACACTCTACAGACAATGTACGTGTATACCCTTGCTTGGACTTGTTTAAGCGGGAGCGGTTGTCCATACTCATCGGTATGGAAATCGCCTCGTCCATTTAGTTGGCAGTATGGACCTAAGAGTCTGCGGTTCATACAAAATAATCCCATTTTACGATCTTCGTCACAGATTTACGCGGACAGATCCCCTCTACATTATTCAGTGCTTCCAGACCACCCCGATTACTCCTCAGACGATACCATTACAGCTCAAAATTCTTTGGACTCAATTACGCCCATATCACTTTCCATATAGTCATCATTGTATCATCACTCTACACCAACAGCATAGTTCCAATAGTTACAATGTCCTTCCCACGTATATTTGAATAAATCTAACTCATAAGAATCTATTTCGATCAATACTCAGTAAGTAATGACGTTCGGTCTTCCGTCGGCGCTTGCGCCAACGGTAAACTAGTCGAGACGCGCTAGCCCTGACATCGGACCGGTTGGACGCGTCTGTGATAGGGATACTTAATGCCGATATCCTAGGATTCGATGCAAGCACGGTGTAAAAACCCACGGCCGGGTATTTTGTGCTACACAAATCAGCTGAATTAATTTCAAAGTTGAAGGATCATAATCACTTGAATAATGAAGCCACAAGGTAACCATACTTTTGGCCCAGCGTTGCAGTGCCATATCAGTTGTTTAGCGATTCAGAGCTTTGGACCGCCAAGCTGGCACTTCCAGGCGTTCGTTTCGACTCTTTTGCTCAAGCATGGCCACTCTTGCTTTCACAGAGTTTAAGGGCATAGGGGATGGGCCTGGAGTGCTCCGTGTCTTGGAAGCGATCACTGAATCTGCTCCAGAATTGGGAGATATCACCGTAGCTGCGTTGGGAGGAACTGCTGATGACGATAAATGCAATTTGGAGAAGGAATCAAAGACAGAGAGTTTTCCCTCTTGTGGAAGACTCGGATTTGAGGCGCGGAGTTTGGGTTCACTATCAGGTGCACTGCGAACAGATTCCATGGAATCAGAGTTCAGCATATCCTGCACAGGATTTGGTCGCAAAATCCGATCCATGTGAGTATCGGCGCACTGATTTTTGTCTTCAGCTGCACTTAAATTACATGGACTCGCAAGTGAGAGAACATCAGCGCCGGGTTCAGGCTTTGTGTTTTCCGCTGGATGTCGAGTCCGAGAGGGGTGAAGTGGTTCTGAGTGTATGTCATCGGGGGACAATACTTCGGATAGAGTAGCGACCATAAGGCGGTTGAGATCATCCTCAGAGCCGGATGTGTTTCCATCACAGTCCACAGAAATCCCAAAAGATGCATAGAGTTTCTTATCCGCTGTGCTACTGGTGTTCTGGCGACTGCCCACTATATCTTTGAATTCACTGGAGCGGATAATAGATTGCCAAAGTTTCGAAGCAGATGATGTTGCCTCCCCGCTTGGTCCCATTGGGGAGGATACATAAGGCGGTGACGTGCTTTGCGATTCCACCGCTTGAGAATAGCCCATAGAATCATCAGCAGTCTTTTTACGATATGAGGCGGGTCGGAAATGAGGATCCGGTCTTAGGTTGAGAGGTCGAGACTGTTCGATAGCCAGCGAAGGAGGGAGTAGAGATGACGGGAAAGGTGCCTGTCGGGGAATGCCTTTAGGTAGGACAGAATTTTTACGATATGGAGTATCTTTCGTGTCGTGTAACAAGGGAGGAGTCGTGCTCCTCTGTCCAGGCCCGACAGGAACTGAAACAGGAGCCACAGGAGGCCTAAGCATGCTGACGTCAGGCTTAGAACGCTGAGCTGGGGGACGAGGGACTTTCGAAGATGGAGAGTGCAGCACTAATTCGCGAGGTGGATAGAGAGACACTAGGTTCACGATAGTAATCGGGAGATCAACCTTCACGTCCGAGAATCGGCCAGCGCTCACTTCCACCCTGATGAAGTATTGTACTTCAATGAGTCGGCTTCGGGGGACGCTTAAGGCATTGGACTGGAGACTGATGTCAAAAAGTTAGTGTGGGTGAGGACATGACAACTCACTGGGATCATAATGCCGTGTCGTGGAGAAGCCCTCCCTCCGGGATCCACCCCAAGCCACCAGCCTTTCGCACTGGCTTGGCCCTTGCACCCTCTTTGGCCAACCTCGAGAATCGCCTCCGCAACTTGTCGATGGTTGGTTTCACAAACATCGGAGCCAACTTGACCCGAAGACTGTGTGAGAGAATCAGAGAAGACTTTGAAGACTGTCAAGTGACGAATCAGAGAAAGTGTCAAATTCTTGACACGCTTGGTAGTGTTGTTTTCGATTAGAACGTAAACCCAACAGACTTGACCTGCAATCCAAGCCAATCGTTCAAGAATTCCAGTAACCTTCAAAGTACCAGTACCGAAGACTAGAGACCCCTCAGCTGTTCCGGAAATAGGGGTTGGAGAGGGACGAAGCAACAAGTTTGGGTCGAGGATGGGATATATTTGGCACATTCGATGAAAGTGAACTACGCAAGGGGACTGTTGTCGACTTGGGAGGACCTTCATAGACCTACCGGAGGAATAAATATTCCAGAGACAATTGAGACAAGAGGGATAGCTTACACAGCAATGATATAGTGAACCGATGAAGAGGACGATCCTTCCTCAAGAACGCCTTTTGCACCGGACCCAATAGGAATCGGGAAATTAAATTGTATTTTGTGTAAACCCGCCCTCAGAGCTCTAAATCCTTCTCTGTCGGCATCCGAACAGTACAGGCTGCCAATCGATGGAGAGATTTCATGAAGAAACCGAGAGTGTTGCATAAAAGGATGTTGGTTTCTCCCAGCGCTCTCAATGCCAACAACCCTTAGCCTTACGCCTGCCGATAGGAGCGATCCATTTTTCTTTTCTGAGAAAGGCACTTTAATCTTCAACGACCCGCACAATTGGCCGCCTTCTACGACCAAATCACCATCTAGAACCAAGTCGAGTCCAATTTTCGTTCGATTGTGCGGCTTTTCCGTGACAGACAAACCACTCTGGGAAGGATAAATTTCCTGAGGGGGTGAGTAAGGATTGACAAGCGTGATTGACGCTGGAGCAGAATTTCTTTTTTGCAGAGAATTGGGTCGAGCAGCTGAGGGTTGATCAGATGATCTCCGAGAGAAAAAGAGGAAAGACGAAGGAATAGACTTTCGACGGCGTTGAACGTCGGAATGGTTGGAATAAATGTCTGGAAACTCGGAGGCGTCAATGCTAGATGGATCCTTTTGAACCTTAGCATTCAGTGGATTGAGCCAGAGAACATTGGACTATGATAATGAGCGTTCTCACCACCTCATCTTTGGGCACCTTTCGCATTCTTCCTGCATCCTGGTTCGAAGCCACGGAAGACAGGTCGAAAGGTAGAGTCCGTGGCATCCTCGCTTGGGCTATAGAGACGGTCCCCAGCTCCGGTTTCATTCTATCTTCGGTCAGCGGTATTCCAAGTCCCGCTGGCCGCGCTTGTTTTAGGGTGTCCCCGCTCATTCAGTAGACCGCAGCGACGTTTATCAAGGACGAATTCGCAGCAAGAGGGGGACCCAAACAAAATGGAAACAGGAGCTTCACAGAGCCACGACAGGACCGGCACTGGACCAGTACTAGGTCCGACACCGAAACGATGGAACGGGTACATCTGTTGGCTGTTGTTTAGTAGTGGCGATGCACCTGTCGTCATGTGGAGTTTCCGACTCAGAGTGAACACCGCGCAAGCGATTCGGGCACGGCATCCTAAGAACCGTCCTTGAACGGCGATCAAGAGGGGATTGGCTGTTCCGTGTGCGCCCCCATCTAATTATGATCCAATTATGATCACAATGCACCCATGGGTGCGGAACCCGATCACGTTTCAGTGAATAACTGCACAGCCCATCATTACCTTCGTTTCTCCAGCTGGACCTAGGCAATGTAAACTGTAATAAGCTCAACACATGGCTTGCACGTGGGAGTCGCTTGCATAGTCCTTTCGCATTTTTCTGCGCTACCTCCTCATGAAATATGCATTTTGTTCATGTTTCTCGACGTACATGTACACAATCGCACATACACACACAAAGGGCACACATTTAGGAAATCCCTTGGCAATATCCACGCCATAGTTAATCACGATCTTAGCCTAAAGGGGGGGCCCGAATTCAACAAATTATTTTATGAATTTGTGGCAGTAACCATCAATTCTAACGTCTCCTAATACCAATAAAACAGCTCGACATTTTCCTCACGAAGCCTTCACGAATCTTGAACTAATATATCATCAGCGTGGGCCCCAGTTCTAGGCCAAATCATGCCACTCACGTCCATATTCTCATGCAACGGAGCAATATCGTACCGCCGAAATATCGTAGCTGCAACTTGTAGCAGCTCCATTTTCGCCAGATTCTTCGCGATGCATGCCCGTGGACCCCACGAGAATGGAATGAATGCTTTTTGCATCGCTTCAGTGTTGCCTTCGAACCACCTTTCAGGTCTAAGATGACCAAAAAATCAATCAGTGAAACTCTATTGAGACATGCGCTGCATGCTCACCTAAAGCCATCTACATCAGCGCCCCAAACAGTCTCATCACGATGAACTGAATATATCGGGACGCTGAGAATACTTCCAGGCTTGAAGAATCTGCCTCTCACGACCAAACCGCCCTCTTGCACGACACGAGGCAACCCGACAGCCCTGAGTAATATTTTCAGTGTCAGCCAACCTCATACCTGAGTTAAAAACTAGTATTTGGGAAACCTACACAACAGACTGTAAGCGAAGACCTTCGTTGACGACGGCGTCAAGGTAAGGCAGCGACTTGATGAGGTCATAAGGTACTACAGACTCCTCCAATGGAGCGTCATCATCTTTCCCAAATTCAAGTCCAAGGGCTTCGTCCAACTCGGCCTGAAGCTTGCGGAGAATGGTAGGGTTCATTGCCAGGTGATATGTAATGGCACAAATGATACTACGAGGAATGAGATCAGCTCTAGTCCACTTGCCCTTGGCACCCCCCTACAATGCGATACTTACATGGACGTCGTATCACTGCCGCCGATGATCTGGGTGATAGACTCCGCAGTCAATTCCCACTTATCCATGGACTTCCCATTGACGTCACGCCCTCGAAGTAGCCCTCCGAGAACGTCCTTCCGATCATTGGGATTCTCGATACGCTTCGTGACCGCAGCGTTAGACATCTAAATAATTCGACCGAATTAATCAATAACTGAGGACCAAAGCGAGGAAGGGATACGTACACCGTAGAGTTTCTTAGCGGCTTCATTGCCAACCGAAAAGGAGGGAGTCTTTTTGAACAAGCCTCGAAGGATAGGCGGAACCACACCAAGAGTGCTTGCCCATAACTCCCTTTCATCGAGGATCTTGATAGCAGGAAGGTACTGCACTTTCCGAGTTGAGTCATTTACATCGATGTATGGCGCACGATCACATCCGGCTTCGATCATTCCGAACGGGGAACCGAACGCGAGATCGCCAATGATGTCGAATGTCAAGAAATTGTACCCTTTCCGGCAGTGGTAAGTACAGAGTGTGCGCGAGAAACGATGACCTACAATCCGCACAGTTGAGCCATGCTCTACCATCCTTCTTGTATACTTCCTGCACGATCTCCTCAGATTTTTGGGGAGCCTTGTCACAGAGTGAGTCCCATTTCTGGAGCATGCTCGCGATGATAGTTTGGAGGTACGGTTGGAAGTCTACAATACTAGTCTGGGAGAAAACTGGTGCAATCATCTTGCGTCGTCGGCCCTGTGGAGTAAGAAATAAGAATAAAGCGCAAGCAAAAATGAAGACAGAGGTCATACATGATCAGCCTTATCGCGTGTCGAGAAGATTGTCTATTAAGCGCGAGTGAGTCGTTGCCCATAGTAGGCAGCCTGCATGAGAACATACGCCATGCGTAGAACGGAAAGCATCGTAGAAATCTGATTTCAAAGTCCCAGAGTACTAAAAGTGGGTTACATCTGACAAATGAGATCGAAGGGATCAGAAAATGACTCACAGCATAAACCTCTCGAATGGCATCAGGATCCGATATCGAGATATGATTCGGTGCAATGCGCACAAATGGGCCTATGTTGGAAGACGATCAGGGACCTGGAAATTGCAAAAAAACGATTGCACCGATCTTACCATATCGCTTGTGCAACTCATGCACGAGTATTGAGCGACGCCCGGACGTAGCAGCTCTGTAGAGCCATAGGTCGGATAATCTGGCCATCAGTGGACCTGGGATTCGAGTTGAGTCATTATATCCGTATGCGTCACGGAAGTAATTGAATAATAAAAGTAGTGTCTTGAGGGCAGAAAAGGTTTCGTCAGCGCTCTGTCGAATGACAGGTTCGTCAAAACGTACAATGGATGATACGATAAGCAAGGGAAGAGTGATTATGACAAGGGGGATAGAGCGGACTTGTCTATCGGTGTAAAGTAAGGTATACGACAAATACTCGATGGATGGCGAAGAAGGAAGGTGCATTATGATTCGGTAATCTAGTATCACGTTGGTGATAATTACACGTATTCGTCGAAGGCTCTTCAGAGAGGTCTACAGCAACAGCTAAGAAATCAAGCTACTTTTATGACGAAAGGGGGTTGCGCCTTTACCCACGGCGCGGAGCATTATGGTGTAATAACACCGCCGCACGGGGTCGTGAACTGCAAACGGAATGATGCCTCAGGAGCCCATGCGGTCCAGCCTCCCTATAGCCCGATGCGGTTCCCGGCGACTCAGATAGAATGTCCAAACAAAGGCGTCTGATCGTAACGACGCCGCGTATAATTGACAAGGGGGGTAAGGAGGAATGAATATGGATTGAACGATATAAGATTCACACCAAGATGATCCCTGCCAGCGCAGTCGGTTGTTGCCCAGATGGATGATGACTGATGCAAAAAAAAACCCTAATTTGAGGGACAGCAGAGAAGTGCCAACACAGTTGTTAGGATCGCACACAGGGATGGAACGCAACCAAAAAATGATATGTGAATGATCATGATAGGCGATCTGCACAGCACAGCTGAGAGCGGGGGGATCGGGCCCAATGGATTCGGAAGCCGAGCGCGCATGCCTAGATCAGTAGAAGGTGGTATAATGATGCATCAGAACCCAAGGAGATGTGTTACTCACAGTCAGTCAGAAATCCGGTTACATAGTCGCGATCGGTGAGCGGAGGACCACGCCATGCATCAAGCGTCGGTCGGACGGTGTGGAGAGGCGCATAGGGATAGCATAGCAGTGGGATCTCTCGTATAGCTTGGGGCGCGTTCGTCATTCAGAGACATTGGTTACTACGCGGGAGCCCAGCCCCTGCACCTGTGCAGGGATCACGGCGACCGCCTCAGGAGTGGCTGCCACTTGCAAAGGGAGTCAGCCAGGATCTATCAATCCGGAGCGATATCCTCTTCCTAGTGAATAGACTGCTACCGCGTGACATTATGTAGGTGACATTGGATGGAGAACGGGGCGTTGACGGAAAAGTTTGTCAGGCTCTGTAGGCAAATCGCCATTGGAATCGAAGCCAGTGCGGTAACAGTGGGAAAATCTCAATCTCTACCTCCAATGAGGTATTTTCCAAGATATGAGCCCTGCTGTAGTTCGTGAATCGCAGTCGTGAGGCAGTTGCGGTTGACATCAACTTCAGTTCCTCCAAGATTCCCACGCCAAGTTCTCACGCCGTCGATTGCACAACCTCCTCGTATACGGAATTGCATGCTGTTTCATGCTGTATGGCATTTACACCCCTTTTTTTGTTTTCCCGCTCGGCTCGCCCAGACGTTACTGTTGAATTCCGGGTGCTCAGGTTCGCATCTTTAGGTGGATTAGACGTAGTTTGAGATAGATGTATGGTCAGTGACCAGCCGATTGTATGTAACGGTCCGCTTGTGGGATTTCCGAGCCCGGGGGTGGATCCGCGATATTGCACATCGGTCCCATCAGGATAACCAAAGGTGGACGTATGGCCGCCCATCTCCTTGCCCGTGGAATACCAAGCCATCGCAGGGAAATGTGCACGTTCAGACGGAAACGGGAAAACGAAGTCCCTGGGCGCGCTCTCCCATAGCAACCAAAGTAACGGTTGGACCAGGAGAATCAGACATATGGAGCTGACGTCATATGACAGCTCGGGGGAGGTTCCGTTCTTGGCATAGGCACACATCTTAAAATGACAATTGTAGAAGGAGGAAACGGAGAGAGCTTGTGAGGGTAATGCGGCTCGGCGACATGACAATTTTCTAATTGGAAAAGTAGCTTCGGGTGATTGCGGTAATCAAAATAACGGGATAATTGGCTTCGCACGCTAGTTGCAAGCCACGACGGAGATGGAAATAGCCCGATTGATGATCAGATGGGTCCCCGTGGCTGGCGGGATTAATTGCCCCGTTGAGTTAAGGTTAGGGGACCAATTGTTCAATGGAATCATAACCAACGCAGCCACCAAGCCACTCCAACATGTGCCAGCTACACTAAGGGCATTCCTCCAAAAATTGGATTGCTGTAGGATGCCTTACATCTCAAGTGCGCGTGCGTATTGTAACACTGAGCCAACAGCAGCAGCATCTCTGCCTCTCAGTATCTAAATAGGAATCACTCAACTGGTGCAGTCACCTACCGCCCTGCGCTCCGTATGGTCTACGGCATGGCAAGTTAAGCCAGTAGTGTAGCCAGCTTCCACGACGGACTCGGACCTACTATCACTGATATCACACTTAAACGAGCAAGGATAGGTAAGGGTATCTTTACCCCGTCCAGCATCCCATGAATGATAATAGGCAGGAGGTATTTGTCTCCGCTTGCATCATTTCATATTTGGAACCATCTTGCAACAAACTATGGGAGACCTCATTCCGAAAGCTCTCTCCCACGGACTCACTCAGCTTCCTGGCGCGGAGAACGCAGTTATACCTGAAGCGGTCAATATTCCAACTCCGTCACCTCCGCCTGGCCCCCTTTTCCTTTGGGAATTGCAGTCGTTAATCGTCCCCCAGGAATCCATAGAGAAACCAGTTGCGCGAGGATTCTATGCTGGTTATACCATTGATCGCTCTCTTGGAGCCGTCGTTCGGTATCCGAAAACCATGGAGTGAACTTCTCACCAAGGGCGGTTATGAAAACCTGGAACGCAGATCAGAGAGGTGTATATGTATCATCAACAACGAACAAACGAATCATCCCGTAAGTTGGGAAGTCGTGAATTGAATGAAATTCCTTGGAGGCTCCGCCGCTGATGCGGCATGTTGCATGCATATAAGTAAGCAACACATATATAGTGAAGAGACGAATCATTGAGAAAATAGCTCCCCCCTCCCCTAATGGATGCTAAGGAAGGAGGGTTGGGGATGAGGTAGACGGGGCCATGGAAGGACGATCGACGCCGCTCTTCAAAGCCACGATGCCGCGCTTGTTGCTGTTTATATTCACGAATACATGACAGGAAAGCCGGCGGCCAAGCGCACTAGTGGTGTTTATGACATCTAACTTGAGGAAAGGGCCGGCCCGCCGTAATTAAGTGGATATTGATGTATGTTTCAAACTCGTGACCAAAGGCGTTTGCATCCGCAAGTTCGTTGGTGATTCCACAACTTCCACAATATTTCTACCTTTGCAAGCACTTCATGTGCCCATTCCTTAGAGTGCTGAGATATACTGTAAGAACCGTACGATGTAGTGGTATGTACAGTTATTAACGGAATGTCATTATCAAAAAAAGAAGGATGGCAGAAGTAGTTCATGCAAAATTGATCCCAAAGAAGTGAGTGTGGTACCGAATCGGATCGCAAAGTTGTCCGAAACGTCACATAGCCAACGAGGCTTGGAGTTCCCGCAGCTCCCGCTCTTCTTCTGACTCTTCTGTTCGCCGTTTCCCTTCTGTTGAGGAGTGGAAAACGAGGTAAGTGAATAAGGTTGGGCCCAAATCCGCTAAAAGATACGTACTATCTGCAGTCTCTCTTGTTGGCGAAACCGGAGGTTGTATCGGCACGCGTTCAGCACCCTTTAATCGGGTATTGAGCTCCTCCTGTTCTAGCTCCTCTAACTCTTTGTCCAGCTCAAAGTCATCTATCTCAATTCCTGCAACCATGGGAGTGGAAATAGCGTTTGAAATTTCTTGTGTAACGGCCATTTGTTCTCGGATCGAATCCATTGTCGTTTCGACTTGTTCGACTGTCCTGCAGAAATGTCACACGATGCGTTTACAGCACGGAAAAAATAAGGTGCGGGCGTACATCTTTCCATGGATCTTGGAGAGTGCATTGGCGCCACTCGTCATAGCGTCCAACACTTCCTGGTTGATGTTAGCGCTCTCGAGCGCGTTCACCTATGGAGCCGCCGGGGTGGACGGAAATAGGTATCAGGAGTTGAATGACTCGACGGATGCAAAGCATGATTTGGATGGCGCACCTGGGATTCGAGTGTGAATTTCTGCCCGCTGAGCCTGTCGAGATCCGCCTGTAGGACTTTCTTCCGCTTCAGCGCCTCTTTCGCCACTAAAGTCGTTGGGATACACCATCAGTCACAGGTATCGGAGACCATGGAACGCGTCACACAGACAGTTCTGATTAGTAACAGCGTTTGCTTTAGCCTTGGCATGCTGTTCATCGATCTGCTTCTGCAGATGCTCCTCCTTTCTCTCAAGGAGCTGCAGGTTCTGCCTCAGCTTGATGATAGCTTCTCGAGCAGGTCTCTTGGTGTCCTTTGGTCCTGTGAACCATGACATCCAACCCGACATTGTGGAAAGAGCCTTTCGATTGTGGCGATTGGGAGAAAGGGATTAGAAGCTGTGGCGCAGTTGCGGTTCGGACGCAACGAATGCAGTAGCAACCAAGTGACCGATCTGGCCGGCGACTGCCGAAATTAGTGCGAGCTTATTTCCACAACAGGCAATGCTTACCACGCTCTGTCTGCTAAATGTAGCAGGGTGTACAGGCTCGTTCGCACCGAGGATTCGAAGCCAGCATAATCTGAGGAGATGAAATCATGTTTTCTGGCCTCTCTCTGCGCAGCCCCACCCATGGAACACGGTGAAACATCGTTCCACGTGATTCCCCCGAATTCCCTGCCAACTCTGTAATGGAAAAGCATTCTAATTTATCCTCGAAATAAGCAGGCACTTCCATGGTTCTTCAGGTGAGAGACAGGTTTCTGGAGAACTACGCCCCTACAGAGCACAATCCTATCGGTAGAATATCATTGTCACCGGCGGTGCCGGATATATAGGTACGCCGCCACAATTCCTGATTTGACACTATCCTCCACGTCGCATGCAATCACTGACGCGTTATTTCGCGTCTAATTAGGGTCTCACGTAATCCTCTCGCTTTTACTTACCAGAAAATTCAAAATCATTTCTATCGATAACTATTCCAACTCGCACGCAGAGTCTCTCGAACGTGTTTCAAAAATTGCACGCGAATCCCTGCCAGTGGACGCGTCAGAAGAAGATAAATTTAGTGTAATAATAGATGATCGCAAAGTAGATCTCACTAATTCGCTTGCGGTTCGCGAAGTCTTCGAAGCCTACGGCAAAGGCAACATCTGGGGTCTTATCCATATCGCTGCACTGAAAGCTGTTGGGGAATCCGGAACGGTCCCTATAGAATATTATCGCGTCAACGTTGCTGCTACAATAACTCTCTTACAACTCATGGACGAATTCGAATTGCATAGACTTGTATACTCTTCTTCCGCGGCAGTGTACGGTATTCCACCAAAAATTCCCACCCCTGAAACTACAGCTCTCAAAGCTAAAAGCGTCTATGGACGTACGAAGGCCATATCCGAAACCATTATCAAGGATATATGCCAGTGTATGTACAACCTTATTCCATACAACTCTATTCACCGAGTGTTTGGCCTATCAATATGCACGACTCCTTTAGCGAACCCGAAATGGCGCGTAATATCGTTACGATATTTCAAGTGAGTGATGGTCGATTTCCCTTCGAATTCGTTCTCAGCTGAGAAATGATTCTGTGAGAATAGCCCCGCAGGTGCATATGAATCGGGTCAAATAGGCGAACACCCCGTGGGAATTCCTGAAAATTTGCTGCCTCGTCTTGCCCAAATGGCTGCAGAACAAGTGGAAGGCCCTGTAAATGTGTTCGGGAATGAATATAATACCAGGTGTGTCTAAGTTCCCTAATGATATTGCCACGACGGACTAACATCAGACCTGGGTGGGCTTGAGAAGGGATGGCACTTGCGTCAGAGATTACATTCATGTTGTCGACTTGGCGGAAGGCCACCGTCTGGCACTAGAAGCTCTCTCGGATGGGTCGCTCCAGAAGACGTTCGGAAACGTCGCGGGAAATAATGTCAATTACAAGGCTTACAACCTTGGCACAGGACATGGGAAAACCGTACTGGAGGTTGTCAACGTAATGAAAGAAGTCACAAATTTCGCATACGAGATAAAGTTTGGTAACCCCCGGTGGGTAGTCCCTACCACTCACATGTTTGATATTCAATACCAAGTTTACAGTGCCGGCGACGCTCCAACCCTGACAGCCGACCCAGCTCTAGCCAAGACGGAACTTGGCTTCTCGGCTTCATCTGACCTCGAGAGGATTTGCCGTGATCTCTGGAACTGGCAGGCAAAGAACCCAGCTGGCTACGGTACTCAAAGAGCCCAACGGAGCTAACTATCCAGAAGAAACTCACCAAATCCATCATTGTCGAAGTTCCTGGTCAGGAGGTTGTCATTGAAGCTACTGCGGAGGTTAAGAAAGTTTGGGTGTTAGGAGTCTGAGTCACAGTTCACGGTTATTCTTATACTACTATTCTGGCTCTCATCGCTATCTTGTGTACTCATGGACATATCTCGCTATACGGACTTGAGTTGGACTGGAGACTAGTAGAAGTAACTTACATCATTGATACCCATGTTGTTGATAAATTCCACAACCTTGTGGACCTCGGTCGCTTGGGCCTGCCCGCACATGAATCCGCCAAGTTTTCGATCTCGGAGATTTCCAAGCTCCGAGTCGCATTGAACTCTTGTGCAAAGAACTCAATGTTCACCACCCAAAGCATTAAACATCAGAAGATGGAGCCCCCAACTGGGATGTCTGAGTTTCCTACGATGATCAATGAGCTGGGTGCGCTCCTAGATGCACTAAATCTTTACGTATCTACGAACTTTGTCAATGCTACACCCATTCTTCTTCAGTACCATCCATCCAGGCGCACCGAGATGATACAGCACGAAAAGGATCGTATTCACCGAATGCACGAGCAAATAACCCGAGTAGGCACTATTGCGCTGAAGTTCAAGGCGTTTGAGCAGAACATGAACCGGCGCCACAGTGCCCTCCAAAATACGCTATCGCCTGTATTTTCTCTGCCAACCGAAATCCTACTCAACATCCTTTCCAGAGTTGTCTTCGCCAGTCGTTGTCGGGTGCCGCCGGAGAGGCTGTTGCTCGTTTGCTCCGCGTGGAAATCGCTTATTCTCTCATCTCCGGAGCTCTGGGCGGGTTTCACAATGTACCTGGGAGCCTCCAAACGTTGTCACGCTTACTTCGAGCGGTCAAAGCCACGAAAAATACAAGTTATCCTTCTCTCAGGTTCAAATTCGCCTCCTCATTGGGTTCGAAAGATTCCCCCGTGGATCGCCAGCGAAGATTTTGCCTCCCGGGTGACGCGTCTCTGTGTTCAATTAGACAACGACCTCACTCAGTCATTATGGGCACCATTAATCACAAGAAACAGTCCCCTGTTCACCAAGCTCTCAATCTTGAAGATCACGGGCGATTCGAACAACGAGAGATTCCCGTTGCCTCTGATCCAGTTTCTATCAGACAGGAGATTTCCTCGCCTCACCAAACTTCACCTCTCTGGGGTAACACTAACATCCACACCTCTGGAGCAGATCATGAATATCAGATTTTTGGTTCTGGAAGGTGCCTTTATGGACAATGTCACTTTGGTGGCTCTGATGCGGTGCTGTCCTCAACTGCACACCCTGCACATGCGTTATGGTTATTATTCTGGCTTTGTGAGACCGGATATGAGCATGACACCAATTCATCTCCCTCATCTCCGAGAAATCCACGTTACATTCTCTAAAATCTTCATAATGGTCCAGCTTTTTACGCGGATCAGAGCGCCCGAAATACGCACCCTCAGAATTACGTCTGCACCTTTTCGGGATACATCTGCATCTTTAGGTGTGGCTGAAGGCATATCTGCACTGGATGCGTTTGTGAGTTCTCGATCCCTAATTTTCGGGCATGATGGACTCACTGCATCCTCTAGTTAGTTGTCGGGCATTGTGCACCAATCGTTCAACGAATTAGAGTTCCGTGGCCAAATCCACACAATGACCCTCTTCCTAAGCCTGCTTTTAACGAAGACTCAACCGCGTGGGTCGAGTGCTTTTCTGGGACTGAGACGGTTGGTTTTACGGACACCAGTTGCTGGTTTGGGTGATAACGGTTACGGAAATGAAGCCTCGCAACTCCGGACCCTGGTAGAACGCCTTCATGAGCGGGGTGGCCGATTAGAAACTTTGGAGGCTACCTCCAATTTCATCACGGATGACTCCGTAACGTTGGAGCAGTATGTTGGGGTCGTCCGTATCATCGCTGATAAGCGTGATTGAGATTGTGTGAGTTATAGCTGACACGGATGTGCTATCGATATTCATGGAAAGACCTATACAGAGGCTGGGTCCTGCCTAGGAAAGGCCGGTGCTAACGGTAATCAATTACCGATATGGCGGGACCAAGGCACACAAAGCTGGGGCTTTGAATGACTATGCCTCACGCTTTGTCATGTCTCGGGATCAGCACGTTTTGGCAACGCGCGTGTGGGGTGCCTCCTATTTGCAATAGGAGTTCATCAAATTTTCTTTGATTGGTTCAGAGTTCCCATGCCTTCACATCTCCTGCTGTGTCTGTTCTGCGCTACCCTCCCCTTGGTTATATGTACAAGCTAGTTTAGTTTTTTACCCTCAATTCAGAAGTCTCGGCACAAGTCGGGGCTGTCGTCACAGCTATAACGTACACCCTTGAGCCAGCTCGGCCAGTGCACGAACACAAGCAATATCTGAACACCGCATTTTCGGTTCCGTCCCGGTTCGGTTCGGAACGGAACTGTTGGAACGGCCATCGCTATCTATTATGCTTGGATTTTTTTTTTCGGTCCGACACAAAGACCCTGATCTCTTAGACTAAAGCCCTGAACAAGATATTTTATGATTGTATGCGCAATATCCAACATGCAACCCTTCAATGGTTCTTGCGGTTCGGTTCGAGTATGGGTTCGAAACCAATCGATCTCTGGTGTATCCATGGACAGATCTCGCTTCATGGACGCGAAACTAGAAGTAACTCATGTCGCTGACAATCATGGACTAGATGCCACATCTTTGGCCTTGAAACTGCCTCGCTGAGGCACCTGGACCCGAGCTCGAAGATCTCCGCGTTCGAGTGGCAGCTACCAATTACGTAGTACCACGGGATTGGGCCTCCACCAGGGATGTCCGACCCTCCCACTATCATCAATGAACTGGTCCTCCTGGATGCACTGAATCTTCACATGTTTGCGTCGTCGATGCGATGCCTCTTCTTCAGCCATACGCGCCAAGATGACAGAGCACGCAAAGGATCACTTCATCTAATGGATGAACCAATGGCTCGTAAGGGCGCTATTGCACAGAAGTTCCAGGAGTTCAACATGAAGATAGCACGCCGTCGCGGCGCCTTTCAAAATATGCTGTCCTTCATATTTTCCCTCCCACCCGAAATCTATCCTTTCCAGCGTGGTCTTTTCCGATGATATCTGGGTGCTTCGGAGCAACTACTGCTGGTTTTCCCTACGCGGAAACCACTTACTTATTCTCTCCTCTCCGTCAAATATCGAGGTGAACCTGCAAAGTCCTGAACGCTTTCGAGCTTTCGAGGCCACGGAAAATACAAGCCACCCTTCCTTGTCTAGTGGTTCGGCTGGAATAATCCCACCGTGGATTGTCAGCGAGGAGTTCGCTTCCCGAGTGACGTGTATCTCCATGGAATTGGAGAGCCAACTCCCTCATTCAGCATGGCGCAGCTAACTATAAGACACAGTCTCCGATTCACCAATTTCTCGATCCTGAATATTGTCAACCTGTCAGGGAGATGCCACTGGGCGATTTCTGACAGACACAAAGTTTCCTCGCCTCACCGAGCCAGGGTGATACTAAGGCACACATTTTCGGAGTAGGTCACGAACGTCCAGCCTTTGATATTTTCATGGACGATGTCATCTTGATGGCGCTAATACGGGGTTGCCCTCAACTGCACACCCTCCATATGCATTATGGTATTTTTGAACCTACCTTCTCAGGACCGGACATGGGCATGGCCCCGGTTCATCTCCTAATCTTCGAGAAACCCACAAATCCTCATGGTGGCGCACCTTTTGAAGCGGATCACAGCACCCGAAATACGCACCCTAGGATTGAATCTTTTGATGCATCTACAATTTTAGTTGAGAGCGAAGCCATACCTGCGCTGGATGCGTTTGTGCGTTCTCAGTCCCGACGCGACGAACTCATGTTGCTTCCTTTGGTGTAGTTGTCGGCCGATTGCTCAATGAACTAGGGTTCCACGGTCAAATCCGCACCATTACCCTTTTCCTAAGCCTGCTTTTAAGTCAACTCCGCGAGTCGAGCGCTTTTCTGGGATTAAGACACTTAGATGCGCGCGATGCGCACAGCGTGGGCTGCTTTGCGTGTTTCCGGGCGAAACACCAAACACCCAAATTCAGCAAGGAAATTTCCGTCAGTCAACTCCTGAGATTTTTTAATCTTCGGCACTGACGCTAAACGAACCTGAAGCTGGAGAGGGCCCTTCACCTATAACCGGTGCAAGTAGCCAGCCTCCTCCATCCCTAGACTCCCAAAGCATGGGAGCTGGTCTCCCCGAACCCGAAGAATCCTTTACTTTACCGGCACTCACTACCGAATTCGATCATCTCCTGATGACCAGCGATACAGGATATTCTTTGAATCCTCTGCAACCAGTTCATGGTGGGCCCGTCTAATTCGTGGCGGGGTGCGCTTGTTCGCAAGGTTCTGTAGGCGATGCGCGGCCGGTCGCAGATGCGGACCTCCAACGACACGTTCTGTTCGCCATCCCTGGATGCTTTCAGATCGTCCTCGAATTTGGGGGCGATGCCCTGAGAATCAACGAAGCGATCCCACCTACTCACAATTAACTCCGCTAGCTACCATAGACAGGATCCGCCCAACAAACGTTCAAACACGTCTCACGAACTCCCTTTCAATCACTCCGTCAAGCACGCACTCATTCCATCCAACTCGCACCCAATCCATGGTTTTACGAACGCCAGCTACTGATTTGGATGATGGGGATGATAGAAATGAGGCTTTGCAAACCCGGGACACCTTTACAAGCGGAGTGGGGGATTGGAAACTTTGGGGGTCACCTCGAATTTCATCATGAAGAATTCTGCAACAATGAAGGGGCTCTTCATATCATCGCTGATGAGCATGATTGTGATTGTGTGATTGTGATTTATGTTTGTTGCAGCTGACGTACTAGGAACCCCCACGAATCGCCAGCCATTCTGTCGCATTCAACTCGTGGGATTTGACGTCTCAACGATTTCGGCCACAATATCCTTATGTTTCATCGTTCAGATTTCAACACGGGGTGGTGAGTGCATAATGAAAAACGCCGATACCGCGCCGAAGGCAGAAACCACCGCCCCACCCCGCACCGCCCTGCAGCGACCAGATTAAAGCACAGTAGCATCAATAGGAGTAGTTTGATCATGGAGTAAATAATTCCACGATTCCACAATCAAATCGAGGTAGCAATTTCTCACTGCCTTGAGTACACCTCTGGCGGCGGCACATTTAAAGGCCCTATCACTTCCCTCACCGCAGGAGGCCCACTTGGTCCTGGGGGGTTCCTGATTGTGGAGTAAGATTGCGATGCGGAATGACACCGGCCCATGCTGATTGAACTAGGAACCTGACTCTACGTCCCCACTTATTAAACGTTCCACAGGATCGCCCGTAGCCTCCTGCTTTCGACTTGAATACTCCCAGCGTCGGGGGGGCAAGATGTACATCCCGGAATAACAGAGGGGCAACGAAGTACCAAATCACGATTAGGTAAATTACAATAATGCATAGAACGAATTGGTGGGGGGGGATTTTATCTGTCTCTGTCCATTCTGGCGTACAGATCCCATGAGTCCCCAAATCGAGCATGCCCGCACTCAGGCTCATGGTCGTCCTCTTGCGCATCGGAGGTTGCCAATTTCTTAGGGCCGGAAGGGGCCTCAATATGAGGGCCCGATCCAATACCTAAGTCCATGCCATGCTCCCGGGAATGGAGACGATTTGTTCCAAAACAAATCGTGGGAACCGAACTCTTCCACTCCCAGAATTCTTCATCGATTGTTTCCACGTCTAACAACCCGGCAGTGCCAGCGGGAGATTCATCCACTCGTAGTCCTATTGGGACGTAGCTCTCATCAAACCGCATCAAACGCACGTTCCCTGCACGGAAAGACCCCTGAAGCCGTGACCATACCGCACTGATGGTAGCTACACCAGAGAGCCACCCCGAAGCGAATTCATCTTGCCATTCATCGCGCTTGATGCTATCTGGTTTCGGGGAGAGGGTCGTCGAAAAAGACTCGAGAGTCGAGAGTTGGGGAAGTATCCGTATTTTCTCGATCGAACCAGTGCGTAAGATCTGTGCATCGCTCGAGGTCAACTGAGAAGACACAGCTTGAGAAGAGGGTTGCCGAGGAGGGGACCGGGCTCGAATGGAGAATGTTGCTGCAGCCAGGCCCCTTCGACCTCTACGAGCTCGCCGAGGCGTGGAAGCGCCGGGTCGCGGGGCATCTTCTGTTTCATGGTCAGCGGTGCGAGGCTGATTCTCTTCCACCCAAACCTTCACTGCTTTCTCACGTGCGGTTGCCTTTGAAAGCCCTGCGATAGCTAGCCCTCTACCAAGATCTTTCCATCCCTCGCGACTGAGGCAGCAACTATCCAGGAGCAAGTGCTTCACCCGGGGCATGGCATTCATGAGTTTAGGCAAGGATACGAGGGGATTTCCTAGAGCGGTCGTGCCAATATCGAGTACCGAAACATTGGGGAAGGATCCTGGTGTTAAAAGCTGCGCAACCACGGGTCGCGAAGGCACTCGTATCCGAAGGTGGGTGAGAGTGGAGGCTAAAGACGAGACAGCAAGCAACCTTATGACCTCAAGGCTGAAAAACACGATAGGTTGGGCAAAATTTGTCTGGGGGGCAAAGGCTCCCGTGGGTAGAGGGTCTTGGAGTATAGAAAGATACTTGAAGTCATTCAAAGCAGGCCATTTTGACATTTCTTCTATCATGCTGTCGCTGTACGAACCCTAGCGATGGGTAATTACGAAGAGCCTGTGCCAAAAGAGGCTGCAATCATTGCGATACCTTTAGAAACTGGTAGTAAGTGACTTTCTCCACGCTGTGCAATGACAGTAAAGATAAGCAGCGAACAACTACAAAGGAACACCGAGGCCTCACTAAGGTCTAAATCTCAGTGACATGTGCTTTAGAGCTGTCTGGGCCCTCTTGAACAGGTCGTTCAGATGCTCGGGAGAGAACGTCGTGCCAATATTGAGATGCAGGTACTTCAGCTGAGAAAATAGCTCCATCGTGCTTGATGACATAAGTCATATGTGAAACGGTCTTGATACTTATCGATACGCCAGAATAGAGACGTACTTGATGAAAACGTCAGCGTCCGGATCCCATGCATAAAGCGCTAACGACTGCGTTCCGCTTGCAATAGAAATGCCACCGCTTTCTTGGAGCTTCGATAACACCCTCCACAACTTTAGTATTTGATCCCTCGAAGTGAGTTGGATATGCAAGAATAGTTCGTATGAGGGCACGGGGGAACGAGGCAAAGCAAGTCTCAATGCCGCGGTCGTTCTCTGGAGTTCGGAGTTCGGTGTATGCGCCAATATTTCATGGTAGAGCTCAGCTGGTAGTGCATCAAGTGTACAGAGAGTGCGAGTTGGCTCGGCCTGCATGGGCCAGGAAGATGAAAAAACAAGCCTTCACTGCCACATTCACTTCATGGGATTTCCGTCTTGGAGACAGTGAATTCCAAGATATCGTAGCACGGCGAGGTCACCCGCTCGGGGTTAATCGGTTAACCATTCGCATGTCATTTGCTGGCGATCTGTACAGACGTACTTGCTCATACTAATATGCACACAAACACGCACTAGATGACTTCATCAACTTTCTCACCTCGATATGTACTTATATTTTTTTACGAAATCCATCCCTTGGATTCAAACTGCCTCACTAACTCGACGAAGGACTCCTTCGGATCCCTCAGTTCGATTCCGGGGAAAAGGTCCCGCCTCCGATCGTCCCTCCGGATGACGAGAGACCTCTGGCTTGGAACCACACTGCGTGACCCTTTAGGGATGTTCTCCAGAGGTGGATTGAGAGAATTGAGCGTGTCGTCTATGTGAGAAGGGGGAGATCGTGTCATGAGGTCATTCACACCTTCAATGGAGGAGCCTACAGATATCTTGAACGATGAAGCGACCTGAACGGTTGAATATATTGTCAGGATGATAGGAATTGGACTGCAATGAACATGAAATGCACCATTGGAAGCGACGACTCGCATCCCGCCCGCTTTCTCGGCGAGCAAAGAGAGGACGTGGAGAAGTGCGGCATCACGAACATCAATCCAATCATTCCCCCCTGGCAAGAATGAGGAATTGGTGCTCGGGTCTTCAGTAAGCAATCCCATGAACAGGATGGGAGAGCCGGAAAGTGCAGCAACGGTGTCGGGGAGCTTCGTCACGTCAATAAGTGCATTCGTAGGAGTAATGGCGGGATCACCTGTAGCACTGGCTGCAGGAGTGAGATATGATAAGACTCAGGACTGGCCACAAATAATCTTTACCAACCCCAATGCACTGAAAAGACGGGGTGAGCGACCTGGGGAATTCTCTGAACAAGGCGGGGATTCGCTCACCGTAGCAGGGAGAATCCTGACTACATCGAAATTTGGCCTATTGTGCTCCACAAAGTGGCAAACAGCCCTTTCCGCCAAGGTCTTGGACGCGACGTACTTGGTCATCCCAGAAGCCAGACGTCCCTTTTTGTAAACGAAGGTCACAACTGCATCATTCCAGTCATCCTAATCCATACCGTGTCAGCAATGAAACCAACCCGGGACGTTTCAGGGTAGACACAGACCTCCTGAATGACTATTTCTTTGCCTAAAATTACTGGGTTTGGCTGTGCACCGACCGAGGACGTATACACCACGCGCTTGACGTCACGTCTGCTCACTCCTTGAGTGGAATGACATGGTCAATCATAACAATTAGCTCACCCGAACTTGAAGGCGCTTTGGAGAAGACTGGTTGCCGCTTTAACAGCAGGGCCAATAATCTCTGCGGGCCTACGAGGTTAGTGTACAGAGGAGACTGCCGACCCACGGTGCATTCATGCCTTGAGGGTCATCTGCAAGGATGTGAGCAGGCGCGGCCGTGTGAATTATTCCATCAATTCCTCGCACTACATCATCACAAGCGCCATCCTATTAATCAGCTTAGTTGGGGGAAGAGAGGGACTGCTCGCTGGGGATTCCTGGGTGGGAAACTCACGAGTGTGATATCAGGTATAATGACATATTCGAGACTGGACTCATGGTCAGCAAAGTGAGACGCTTGAGCCTCCGCTGCTGATTGTGAAACGACACTGTAGGGCGAGGATGATGAGTATTCGAGACGTTTCTGATTGAAAAGATATTGAGACTAACACCGCTCGTACCCTAAATCCTCTTTGTAGGAGATAATCGACCACCCAGGAGCCAATATAACCGTTAGCTCCAGTGACCAATATCGTTGAACTTCCTGAAGTTATCGCAGGCATAGACCTAGCAACCCAATCCGTGTGAAGGAGTGGTGACGCCCAATGTTCCCTCTGAAAAAGGTTCTCCCACGGCGCAATAGGTATTAGAATACTAGCGATACGAAACTAGGGTACATGAGTTGCATACAAGCGTTGAACAACTGGCAGAGAAGTATTTTACCTCAGTTCAGTACTAGTACAGTGAACTGAGGGAAGACGTAAATAATTTTCATGCTTATAAGCGTAGCGCTCTGAGTAGCGCACAAGCGTAGGAGCCAAGACACCAAGAATGGCAAGAGTACGCCGCACTCTCACCAACGTGAGTAGTCCCCACGGTGCGAAAGGGAGCTGGCTATGGGAGGACAGATCACGCAACTTCCGGAGATTATTTCCCCTCCTGGCGGGGTATAGAGATCACACCACGCGAGGAAACCCTCCATGTAGTTGTACAGTTGACCTGCGACGATCGACAGGGGCGATACGATCCGCCGATTTGTGCGGCAATCGCAAGATCCCGTTTAGAAACAGTCACGTGCATGGTTCCGTTTCGTGGCTTACCCTGTCCACTCTCCTTTGTAGCCTAAGGACACCGCTACTACATTTATGCCATGGCACTCATGACGTTTGAGCTAGTTAAATCATACACCTCATCAATAGCTACCTTAGTAGGGGCTCCTTTCTTTGGTGCCAAACCACAGCAAAGTCCGGATCCTCTATACGACGGAGCTGTTTATCTGAATCCTGCACGACGCTCGGGAGCCCGACTTGTTCTTTTGCCTTTGCTCCCCCCTCCTCCCCCGAAAGCTGAGCTCCCTGCTGAACTCTGGCGAAGGTGCTTGCACTTTGCCATGGACTTGACGCATGAGAGGACGTCACTACTTCGGATGGAGTACGAGAGGTATGAGAAATGCAGGAGGGAGCTCCCTTGCGTGAGCAAAACGTTCAAGGTGTGTCATTCTACTCCATATCGCCTGCGCTTGGATACTGATATTATTCGTTGCAGACTCTCGCCACACCAATATTGTACTCCCATATAAAAATCAGAAGCCTCGCTTCGTTACAGATTCTCCATGATGTGCTTCAGTCCTCTGATCAACAGTGGGACAGTTTACGACGAATACCCTATTCGACTCCGGGCCGATGGATTCAATCACTAGACTTCACTGGCCTTGCTGACTCACTCACCACGCGCACCACCAAACTACACGCTGATACCCTTCTAAGCAACCTCTTTCGCTTCACCCCATTTCTCTCTTCGTTAACCCTGCATGCAAAAATATGCCTCAGTCGCAGAGCGATGGCGGCTCTAGCCGAAGGCTGCGGGCTGAGGCTGAAGGTTCTTAAAGAACTACTCGTGTGCCCTGATTCGGCAGCCATGCCTTCTAGCCAATGGCTCATTCAGTCTGACCCACTAATCTCGCTCGTTCGGGCGTGCTCAAATTTGGAGGTTCTGGAAGTGATAGGACCAGGCTTGATCCAAGATGAAGAGACTTTTTTGGGTGCCATCGATTCTCATGAGCTAAAATTGGAGCCCATATCTCTACTTCACCTACGGAGACTATCAATCATAGGGATACCGCAGGCACCATTCTTCTATTCACTGATGCGGTCGAAATTGCCATCATTAAGTTTTCTCACCATCACAGTGTATCCTTCTCCATTTTCCCCTTCCCCATCAGCCACCTTCCTTGCGAATCATGGAGAAACTATTGAATCGCTCATTCTCACCCTACCCCCTGACTGGCCACCCCCTGATTATGCTTCCTATCGTCCATCACCAGCAGCCTACAATTCTGAATCTATATTGCACATCCTTCCCAAGCTCACCCAATTGAACTTGTGTTTCCCGCTCCCCCCACTACTACTTCTCCCGACTCCTGACACTCCTTTGCGCACATTACTCTTCCCTCGACCACTGCCAGCTCTACTTCCCTTTGTCCAGGCTCTGGTTTCGAATGCACATACCAGGGTCGATGCTGGAGCCGATGCTCCTGCTATTTCACCGAAGGGAAAAATGAGCAGTCAGGCTGTTAACGGGCTCAAGACGATAGTGTGGACCAAATCTAAATGGTTGCGGAGCGATTTGGTGACCGCAAGCCGAGGAGCAAGGTTGGCCGGCGATCAAGTCGAGATGCACAGATGGAAGAGAATGTTTTCGGGAAAGTTACAGCTTCTCGATGCAGAGGCAAAAGAGGAATAAATTAGATCTAGCGTGGTTTTTTGGGTGGTTTCCGTTGTGGGTGGGTACGTTCTGGCATCTTGTCAAGCCGCTGTTCTGCCATGTAACTTGTCTGTTGTACTGTAGATATATATTGTGTACTATTCCCAGTGTCAGTCAATCGCATCGTCCTGTCGCATTTTGTATGCTTCCCATCATGTCACCGCAACAGTACTAGTTTGTTAACATTGTTACACATGTGGGCATGCACGTGCAACAAGCGGTGTGAAGCAAAATTAGGCGCTTAAAATTTGATTTGAATTTTTATAGTGCGCGACGAGCACTGTTCGCCTTTACCTCCTTTCATGTCTTAAACATAGTTAGCACTTCTTCCTCACCCCCCTGGTTCCCAGGACGCCCACATTCCCTCATCAATCTGGTTTATGGTCACCGTGGACCCATTATGAATGCGTGCCGATCTTGAGATCAGTACCTCCGATCAGACAGATTTCGCTTGCAATCTGGTCCTTCGGGAAGTGTGATCAGGATCCTTTCTCATGATCTTGATCGGGACTGTCGATCTCAGGATATTTCGTATATGTTCGACCACATGCACCAGTTTGGAACAGGTGTTCTAACAAAGGTGTTTGCTCATCCACGCCACTGATAGGAGTGGATGCAGGGCTGCTGATATGTCTTCATCGAAGTTGCACAGGCAAAACCACTCTTATGTACTGCCAACGATGCCCAGCTACCATACAAAATTGTGTGTTCCAAGTTGACCTCTAATCACGCGCGGCGTTCTAAGCGGGCCCAAACCAACCTGGGTACATGCTAACTACCCTAATCCCCGAGCCCTCCCTGCCAGCATGCCCATATAGCGCTCCGCTTGTGGCCCCACTCCACACGGCCAATCGTGGTGGTATCATGCGACGAGAGTGGTGCTCTGTTATCCTGCGTTTTAGAGCGCTAATGGGATTTTGGGGGCGCTCACCACAGCAAATTTGGGGCTTGCCCCTTTGTACAACTCGTGACTAGGTCCTGCTGCTCCCCAGCGCTTATCACTTTCGCGTCCCTGCTAGTTTGAACTGGTAGGTCCGATATCAGCAGTGACGCTGGTGACTAATGCGCGCGCTTCATATCGCCTGTCTGTGTTTCAGCTATGTGCTTTAGTTTGTGCATTCGGCGTCCGCACCCGTTGGGAATCTTACTGCGTCGTTTGACTGCCTTAACGCCTCTTCGCTCACATGTGCAGGCTGATTAAAGTGCATATATCCAAGGATGTCCCACCCCGCAAATATATGCCGTTGTGATTGCGTCCTAATATTTCCATTATTTCTGTCTGAAAGTGGATCGCCGATTGAAATCTCCGGTGTCACGCGGTGTGCGCGCCCCTCTTAAGAACCCGACGCAAATTATCCGTGCGTCATTCCGTCAGATGAGGGTTGAAATGCGGAAGAAAGGCGGCTGTCTATTCCCGCTACTCTGTGGTCCTCAAATTTCTCGCTTACCCACATCTCCTCTTATCTTTGCTATCGTGCAAACCATTGTTAATTTCGCAATGGATCTTCCGGTTAGGCTAGTTCCCATTGGTCTATTTTGAACTCCCTCCCAAGGCATAAGCGAAAGAAATTGCAAATAAGCACGATGTTCAAGTGCCGTCGGAGTTGGGAATCCGCACAGTTGACATCACCGGACCACCATATAATGGTTCACAAATCCAAAGCACATTCGCACCTCCTAGTATTCCCTAGTATTCCGGGACTGCCATGGCTAAGAGACCTATCAGCAACGATCTGCTCGAGAAGGACTTGTCGACACTTCCATCGTTGACAGAAGGCCCAACGCCAACTTCCTCCTCCTTCGCGGATCGTATTCACCAGCGACGTCGTGTTTCTCGCACTACCGCCACCCATCCTCTAGGCCAAACCCCGTCAAAACCATGGGAGCCGATGCAGCTGCGAACGCAGGTCATGGTGTCCATCATCGTATTATGCTTCTGTTTCACCGTCGCATTGGAGGTTGTTTTGTATTTCAATAAGAAAGCATTCGGATGGCCACTGCCCCCCTTCGCTAAACGGTCCAAAAACTTTCATGTGATATTTACTGCTGTGCCTGGTGAGTGTCGACGTTCCCATCAGTCCTACAGTTACACTTCTGACCACGGCTTTGAATGATCTCGGTGCAGTGTTCCTCGCTTGGGCACTCTCTATGCACGTTCGTGAGGTGGATCGAGATATCAAGCTACTTCAAGTGCGTCGTCCCAAACGGTGGTTCAATTCACTGGCATGTAGCTAATCTTACTGTTCAGCCTTACGTCGACATGACAAAAGGGGGAGCAAGTGCAGAGCTTAGTGTGCTGCTTGATTACACACGAGAAAGCCAATTCGTGGTCCTGCCTGCGGTACGATTGCATCACTTGTTCTCTGACCCTTATCTCAGGTTCAATGAACTTCCAGACACTGCGAAATGGTCATCTGACGGCATTTCTGTCCACGATGTTATGCATCGTTTGCCTCATCCTATCTCCTCTTACATCCTCGTACATCTACTACCAAGCCCCTCCCCCAGAGTTCACCATACCACTGAAAAATGTCCAAATCCAAGAAAGATTGGGACTACCGAGCTCATTGGACCTTGTAAAAGTTGACGCTGCTGGAGCATTTATGAAGGCTGCATGTGAGTCCAATGCCTATAACGACATTTCCTATGATACGAACACATGTCTGTTGAATTTCCAGCGTCTTTTGAACTCTCGCCACCTCCCTTTGTGCGCTTTCTTCCAGGTGGATCTTGGACAGCCACTCGTGTCGTATGTTTATCTCTCACTGAATGTTTGCGACGGGACATGACACGTTCTTTGTAGAATCTGACTTCTCCGGTAAACGAAGCAGGTGTCGCCTTTGCTGAGATGATTTGTATCAGGTCCGCTAGTAATTGTTCCAATGCCGATAGTGTGGCATACAACGTCGACACTGGCGTCATCTCAGGCGTATCTCAGAAGTTTCAATGTTCCTTCCAAACCGTTGCCTCCGATTCCCCGGGCTTTAACGAAGTACCGTACCCCTATGGCATAACAGTTTGCAATGACGGTAAAAACACATTTTCGAGTCCAGTCGTCTTTTGGATGTTGGAGAATGTTGATGGTCATTCAAATCCTCAGCCACTTGCAACTGTGTGCACGGGGGAAATTTTTCTGAACAATTCTACGGCATCTTTGAACAGTTCAACGCTCTCGTTGTTGCATATTGTGGATGAGGGGCCACCCGGAACAGGGGACCTCGCTAGGATCGATTTGAACAATGCGCCATTTAATGGGACTGCTTTCAATGGGTGGGTTTTCCGATGTTGTTTTACCCGATCATTGCTCATGCTCGTTTCGACGTTTCGAAGACTGTTCCCTTCGAACGCTTCCGCTACCGTGCAGGATCGTGCGATGCTCAATTCGACGATACATAGTGTTGGGAAGGCTGTGGTTCAAAATGTCATCGCGGGCACCGTGACGCAAGTGAATATTACTGCCGATGATTTGACCTCCACCACCTCCCAGGTCTATGGTCATTGTAAGGATGTGCACTCTGTACCAGTACTTCTTACGGATGCTAAACGCTTCACTTTTGATCTAGATCTTGGCATGGTAGCAAGCATCATGTATTATACACCCCTAGAGAACACAACGACCAGTGGGGATTTGTATCCTGTTGGTGATAGATTGTTCATTTCGTAAGTCTTGGCTTTGAGTTCACGGGCTCCAGTGCTGACGGTTTTCCGTATCATGTGGCCTCCAGCGGAGCTATCACTCGTGAGTTCTTTTTTATAGTCATCTGAATCGTGCCATCGCTCATCTCGACGCGACAGACGTCCTCGCTGTCCTCTTCTTTCTAATCGCTCAGGGATCAATCTTCATCATTGTCCTGCATCACAGAGACATGACGAATCTTATACTCGGATCCCCTCCTGGGACCATCGCTGCGGCCGTAGCCGTTGCTGGACAATCCGAGCTGCCGTACCTTCTAGCCGAGAAGGACACAGTGACAGACATAAAGACTAAATTATCAGGCCTATCGTTCAGCCTTGATTCGGTGAGAACTCATTAGGAATGCAACTTCCCAACTGTTCCATGACTGATTCTCGTTCAATCTTACTTGTGGCAGCATACTGGACAACTAAGGGTGGAGGAAGAACATACTGCTGGACATACGGAACGGCCAGACACCTATGATGTCCTTCCACGGAGTCCTCTTTCCGGGTCCGGCCCTAAAGCCCCTTAAACGATTTATTTCATCTATTTTGGATCACATACACGAGCTTAGGATATGGATGCCGCCCGTTGTATTATTAGTTTCTTTGTACATACATTTGCTCTATCGATGGTGGCCCAAGGGATTTGTTGTTCGCTATTAAAGAGTTGGAAGGCTGTCAACGATGTAGTCGTGTCCAAACGTGTGCGTCTTGCATTTGATGCGTTTTTTTTTTGAGACAAAGCAAGCAAGGGACTTTCGTTCCGTATCTGGATTCGTTTTCGCTCTGGCCGGCGCGGCGGCGGAGCTTGAAGAATCAAACATCTATTACGAGGTCAAGTACAGAAGGCGAGTACATAGCAACGACCCGTGCAACTAAGGAGGCCCATTGTTCCTCTGCGACATTCGTTTCGTCATCGCTCACTCCGATCCACCGCGCCATTTATTGACAATCAAGGTGCTATCGCGCTTGCGTCCAATCCTACGTTTCACACTCGCACTAAACATATTGGCGTTCGACATTCAAGTTGAGAACCGCGATATCAGTCATATCACACCTGGTACATCCGACGAACGGTCGAGGTTGCCGACGTCATCACAAAGGCCTACCGCACCCAAAGTTCGAGTCGCGATAGGATAACACAAGGCCCAGCGATTGGGCGCGTTTGATTTCTTGGGACATAGCGTGCGCTGTAGGGCAACTCACGTTGTTGATGTGGCGCCTTGCTTTCCTCTTTTGGTTTTCTCGCGCCAGTGCGCATTGAAAACGCCTGCTTATAAAGCGGAATGTTTGAATCTTACGATCAGTTCGAGAACGTCACTATCTAATAGCCGACTTCTCTATGGCCCTCACCGACACTTCTCACGCTTGGCAGCTGGCTTTCCTGCTGCAAATACAAACATCAGCAACCCCGGTTGCTCATTGGGCTCATTGTAATGCGTCACAACTTTGGACGCGACTGGTTCTATGTATAGTAGACACGAAAAATATGGAAAATGCGTTCCTCCGGCGAGTCCGGTAGTTCTTAGATACTCAAAAGAGGTCGATAAATGAGATGGCTGGCACGGATTTTTCGCATGAGTCCAGTTTCGAAGATGATCGATGACTAATATTGTGGGAGGGAAAAGGGTACGCAGCAGAGGGGCAGAGCGATGTCATAGTTCAGGTGCGAGTGCTTTCTCCTCCGTGTCTAACGAATTTGAAATACGATGCATCTCACCCCGTTCATTCCTCGAAGCGCCACGCTTCCTATGGCAGGCTTGCAGCACCCACAGCACGCAAGAGAAGCGAGGTGGCTTAGTGGCGTGAGTGTGGGAATAAGAAACCAAGTCCCCTCCGGGTTGGATCCGCTTTGGACCACCAGATTGCCACATAGAAGTAACAGTTAGACGCCCGGTGGGTGGGACTGTGCAAATTAAACTAATCAGGAATCTGCACGCTGAGATCGTCCGGCTTGATCCGTGATGGCTGTTCCTGTTCACAAGTGCAAACTATCTCCTTCTATTCGTATTCCCCTTTCAGGATCCCCTAGGACAACCTCGTCTTTCCGCGAACTCCGGCGACGTTAACATCTATCGTCTCGCCGACACACTGCTGCCAAATTAGCCAGTCAATTGGGATCCCTTGAGTCGAAATCAATCTCTGCCCGGGACTTCCATGGCTAGGAGGCCTGCCACCCTCAATCTGCGCGATAACGACTTGTCAACACTTCCGTCGTTTTCAGAAGATCCAACGCCATCTTCCTCCTCCGTCTTTCCGCAGCGACGTCGTCCCACTGCCGCCCATCCTTTCGATCAAAGCCGATTAAGACCATGGGGGCCATTCCATCTGCGAACGCATGTCATGGTGTTCATCGTCGTATTATGCTTCTGTTTCGCCATCGCATTGGAGGCTGCTTTGCATTTTAATCAGAAAGCGTTCGGATGGCCACTGCCTCGCTTTGCCAAACGGATCAAAAACTTTCATGTGTTGTTGACTGCTGTGCCTGGTGAGTGTCGGCGTTCCCATTCAGTCAGTCATTTCTGACCACAGCTTCGAACGATCTTGGTGCAGGGCTCCTCGGTTGGGTACTCGCTCTGCACATGAATGAGGTAGATAGAAACATCAAGGTACTTCAAGTGCGTCGTCCCAAGTGGTAGTTCAATCCACTGGCATGCAGTTAATCTTACTGGTCAGCCCTACGTTGACATGACAAAAGGGAAAGCAACTGCAGAGCGTAGTGTGCTGCTTGATTACTCCCAAAAAATTCAAATCTCGGTCCTGCCTGCGGTACGATTGCATCACTTGTTCTCTGGCCTTTTATCTCAGGTTCAATGAATTTCCAGACACTGCGAAACGGCCATCTGACGGCATTTCTATCCACGACGTTATGCCTCATTTGCGTAGTCCTATCTCCTCTTTCAACATCGTACATCTATTACCAAGCCCCTCCCCCAGAGTTCAACATACCACTGAAAAATGTCCAAGTCCAAGAAAGATTAGGACTACCGAGCTCACTGGACCTTGTAAGAGTTGACGCTGCTGCAGGATTTATGAAGGCTGCATGTGAGTCCAATGCCTATGACGACATTTCCTATGATGCGAGCACATGTCCGTTGAATTCCCAGCGTCTTTTCAGCTCTCACCACCTCCCTTTGTGCGCTTTCTTCCAGGTGGATCTTGGGCAGCCACTCGTGTCGTATGTTTATTCTCTCGCTAATGTTTGCGGCGGGACATGACACCTTCTTTGTAGAATCTGAGTTCCCCGATAAATGAAGCAGGTGTTGCCTCTGCTGAGATCGTTTGTATCAAGTCCACTAGTAATTGTTCCAATGCCGATAGCGTGGCGTACAACGTTGGCACTGGCGTCATCTCAGGCGTATCTCAGAAGTTCCAATGTTCCTTCCAAACTGTTGCCTCTGATTCCCCGGGCTTCAATGAAGCACCGTACCCCTATGGCATAACAGTTTGCAATGACGGCAGAAACCCATTTTCGAGTCCAGTTGTCTTTTGGATGTTGGAGAATGTTGGTGGTTATTCAAATCCTCAGCCACTTGCAACTGTGTGCGTGGGAGAAATTTTTCTGAACAAGGCTACGGCATCTTTGAACAGTTCAACGCTCTCGTTGTTGCGTATTGTGGATGGAGGGCCACCCGGAACGGAGGAACTCGCTAGGATCGATTTGAATAATACGCCATTTAATGGGACTGCTTTCAATGGGTAGGTTTCCTGATGTTGTTTTTTTTTTTACCCGATTATTACTCATGATCGTTTGGACGTTCCGAAGATTGTTCCCGTCGAACGCTTCGGCTACCGAGTGGGATCGTACGATGCTCAATTCGGCGGTACATAGTGTTGGGAAGGCTGTAGTTCAAAGTGTCGTTGCGGGCATGCAAGCGAATCCTACTGCCGATGTTTTGACCTCCGCCGCCTCCCAAGTTTATGGCCATTGTAAGCATGTGAACTGTGTCCCAGTGATGCTAGACGCTTCACTTTTGATCTAGATCTCGGCATGGTGTCAAGTATCATGTATTATACACCCCTAGAGAACACAACGGTCAGTGGGGGTTTGAATCCTGCTAGTGATAGATTGTTCATTTCGTACGTCTTGGTCTTGAGTTCATGGGCTCCAGTGCTGATGGTTTGCCGCATCATGTGGCCTCCAGCGAAGCTATCACTCGTAAGTTCTTTTATAGAGGGTCGATCATCTGAATCGTGCCGTCGCTCATCTCGATGTGGCAGACGTCCTCGCTGCCCTCTTCTTTCTAATCGCTCTGGGAGCAATCTTCGTCATTGTCCTTCATCAAAGAGACATAGCGAATCTTAGACTCTTCACGCCTCCTGGGACCATCGCTGCGGCCGTAGCCATTGCTGGGCAATCCAAGCTATCGTCCCTTTTAGCCGAGGAGGACACGGTGACGGATATGAAGATTAAATTATCGGACCTATCGTTCAGCCTTGATACGGTAAGAACTCGTTAGGGACGCAGCTCCCCCACTATTCCGTGACTGATTCTCGTTTGATCAATCTCACTTGCGGCAGAGTACTGGACGACTAAGGGTGGAGGAAGGATATACTGCTGGATATGCGGAAGGGCCACACACCTATAATCTCGTTGCACGAAGTCCTAGGCTGGCGCAGGGATTCAGTCCCCAAAGCAGTCCGAGGCATCGATATACCCCTCTTTCTGGCTCTTCAACCGCCTAGAGGATTTATTTCATCTATTTCGGATACACGCAGACGGACCTTCGGGATATGGACGATATACATGTACTTTTTGCGTATAATGAGTTCAGTTTTTTAGTACACTCTCATGCTCTATAGATGGTGGCTCAAGGGAAACGTTGGGGTGTGTCGTTTTTGAAAAGTCGCAAGGTTGTCGACAACATAGTCATGTTCAGACGTCTGCGTCATGCATTCGATGTGTTTTGTTTTTTCCTTCTTCGAGACAAAGCATTTATGTTTAGAGCATAATTGGGCTCACGCTTTGATTGGGTTCCAGCAACCCGAGCTAGCCGCGAGCAAAATGAGAATGAGGCTATCCTTTTTGACCAACCTAGTTGGATGATGAAGAGCTCCCCGACATGGATTTAAATTAATTGCCGACTGGGTGAGTCACGTGTCAAGCAAACCGAAACCGGTGGTACTTACATGAGAGCTACGAGGCAGGCAATCCAGCAATCTGCAAGGACGTCCGTATCGCGCTCGTCTTCTGTTTCTTCGCCTCTTAGCACATTACAGTCGAGGGACTTCGTAACCAGTTATAGGGGCCGTCGCCGGACTGGTTCCCTCGTGTTACCCAGAATTCGGGTTCAGTATGTCAATACGACAGTAACCCGTCGATCTCCCGCTGCTATAGGTACGTTCACTACCTCGCTCATCAGTACTAGACCATCCATCAGATTATGCCAGCCCACAAGTCGCATGAACCGAAACCACTATTCGACAAGATTCTCATCGCTAACCGGTAATTGTGCCACATATTTTCTTTTCTTTTTTTTTGGCAGTTCGGATGCTCTTGCTTCTAGGGGGGAGATAGCATGTAGAGTGATACGGACGGCGAAGAAGCTTGGTATTAAGACTGTCGCTGTGTACTCTGAGGTTGACAGTGACGCCATGCACGTCCACATGGTATGTGCATTGTTACATAAAGTCTTCGTGAGTTCCTGAGCCTGGATTAGGCCGACGAAGCGTATTGCGTTGGACCGGCACCCTCTGCAGAAAGTTATGTGCGTACTTCTGGCCCTTGCTTGCTGCTCGAATTACTCATTGGTGGCGGGTCGCAGTTGCGGATGGATAAAGTAGTGGAAATAGCACGAAAATCTGGAGCACAGGTAATACCGATGTCACCTTTCATGGTTCTTTTGGTTTGACATGCTCCCATCTAGGCTGTCCATCCGGGGCAAGTCGCCCAACGAGTCAAGTTGATACGAACCCCTAGCTGATGTAACTCTATAGATATGGTTTTCTCAGCGAAAACGCGAAATTTGCACAGCTCCTTGCATCCGAAGGAATCGTTTTTATTGGACCCCCTTCGTCCGCCATAATGAGCATGGGCTCGAAGAGGTCTGTGCATGGAATACGCAGATCATCAAGCTCCCTCATCCTGGAATCCTATATAGCGAGTCAAAAGAAATCATGACAAAAGCTGGCGTACCATGCGTTCCCGGCTATCATGGTACCGACCAGTCTTCCTCCAATCTCCTTGCCCAAGCGGAGTCTATTGGCTTCCCCGTCCTTATTAAGGCCGTTCTAGGCGGTGGAGGGAAAGGGATGCGCATTGTGTACTCTGCCGAGGAGTTTAACCAAGCTCTCGAATCAGCTAAGCGTGAGGCCATGAAGTCTTTCTCGGATGACAGTGTGTTGGTCGAGAAGTATATCGTAAGGCCGAGGCACATTGAAGTGCAAATCTTTGGTGACCAGTTCGGGAATGTTGTGGGACTGTGGGAGCGTGACTGTAGCGTCCAACGACGGCATCAAAAAATTATAGAAGAGGTCGTTTGAATGTGACGACAATGATTGAAGAGAGTGCTGACAGATCATCCACAGGCCCCTGCCCCGGGGTTGGATGAGAAGATCCGAGCAGATCTCATCGGTAAGGCAGTAGCGGCCGCCAAGGCAGTCAACTACGTGGGTGCTGGGACGGTGGAATTCATCTTTGACAATGACACATCACAGTTCTACTTCATGGAAATGAATACTCGGTATGCCTTTCTCTCCATACGTACTATGCTTGTAGTCGTCTTTGCTCATGATGTCTTGCATAGACTTCAAGTTGAGGTTGGTATATACTTCTGTACGCGTGCATTACTAAATCAAGGCTATCTTCAAGCACCCAGTAACAGAGATGATTACCAGGCAAGACCTTGTACAATGGCAACTTGAAGTTGCGTCTGGGAATCCACTACCTTTATCCCAAAGCGAGATCCCTAGGATTGGACATGCTTTTGAGGCACGGTGAGAAGTTTCACTATTCCAGTTCACCAGTCTTCCCTGACGCACTTCGCCTAGAATATACGCCGAGAATCCGCGGAACAACTTTCTACCAGACGTTGGTCCATTGCTATACCTCTCCACACCCCCTCCATCACCTTCGCTGCGTCTAGAGGAAGGTTTCCGGCAAGGCTCCAACATTGAAGTTTTCTATGACCCCCTTATCAGCAAGCTTGTAGCGCACGGGCGTAATCGAACCGAAGCTCTGCGAGTCCTTGGTAAAGCTTTAGAAGAATACCACGTTGTTGGACTGTCTACCAATATTGAGTTCTTGCGAACCCTCGCCAGTAACCCCAACTTCATTGCAGGGGAAGTCGAGACAGGTTTTATTGAGGTACGATCATATCAGTACTTTAGCAACAGTGGGTAAACGTGACTGGCCAAATTCAGAAACATCGCGATGCTCTATTCCCGCCCCCCGCACCGCCGACCGCCGAAACCCTCACCCAAGCAGCTCTTTATGTCACACTCAAGGAGGCTTTTGCCGGTGCTTCATCTTCGGGCGAGAATCCGTCACCGTGGAGTACATTGCAATTCCGTCGTTTTGGGGGCGACCTCTCGTCTCAAGAATTTGTATTCCAGCATGAAACAGTGCCCGGCATGCGAGGCCGGCATGCTGCCGTAACGTCGACGTCTACGGTGCAAGTAGTTGCGCACCCAGCCACTTCGTCCAGCCCCCAGACGTTCGACATCCTTGTAAAAACAGTATCAGACGCCGGAAGTGAAACCATGAAAACTGCCATTTCCGCTGTCACAGCGAGGATCACTGGGCCAAACGAGATCACTACATTGCTAAACAACTCCAAAATTGTGACGACTGTTGTGCCTCAAGCTGCACCAAACCCGCAAGTCCCGCCTTCTCAATCAAATTCGGAAAGATTACATGTCTTCCACGGAGGCGAGAGAATCACTCTCGTGCGCCCACCACCAAGCTGGCTGTCGTCGCTTGCAGATGATATCCTAGGTGACGCAAGGAGTAAGGGCATCACGGCGCCCATGCCATCTGTGGTCGTCGACATACGAGTACAGGTCGGTGAGCAAGTGAAGAAAGGACAAGCTGTCGTTATCCTCGAGAGTATGAAGACGGAGACAGTCCTAAGGGCGGAAAAGGATGGGAAGCTTAAGTCCATTGCTTGCTCTAAGGGCGAGATGGTGGGGGAAGGGCAACAATTGGTGATGTTCGAAGAGGAAGATAGCGCCGAGTAGATGATAGAATACTGATGGTGTTCGGCTGGTCGTGACAATGCACAATACCATGCGTCATACATTATGCTGAAGCGGCATTCCGATGCTCTTTGTGCCAATGGCGGCTAGTCGGCAATATTTAGCCACCATTAAGACAAAGCCGAGCTTCGCGGAGTCAGATCTTAACACATTCTTCACCCATCAACAATGTAGCAGTGATACTTTCCAGGATCGGCACTGCGCAACTCCTTGGTTCCTTCATGACTTCATCGATGGCTTCCCTCCAGCACCACTACTAAGGCTGGCCCCAGGAGTGGGACTGTCAAATGGTTGCGGATGCGGCAAGGCAAACCTTCCTAAGGGTTTGTTCAGGTTTCTTGCGAACTCGAGTCTTTTCTGCTGCAAGTGTTGTTGCTGCCTTTGGGCAGGTTGGACGCCAAAGAGCGTCTCCGTGGGGCCCGTGCGCTCCGAGCGCTCCTCGGTGAGGCTCAGGTCTGCAAGTTTGAGTTTATTGCGAGGGTACTCCGTCTCAAAGTTGCTATCATCACGCTGAGGTGGCACAGGAAGAGAGTCGTCATCATCGTCAAAATCATCGTCTTCAGCATTGAATGGCACTATTGGTGGTGGCGGAGCACGAGAGTCTGACGAGGCATTCGAATCTGTGTCCGAGTTGGAATTATAAATTTGGGGACGCGCGATAGGAGACTCATCATTTCCATTGTATCCAAAGTCTGAATCCGAGTCCGAGTCATCCTGTATTGACTGAGGCTGACTTGGGGTTTTTCTTGAGATGTCTGGTGAGTCATCGAAATCGGTATCACCATCATCCCAACCAACGAGATCGTCGTCGTCTCTCAAAAGATTTGATCTCTTAATCCCAAGCGATCGTCGCGGAAGAAGAGATTGACGGAGTTGCTGCTTACGCTTGGCGGCGCTGAGTGGAGTGGGTGGAATGACGAGCTCAGAAATGGAAGTGGAGGTGCTGTGGTTACTTTGACTTGTATCGGAGGGTGGAAGACGAGCCCTGACTTCAGCCATCCGAATAGCCACCGCTTCTTCGGCTGTATTTCGCATCAGCTTATATCGAGGTGTGGCCAAGAATTTGAGCTTCTCGGCGGGAGTGAAGCCAAAATCAATTGTTGATTCTTCGGTGGTACTTGGAGTATAATGTTGCAGGTCGACAATCCCATTCCACTTTTTCTTCGAGGTCGAAGGCTGAAAAGGATTGACTCCCTTGATCAGCGGACGCCTCGGGGTAGCTGCATTCTTGAGATTCTGACGCAGAACGGTTTGACGAAGCTCAGAATCACGTCGTCTCTGTTTTTTCCCGGGAGAGGGAGTGCTCGAAAACACATTCGAAGACAAGCCCGCCGATTGGGAGGTAGTGGGAACATCTTCTTTGTTAACACCCGAAAGTTGAGCACTGGTGCCCAACGTGTGAACGGTGGTGATGTGGGGGAGAGATATGTCCGTGCTTATATCACCCGTGCTACCAATTGTGCTGGATGAATACTCCACTTCGCGGTGCAGACCCGAGGCAGGGGTTGACGCAACCGGTGGAGCGAAAGAAACGTTATCGGGGGTGCGATCGGACGCAAAGGAATGCTCGAAACGGGGAGTTCCATCTTGCTCGAGAGAAAGTTCCCCGCCCCCCTCGTTAACTTTGGGTGGGTTCACGGAGGCGTTAATAGTATCGTCGCCGTGTTCACCTTCGCTCCCCTCAACATCCTCGCCCAATTTTTCTCCTTCGGGGTCGCCTATCTTTACGTTTGCGGCCATCTCAAAGAAGTTCTTCCAAAACTGGGAGACGGACAAGTCAACATATGTCTGTTGTATGATCTCGATCAATACGTACACGAGCAGCTTCTCGGGTTGGCTGCGTGGCTTTCGAGTACTCTCTAATTGTAGGTAGGAGTTGGCTGATGATGATATTGTGTATATCCGCGAATATCTCATCAATATTCTACAGAGCGAGGTCAATCAAGTTCTATGCCTTCGGGGCAACAACTCAACTTGAAGTTTTTGAGTGATTAATTGGTCCATGTACTCGATCTGGTCGCCGGCTGGCGCGCTTGTATCAAGACCAGGAACGACTATAGAGCCTGGATCAGGGTTTGGGACGCGAATTGACGACATCAGGAAGATGTCCCGAATGGCGCGACCTGAGATGAAGATGTCTCTGTGAGTGTGACAGTGCCACGCGTCACGTCGGTTGACAACGGCATTGGCTACCTGGCGAACCCCGCTTATAGAACTTACCCTCACTGAAATAGTAGAATTGCATGATGCCATTGGGCAAGTAGGAATCTCATCCATAGGGTTCGGTCAATATATTTCGCTTACGGACGTGCCACTAAGCGAGCAACTCCGCGGAAGAGGGGATTTTCAAACAAAGATTCGTACACAGCGTCGCGCAAAAGGATGATCTGTGGGAGGTTCGGAGAATGTAAACATTGTATCTAGTCCATTCGTTCTAACAATGACGGAATATTCCACGTGTACATCGAGTCCAGTCACCGTAGAACAAGGAAACTGTGTGTAAAGTCCATCAAAAAATAGTTCACTATATAGCACCAGGCCCAGACACCACGGAAGATGTAGGTAATCAACTTCGCGCGCTTGGTTTTCCTCGGGGTGAACTCTCGTCTTGCAAGCATCTATTGTGTAGTCCATGCTAAAAGACCAGTTGGCTAGGCATGCTTACGCTGAGTTCACGCGTAAGTTACAAATTATGGATCGGATCGGGACCCCCGCCAGGGTAAGTGCCACGACCAATGGGACAACCGAATGAGGGCTGGGGTGGAGTGTTGTCCACGAGATCACCGAGCGACGGAGCCAGTCTATCGGGTAGGAGGGATGGTGGCGTCAGACCGTGGCTTATGGTAAGAGTGATGTGCATACGGCCAGTTTAATGAACGAGCGCACGGCCCGTACTGGACACTGCGTTGAAAGGGAGATCCCATGGGGTGGTGGAAACTCCTCCAAGTCCGCCCACGCTTCCTACGCTATAAGCATTGAGGTCATGAACCCCGCCAACATGAAGTGCGGCCTTCATGGCGGTTGCGTCGGGTCGGCATACACATCATTTTCAGGCACAAATCAAGGGACACAGATACTTATCCGTCCCAGGTGGGGAGGTTAAACCATGCAGCACCAGTGATGTAAGTAATACTAGCGAGCTGGAACCTGAAATCTGAGAAGAGACTTCTTGATGAGTACACTTGGCTAATCGGTTTCGTGCGACATACCCCCGCTCTGGATGACACGCCAGTAAAGCCGGATGACCTGAGGAAAGCACTGTTTGCCACCACCTTATCCCCGACTTTCTGCAATGCCGCCTCAGAGGCAGCGATTTCCGACGAGAAAGACTTGAGCCTCTCAGGGCTTACATCGCTACCGCAATGTGTTATTTGCGGGACCAGCGAAGGCGGCAAGGCTGAAGCAAATGGCTGAAAAAATAGACATGAGAGGGAGTCTCATGCTTGCTGAGGGAGAAGAGCGTGGCTCACGGGAACTCCGAGACGAAATGTGTCGCCGAAGGAATAGTCATATATGAAATGCGATGCCAGTGATTTGTCCTAGGCTGCACCTGGTCCAGCAAACCAGTGTCCAGAATCTGCAATTCCCAGAGTTGCCATTGTCACGAAAATTTCAAGAGCAAGAACTGGCCCCGACAGGGCTGCTCGATGGTGATGTACGCATTTACGAAACGGAACTCCTGCATACGCTTTGTCTGATTAAGATACTTCCTATTTGTCAAGATTATTGATTCCCCGTGACCGCACGGCATATGACGTGCAATTCTTCTGTTCCTGTTATGCATTGCCCAGCGATGAAGGGATCAAATCCTTGTTGGGAGCTTGGGAGTCCCTCAGAATCAAATAGCGTTGTTCGATCTCACAAAGGGGAGAATTCGGACCAGAACGACCGGTCGATAATCATCACCTCTGTCCGTAGCGATAGGACCACTCCCTGTACTAATGAGCCCATTAAGTCAGCACGGACAGCGGGGTGACTTATCGTCATACCATGTATACATGAATTCGCTTGTTGAATCATTCGGATTGTGTATTGGCGCAGCCCCTGGAGGGGCGAACACAAGGCAAAGATGATTTGAAAGTGGAGCCAAAAACCAGGAGACCCTCTCACATGTACGATGTTCGAGTGCAGCTCCTAAGCGACGACAAAAGGGACGGTTTGGCCGTTTATTACCGTCTATGCTAACAGCCAGATAATAGCCCATCGTCAGAGTCCAGCCTTGTATGGATGACCATTGAGCAAAGGATTGATAGAAACCGACAACAGAAGCCGCCACGATGTAAATATGCCTTTCGAAGGTTCAGGCAAGTGGCTAACGGGAAAGGTATGCAAGATGAACCCTGCCAGTCCTACGAGTTCAAACCCCGAAATCAAATGCGCCTGATAAGTCCCCATGTTCAGAGAAAGATGCTGGCATCCTGTGTTGACGAAATCTAAGTGTGGTTCGATCAGTGCTTTGCGCGACCCAATTTCGCACTGAGCCATACACAAGACGTCCAGCGGACCAATAACACTGTGCCCCCATAAAGCATCATATCGCAGCGGCAGAGAGCGGAAATCGCGCGCGCACATATAATAATATGTTTATACCCCCAAGAAAGAGAGGTGTGAATACGAAGGCTAGAACAGGGCCGGCAGGCCATGCTGGTGGAAACCATCTGAGACGCCGGCGAGAAAAAAGACACCAAGGGAGGCGGAAAGCTCAAAATGGGCAGAAAGGCAGACTACATAAGGCCGACAGGATGACACTTGGTGGGATCGGGAGCCTCATACAGAGTGATCACACAGCCAGTGCGAAAACACATTCCCCTCGTCCACACCCCAATGATCCACCCTTCGGAATCCCTGTTCGATCTGTAGGACCCTGTCCTTGCATACACTATAGTCAACCAAGACAATTCATCTGACTCTAGAGGACCGAAACCAAGGCATCGTGGCGCATGGGAATACAAGGTGCTGGAAGACACAAACAACTAGACTTTTCAGAACAAAGTAATTCGACGCACGATCGCATCCTACCCCATCGGAGAACCGGGCCTGGAACAGCAACGACTCGTAGTTGACTTGATTGCGGCGCCTTCTACTTAGGCTATCCATGGAGCGCAAAAACACGCTTGACCACATGGAGGCAATCGTCGAAGTCACAGCATGCAGAGTGGCGGGGGTCAAGGGAAGCAGCATTCGGAATTAACTTGAGACGGGCGGCACTAGAACACCCGAGAGGTGATAAATATACGCAAACAAAGAAGAGACAACAAGGTGAATCTGGATGGACTCCAAATGGACTCGTCCGTTGTAACCATGTTCCTCCAGCGAGTATTTGCTTACGATGTATGTTGACGGGATGCACCATCAAATCTTCCACCCTACCGGCGCACGCACTGTCACCTGCCCCTGGCACATGCTGAATCCGAGTACACGAAAATAATGGGGGAGTCAAGCAGTTCCCTGACCATTGGAGTCCCTGCTTACATGGGGTCGCTGCCGATTTTGTGGGGGAGAGCTAAGCTGGGGTTCTTTACTTCCGCCTCCGTCATCACCTGACTTCGCCCTCTGTTAGTCATAATGCTTCTCCATGAGATCGAGAGCACTAGGCAGATCCGTATCACGGAGCAAACCGCATCGACCGATCGGGATGCCTCCGAGTCCACATATATGCACTGAATCCTAGACTTCAGCACTGCGCCCCTTTGTCTTCTCGTCTATCAGTTCGTCGTCGCTCTCTTCCGCACCGAGCTATCCTCCGCTTTCCAACCTTCAAACCGCATGTGTCACAATCCGAATGAGTGAGATGGGACTTCTTGACAGGTCCAACTAAGGGGTGGAGTGATTATGATATTCTAGATCCTGCAGCATGAGCGTGAAACTATTCGATATTTCACACTCAACTTCTCGCGTTATTTCGTTGATTTCGAAAACACGTCCCGAGAGATGCGCTCCAAGCACAAGAATGGCACTTTCGTTACTCAGTGTTGGCTCATTCCGCGGATTCCTCTATTCTTCCGGCCCACTGTGCCGGGGGAGATGACCACACTTCCCGATCGCTTACTTTGGTATCTACCCTTAGCTTTGAGGCGCAAATGCGGTACAATATCTATCGTCTTCCTCGCCAGGTTTGGGTGTTCTAGATTTGGTGCTCAGTTCAATATCGACGCCACCGTGATCAGGGAGAGAAATATCATTTCGAGAGGTACGAAATACAAATTTCTACTGCGTGTTGGCGTGTAGTGAACAGAGGGGGACTTGGGTGGGTGAATTCATAGGGTAATCTGCGGAGTTGCGCCCATGAATGTGTCGAAGGTTATGAAGGTTTCGGAGTCGAAGTGCGGATTCTGTGGCTCACGATCCTTCTCTTTGTAGCCACTGTCAACAATCCGACAAAGGTTCCGTAACCAGGTTTGAAGTGAAGGCAAAGATCTATCCGATGGAACACGGCTGGGAACTCCCATGAACTTTCGTTTGGCCGAAATGATGTCGTCTAGCGGCCCCTTGTACCATGTTGTAAATTGGTGCAGTGGTTTGCGCCTCCCATGTGCGTCATACCTGGCAAGCATCCAACCAAGTATGTAAAAAAAGGATTCCAGGTCATGCCTGTACAACCTTTGGGGAGCGGGGCCTGAGGCGGTCAATAGGTCAATGGAAAGGAAAGGGAGGGTGCCAGTGAAGGTAGGCTCAGGTGACAATATTCTATCTCCATCCCGAACTTGAGTCGCGAAGTCAAGATCTATCAGGATCCCACGGGGTGGGGAATCCTTTGAAGCCATAAGACTGCTCGGATTCAGATTGCAATGCAGGATCCCGGCGTTCTTGTAGAGCGCATGATGGGCTATAACCGATAATGAATTAGTGGATGAATGGCAATGAGGGCCGGGTCACTGGAGTACCTTCCATTAAAGATCGAAAGGCTTTTTCAAAGTCTTTGTCAGGAAAAACGCGGTGAAGCGGAACACATGATGGTCCCAGGACCTGCACTCGCAGCTCCCGATCTTGATAGTGGGTTCCGGATGTAAGTTTGAGTTGGGTTCTGGGACCTTCTGAAAAGCGTCCCATGTTTGAGGAGCAATACAATTGGGCTACCCCTGCACACCGTACTGCTCAGCGTGGCGGTAGAGGAAGTCGGATGCTCTTGATGATGGATCCTCCCACGACATCTTGAGAATTACATCTTCTGGGATGGTCGTAGGCTCGTGGTTGGCCTCTTGCCTTGCCGATAACAGAATCAATCCGCGACCCTCAAGGTCGTGCGAGACATGCAGGGTTTTCTGTATCAAAAAAGGAATACCCTGAACTCGGATGGTTGTCCTCTTCATGGCAATGAGCGCCTCCCAGGGGTCAGGAGATTCAATTATTGGCTCAAGGCCAAGAGCAAATGCAGAACTCAAATTGAGTTGGACAAGTGCAGGGAGGAATTCGAGTGGGCGGTTGGTGAAATCAATAGGTGCCGAATAGAAGCCACCAGCACGATCAAAATACCAGAAGGTGATGTTGGAATGGTTTGCGAGGATGCCTAGAACGTGCCTCCTGTTTCCCTGAGCTGCCATCGCATCTTCTGCTTTTGCATGAAGACGATGTGCCCATCGTGGAAGGGGGAATCTGAGCACAATTTTGTCGGGTCTCGTCATGGACTGAAATTCTTCGGAGTACCCGTGATGGTAGTCGGTCTCGGTGCCTTCTTGGTACGCGATGGTGGGTTCGGAATGAACAAGATAGTTGGGGAAGATTGTTGTGTGATGTTGCACCTGAAGAACAATCGGCAAGTTGTTTGCGCTTCGACGTTTCCTGATGATGGGTGGGAGCTCGCGGGGGGTTTGTTGGTTGGAGACGAATTCCTGACATCTTTCACGGACAATGCGCAGGATATTGCTGAGGCTGCTTTTCAGCGCAGCAAGGGTCTCATGCGCAAGAGCTGACACCAAACTCTGGTGTTCTTCGGTGAAAGTTTCGGAAGATCTAATGTCCTCCGCGATGATTTTGATCATTTCCGGGTCATAGGGAGCGTCCGAAGTAGCGGAAATAAAATCTTGCAGTGAGACTTCATGGTATGCAACAGCTATTGATTCGAGCATGTTGGCAGTCCTCACTAGCAGGATCTTAACAAACTTAGGTGTGGGGTAAGAAGGTCCCTGCTTGCTAGTTGACCGGTTTACAAGGCGATGAACGAAGGCACGAGGGAAAAAAACCACTGTTGGTTTGGACTTGTTTGTTTGGTCCGAGCGATGATCCATCAAAAAATTGCCTCTCCAGCATGTTTGTGCAATGGCACTGTTGTCATTCCTTAATCTATCGCTGGCCTTAAAGGAACTTCTCTCCCCCTGTTGAAGAGGGCCGCTGCGCCTCCGGATCCACTAGCCTCCACTTCACGCCAGGGTACAGTAGCCTGTTGACAATGCCCATCTCGGCATATTGCCTAGAAGATCCCCCTGACCGTAGCAGTTGCGACACGTTGACGTCCCAGTCTTTGGCAAGGGCGCGGAGCCAACGATCAAGTGAATAAAAATTGGCAAGATAATTTAGTGCGGTATTGGTGCTTGCTTGGGTGGTTGAATTGTGCTCAATAGCTGCATTATAGAAGGGCCGCTGATAAATTGGACAAAAATAGGCTACTCATGGGTTCTTATGTCCCGATCTCGATGATTCACGGCGTCGCGTGCAAGTGGTACGATCACAGTGATGATAGTCAAACATAGACGATCATGGGTGGGACGGAGGCAGGACGTAACCAGCTGGTGTAAAAGCTTTAAATGAATAAACCACGAGCACACGAGGATTCCACATAACCCCTAGGAACGTCACCGGCGTGCCACTCCACTTCCCCCAAGTCCCAAGGTTCCGGATATCATGTTGACGATGGATGTAGGTGAGGGATTCCAGATTGGATGAGAGTTACGCTTGAGTCGCAGGTGCCCCCTCAGCTGATCAGCATCGTCAAGCCCAAAATTAGTCACCCTTCACAATACAGGGCCACCACCAGCGCCGTCACGCAGGAAACGTATCCCAGATCCGCCCACGAACCACCGGACGCTCAGCAGATGGAACAGTGTGCATAGGAACCACGCATGCGTATCTCCGGTTTGTCTCCTGAACAATAGACACAACTTTATGACCAGACAGAGAGGAGCTGGTTATTTGCGTGATTACGGACCTACCCTTTCATACGTACTTGATGGAGAAGCCTTCGAAAAACATCCTTGAGACGGGTTCAAGGTGGCGCAGGATATGCTGGGTGGGAGGCATGAGAATGATCCGTATCGGCGATTCAACGAGGTTGATTTTTAGGAGACTGAGCAAGATAAACCACTGGCGTTCAAGAGCGACGTTCGAGTGGGGCTGCTATGGTTTCCCTCCAGTCGTGGAACGAAATTCGGATTGCGGTCGGTTCGGTTCGCTAGACTATACGTGGGCAGCGCTTTTTCATAGAGCGTGGAGTAAAGCACTGGGATGTATACATTACTGCGGACACTGTGGTATTGAGATTACTATGAGTCTTTCCCTCGCCGAACAGTTTAAAGAGTGCGGTAGGGACTAGGACATCACATGTACGACGCGCATGCCTCCGTGATCTAATGATGCAAGTTAGGGATTAAGCGTCTCCATTTAGGCGGCCCATGCACCATTATGGCAAAGAGGACTAGGACGAGCAGATTCCTCATCAGGACCAAGTTCCAGACGATGCTGGGTTGGTAGTGAATCTTTAGTCCGAGCTTGATGCGAACCCACGGTGCAGTGTCGCATCACCGTACGAGAGAGTGGAAGTTCTCCAAAGCCGGGGGTAGCCTATAGTGGTGTGTTAGGAATCTAGGTGCAGGGAACTCGAATGACTGATTGAGATCGCATTGGAGTGCATCGTTTAAGTAATTTGAATATAGGTGCTTCTCTGATGCAAATAAGGTCGAGTCCTTGAAACCCTGGCGGGAAGGATGAGTCGGCTTGGAGGATAGAGAACGCATTGATCTAATCACGCTCCGGCATTGTGTGGCACCAGGTGGCTAGAACGCTGTCGTATGCTGAAAAATGCGAGTTTGTTCCGATCCATCGAAGTCAAGTCAAGCCAAACCGCCTGCAGACCCCAGAGGTGACGGAAGGATCGGCGATGGGAAAACTGGGCTTTTGACCGGTGGTTACGAGTGTTGCGCCTCGAATTTCACGGTCTCTGCTGACTCCCTAGAGCTTCTCATTTAAAAGCCACAGGCCGTAGTGCCCCGGAGGCGGGGGGTCGGTAACCCACGGACCGCCGAACTGACCTACAACATCAAAACTAATGACAGCAGCTAGTTCTGATCCATTTGCCATCAACATCACTGGCAGCACGAAGAGTACTGGCTTAGAAGCAGGCGGTTTATTGTGTAGACACACCCTGATTTCAAGCTGTTCTTGCATGGGTGGTTTTCGGCACCGTCGGCGTCGCCATGACATATACGATGGCCTGCCACCTTCATGCATGTGGTTTGAATGTCGGCTAGTACCCATTCGATACGTGGCTAGCTCCCAGGCTCCTTGGTAATGGAACGCAGTCGCTGCTCCGTATAGGATTAGCGGTCTGGTTTGGTTGGTTGGGCTGGCAACGTGCGGAGCGGAAACATCCGGTATCTTTCCACCGCTCATATCGGAACGCCGCTGGGCAAGGCAGCCTCTATAACTTCGTAACAATATGATAGTGGCACTGGATGCTGGCAATCACGCTGGTACCGTGTTGGTCCCAGCCTCTCATCTTACGATCGTCACAACTCCTGGTGGAGCCCATTTGGCCCTCCACTGGACTGCGGCGCTAGGTTGAAAGTCCTAATTCCGCAATGGACGCCGGGAGGGTTGTATGGTATCCGGCACCAATTTGACATGAGTGGCCCCCAGCATTGCTACCTGATTAAAATGTAAACTTCTGGCAAACGTTACTTTGGCTACTTCGAAGGGTCATTTTATCCAATGGAATGCGCCTTTGATACTGTTGGTTTATCTATTTCGGGTCGTACTCAGATGATCCTCAGGTCTTTGGGTTATTCGTCATCTCCAGAGGGGAGAGGATGCGACTTCCCAGGTGTTGTCTGCATCAATAGGGGAGTCGATGTGACATGAGGTCACTTGGACAATTGCACAACCTATCAAATCCTTGTTCAAGGCTACCTCAGGCCTAGTGCATGGAACGCTTCGATTTTCAATTATCTCGCCCTTCCTTCAGCCCTTGCCGACGATTTCAATCGGTGAAGGGACGGCTCTGAGGAAGTACTGTCATTAGCAAATTACCCACGAATGCTTGTGAGGTTGGCGGAGACGATCGATAAAGCTGATGAACGATTGTGAGTTGACTAATGTCCATCGGCCGCACTTGGCAGTGAATTGGTATGATTCTTATCAGTCAGTCAGTCAGTCGCAGAATGCAAATGCAGTCCTGGAGTGATGGGTTGCTAGGGTTTATCGGTAGCAGCGAATTCGGGTCTTTCGGTTGAACCACTAACGCGTGTGTGACTTCAGGTTGCTCCTGAGAGCGCCAAGGGCAGGGGGAACCAACGTGAAATTGCACATTGAAAACGAGAAGGACCAGCCAAAGGGAAAAAAAAAAAATTCCGTAACTTCATTTCGTGAATGTCAGACAGGCTGTGAAGGTGTGTGGGATTGACCAGTTCCTCAGATGCAGTGCTGACGCTCCCTAAAGAGAGGCTGGTCACCTGCCTATGCTGACGCCGAGAGAATCAAATTGGAAAATTCAGGAGTGCCCGGAAGGCGGGTTGCACAGCCAGCACAATTAATCCATGGTATGTTGCAGGGACTGCTCAGCGTCGCGCACAAGCATGACGAGACGAAAACAAGCGCATTTGGCCCTGGAGCGATTATGCACAAACGTGACTGATTGCTCAGCGCTGAATAGTACTGACTGTCTATGGTTACATAACATTTCAAGCGAGACCCACGTGATGAAGTTTTACGTCTTTGTGTCTTGTCGTCGACGGCGCCAACGACCCTGTGCGACGATTAGTGTTCAAAATAGAGGGAATGTCTGTGTAGATAGTTCAGCGTGTTAAGGGATTTTTTAAAGAAATTCTGGCAATAGAGAGACCCACATGAGGGCATGCTTTTACATCATTGCGAATAAACGACTTGCGGCAGGCGAGAACTCCGTTACGTCCCTCCAGCACCAACGACCCCCAACCACACACTCCCTTCCGTCATTCCCAGTGAAGACGGTGCCGGCGTCCCTCATTTCTTTCTGCCGTAGCAGCTTTCGGTCGAAGCTGGAATCATGAGCTATCGTGACAACGGCTATGGTTTTCCACCAGATAAGGGTGACTCGCAACATCCACAACGACCATCCTATCCTCGCATACTAACGAACCCTGACGACCACCCTGCTCCCACCCCAGGACGACCACCGCGGTCAGCCGGCCCTGTCCCACCTCAGCAGCGTTCGAACATCATCAGCTTTCAGGAGCCTGAGGAGTACAGAACACCTCTGAACACCAACCCTGCCGTCTCTCCCCCAGAGTATCGTCGCAGGCCAACGTACGAAAACAAACCTCCAGTCTCTTATGCAGATGTGCACGCTTCTTCATCTAAGCCTGGCGCTGACTTAGAGGATGGCTATCATCCGTTCGCTGAGACAGATTTTCGCCGTAAGAAGTCGCTTGTTCGGCCTGACCGCGGTAAAATCGAACCAGGTCACCCGCAATATCATTACCACTCTCATGCGGCCCTCATGGACGGAAGTTCTAGTGGAACGTATATAGGTATTGAACCCTCTCGCACCGGGAATGTCCCCCATTCCGGTTTGAAACGGGGCAAATCGCTCCTTGGAAGAGAAGAGGATTTGCAGGATTTGGGCTTGAATGTATTTAAAAAAAGTGCAAACACTTTGCGGAGGAAGAGGCCCAATACGACGGGAGCAACACCTTCAAACCAAGCAGGGCCTGGAGCAGATCTCCCGACGTCAAATGGGGGGGTTTTCCAGAGCATCGCGCCGGGTCCTGTCGATGGGTGGATGGTTTATTGTTGGCTTTTGACTTGCTGTGTCCCTCCATTTCTCCTCAGACAATGTGGTAGGCACCGATTTCCAATCTTTCCACTTTTTCTCTCAGATTGATGCACCGTGCATACAACGAACATCAGGCATATCTACACCAGAGCAGCAACGTGCATGGCGGGAAAAAATGGGCCTCATGGCCATTATTCTCTGTTTCATGGCCGGTGTAGGTTTCCTCACCTTCGGCTTCAACGCCGCTGTGTGTGGCAAACCACCAAACAGATATCACGCCGGAACTATCGACAAAGCATCTATCATCATTCATGGATACGACTACGATTTCTCGCATTTTAAGCATCCCCAGGTCTCCGGGGTCTTCACTGGCAATTCGAATCCCCTATACGAAGGAAGTTACAACGTCGCGGGAATGGATCTTAGCTTCATGTTCCAGTATACTGACCAGTCGTGTTATGGGATTCTCACTGCTCCCAATGGCAGTGCGATCACCTCTCATAGTGGACTGCCTGATTGGCTGTTTCCTTGTAATCCCTTCAATCAGTTTGGGACGAGCACTGTGAATTTCACTGGGTATGAGAACTCGACGAATTGTCATATCAGGGCGGGGACACAAGCCCTAGTTGCGGCCCATAAGCCCTCCGGGCAGGTATACTATACTTGGGACGATGTCAACGATGATTCCAGGAATTTGGCAGTTTATGAATCGTGAGTTTTCTGATCGGAGTTTACCTGGGGGATTCTAACATCTAGCCTCAACCTTAACAGAACTGTGCTTGACCTTAACCTCCTGAACTGGCTGGACACGTCGCAAATTCAGTATCCTCCTTTGTTCAACGACTTCAAGAAGGCAAATGACACGTTCAACAAGCGCGATATTACGATGTGGATTTACCGATCAAACCTGCAAAATATTGCCAAGTGCTTGCAGTCAACCATAACGGTAGGATTCATTGATACGAAAACTATCGGCTGTGTTGCCTCCCAAGTGGTTCTCTGGGTGTCTCTCGTCTTTATCATTGGCGTCGTTGCCATACGATTTATCATGGCCGTTTATTTCGGCTGGTTTGTCTCGTGGCGGATAGGAGCGTTCAAGAAGGAGTCGTATAGGCAGCGAATGGCTCGTGCTCAGGAGATTGAGAATTGGACGGATAATATCTACCGACCTGCTCCGAGTCGGTATCGGCCAAGTGTCGTGCTTAACCCAACGTCAGCCAACGCAAAGAGCCCTGGTGGATATGGCGGACCCAAGAGTGCAGCGCAGTTCCTGCCCACTACTTCCAGGTTCAGTAGGGCTGATGCACCCGCATACGTCTCGTCCGATCGCCGCGGTCCAAACAAGGGGTCCCTGTCGCCCTATGACGTCCCCGTGCGTGGGGCGAGCTCCTTGTCTTTGTCTGACAGTGACAAGAATCAGGCACTGTGCCCTTTCCCGCTGCATAATGTCGTTCCTCAACCACCACCAAATTTCGCACCATTTGGGTTTCGTCCGTTATATGCAATTTGCCTCGTCACTGCATATTCGGAATCGTTGGAAGGTATTCGGACGACTCTGGATTCGCTTGCCACCTCAGATTATCCGAATAGTCATAAGCTCCTCATGGTCATCGCGGACGGTATGGTCAAAGGCCATGGCAACACTCGCACAACTCCCGACATCATACTAGGTATGATGAAAGATCTCGTCGTACCTACTCAGGAGGTGGAGGCTCACTCGTACGTGTCCATCGCTGATGGCCATAAGAGACATAATATGGCGAAAGTCTATGCTGGTTTTTACGATTATGACGACAACACTGTCGAGCCTTCGAAGCAACAGAGAGTACCGATCGTGCTCGTGGCGAAGACAGGTAATGGTCTTGAGGTTAACGATCCGAAACCCGGTAATCGAGGCAAACGAGACAGTCAGATGGTTCTTATGGCATTCCTGCAAAAGGTCATGTTCGACGAGCGGATGACGACCATGGAGTACGAATTCTTCAACTCGATTTGGAGATGTACGGGGGTTAGCCCGGATCGGTACGAGGTTGTGCTTTGTGTCGATGCGGATACGAAGATTTTTCCGGATTCCTTGACGAGGATGGCGTCTTGCATGGCACATGATGAAGAGATCATGGGTCTTTGTGGGGAGACGAAGATTGCGAATAAGTCAGAGACATGGGTCACTATGATTCAGGGTAAGCAATCAATCAACTGGTTATGTGAGACGCTAATGAATGTTGGATTTTCTTTAATCCTAAGTGTTTGAATATTACATTTCTCACCATCTTACGAAGGCTTTCGAGTCGATGTTCGGTGGTGTCACTTGTTTGCCTGGTTGCTTCAGTATGTACCGGATCAAAGCTCCCAAGGGCTCGTCAAATTATTGGGTGCCTATTCTCGCGAATCCCGATATCGTCGTGCACTACTCAGAAAACATCGTCGATACCTTGCACAAGAAGAATCTGCTACTCCTGGGTGAAGATCGATACTTGTCTACTCTCATGCTGAAAACCTTCCCTAAGCGGAAGATGATCTTCTGCCCCCAGGCCGTATGCAAGACTATTGTGCCAGACACGTTTAGCGTGCTGTTGTCACAACGTCGTCGTTGGATCAACTCCACTGTGCATAACTTAGCCGAATTACTCTTTGTGCGTGATCTTTGCGGTACCTTCTGTTTCTCCATGCAGTTCGTGGTCGGTATGGAACTTGTCGGTACACTGGTCTTACCTGCCGCTATCGCGTTCACGATTTATCTCATCATCATCTCCATCGTTCCTAGCGGAACTAACACGACAATCCCTCTTATCCTTCTTGCTATCATCCTTGGTCTGCCTGGCTTGCTCATCGTCATCACCTCGCGAAAGATTGCCTACGTCGGTTGGATGTTGGTCTATTTGCTATCCCTGCCAATATGGAACTTCGTCCTCCCTGCGTACGCTTATTGGCACTTTGACGACTTTTCCTGGGGTCAGACACGGAAGGTTTCAGGTGATCACCGAGGCAACGAGGGTGATAAGGAAGGCGAATTTGACTCGTCTCATATTATCATGAAGCGTTGGGTGGAATTTGAGCGCGAGAGGAGGTGGAAGAGTGGGATGAACTCGGCAGATTCCTCTTTTGATGTTGTGCAGCAGAACAACTCGGCACCCAAGAGGTGGAACGTTTTCATTGCTAGTCCTTGTTCTATCTCTAACGATATTGTTCTAGGGGTCTCGAGAAGAGATATTCTATGGGCTCATCCGCTGACACCAATACTGACACGATGACGGTGTCTCGAACCTCCCAACAGGCTATTGTGCCTGCATCGCAGTATGACGAGTCGCTCAACCCTCGTGCCGAAGCGCCACGACCTGTCAGCACAGCATCCGGATATGGTGTTCGCGATGAATCACCTTCCAGTTCGTCTCACGAGGGTGTGGCTTCCCCTTCCCCCTATCCAGTCTACGACGACCGAGGTCCCAACACACCATACTCGATTCACAACTCTCCCATGGACACGAATAACTTACGATATTCTCAAGGGCCTTACGTTTCGTTCGATCAGCAACCTTACGCTCCACGTGATACCGAATACCTATCGCCTCAATCGGCAGCAGTCCTCCCATCGCGGGGTCTCCCCCGGCCTACACAGCCCGTTCGCCGCCCTAATCGTGGTGTAACGCTCACGGATCCTGGCGTTGTACCTTCTACCAATGCTGATCAGCAAGTCCGACGCATATCTCGCCAGCCCAGACGGTCCTCCACTCAAGGCCCAGCATCACCACCTCCCTCGGACCCTTCGTTGGTGAGGGGACAGCCTTCAAGAGCTTCAAGAGCTTCCGCGTTGTCACCTGCGACTACCCTTCCACCCGGTGCGGCTCCGGCTCAATCCCCATACAGCCGTTACGGATCTTAAGCGACTTGACCTCACCGCCTAATACCCTCTCAACCTGGTCATCAATAGAATGTCTCTTTCCCCCGAACCAACCGCACCCGCACCATGACTTGGATTCGTGGACACTAACGAACATCCAGTATCTTCCTACGGATGAGATACTTGGTCTAAAGACAGAAGATTACGTGACTCGAATCTGTCGCATCTGCTGCCCCTTACTCTTCTCCCTTTCCCCCTCCTGCGACATCCTTTTCCCGTACCAATGTACCCTTCTGTTTTAATTTATGTTCCGCCTCTCATGTCACGCCGCTGTAATGGACCGTAACTCACACTGGCCTAAATTTCACTGCATACGAATTTTTTCTATGTCACGGTTTTCTCCAAACTATTAACTTTGTCCAAAGCGTCACATCATCGATCTACCACCGATGTGTGACAATGTCTATGCATCCTTCGCACAAAATGACAAGCACCAAGTTGAATCATATCGGGACCCAACTCCCTGTAGTATGCCTACGTGATGTTGGATTGTCGATCATCCCCTTATACACTCCACAAAGACGCAGGGCATCTCCATTGCACGGCAAACCTGACGAGAGGCAATGGATGCCGTGCAAGCATTTGTGCCTCGAAACTAACGGAACATCCTAGAGTAAGCGGTCGGGAAGAACAGTCACTTCTTCCGGCGCGGAGGGCTGGTAGAATTGAGAAATTTGCGGAATAAGCCATCATCACTGGGTAACGAAAAGCGCCATTATTGCGCTTGACTATCTAAACGTCATGATGTTTAAACAAGACCGGTTGCTCATCTACTCGGTGAGGGTGCTTCCGAAATCGATGAAATCTCGAATAACTTCAGCGCCGCAAGGCCTAGAGATGAGAACTTGAAGAACTGGATGCACGGATAGAATGCGACGTGTGTCGTCCTTGTGGGGACACCATGTCACCGCTAAAAATTACCTACTCTTGTCGAGAATCCTTATTCGCTCACTGTGGTCCAGGGGTTTGGCGCGGAGGAGAACGAGGACGAACTGACTGACGAGGAGACAAAGGGACGCAGTAGAGTTTAGGATCCGGCGAGAGCCTAGTCTAGTAGATATGTACTTAACACCGTTCTTCACCACAGGTTTAGCAGATGATTTGTGATTCGGTCGGAGCAACAACTCGTATTCTTTGCTGTGTCGATCTGTTGGGACACGGAGTCGCACCACAGCATGAACGGCATCAGCTGGCACAAGAGTAGGATGCAAGAGAGGGACGTGAAGGCGGAAAGCTGGGTCATACGAATTGGGAGGATTGTGCGCAGAGCAAGGAAATTTCAGGACGAGTTGCCAGCATGGAAAAGCAATGGCTGCCTGACGACCGAGTCGGGTGGTGGTGGTGACCGGAGTATGATGACCGACCTGCGGGAACTATCTAGGCATGGACCTGGTGTCCCCATGTCGCCTAAACACTGGTGAGAAAGCGAGGCTTTTCGCCCTTCGACAGCACCCCAACAGTGCTCTCGAGGGTATCACTCGTCTTCAGCTAGTTCCGGACAACTAGTGATTGCGCAACCAGTTGAGATGAACTGAGCAAATTCTTTCGAAATGTTTCAGGTGGCTATGTCCCGTTTGGGGGGAATGCATATGGTCGCGTGATATAGGAGTGATGGGGTATGAATGTGGTCAAACGGGGGTGGCACTGCCACCACCCACTACACCTGACCTCCGTAGACCTTGCGCAGATTACACCGTTTGGGTTATTGAGGGAAGCGGCCTGGGCCCCACTGTCTCTGCCGACACACACGATTCAGATCCAGGGACATTTCGTTCACATGCCGATTATTTACATTGAAACCCTGACCGTACTTACAATACAAATAGCGGCTCCGATCGCGGCCTGCTCGATGTTCCGGAGCGCCACTTAGAGCTCTTGCACACTGTGTTGGACCGGCGAACAAGTCAAACGGGGTGCTAAAGGGGAAATCGGCCTGTAGTTGGTTGCAGATGGGTGTAGATGTGCAACATTGAGGAAAGGGTCTGAATGTCCAATTTTCCATTTGAATTCTGTGTCTGCTACCTGATACAAGGTTGCAATGTAGACCATGGGTTGAACGGGGTAAAGGCTGGTGAAACGGCGTAGATACAAATTCCTCTCTTCAGGCTTGTTGCTAGATCAAAATTGATAGTTCGGATGCAAATTTGAGGAAAATTTTCCGTTCCCCCCAAACCAAAAATCACTGGTAGAACAAGAAATCACCCCAGAATGCCTTCCCTCCCACAGAACGCATCTTCAAATGCATTTGACTCATCAATTCTGACCCTTCAGGCCACTTTCTCCAGTGGCATGACCTTGTTGACTACGGCTTCCACTGCCAACAACTTCCTCAGAGCTACAGATGGCCCGTTTGCAGAGTTGAAAGAGCTTATTGCACAACATACTTCCATCGAAGACAGGCCACAATTCCAACCACTTGTCCCCCCCGATCAAATTGTGAAGGGGATTGTGCAGAAAATATGGGGTCATTCATCTATTGAGACAGTCGGAGATATTGGCGATATACTGGAGAAGGGACTTGTTACAGATGATTTGAGCCTCGAAGGTGCGTTGGTGTCTTTGTTGCTTACACCGTTTAGAAATACTCAAGGACCCCCTGCAGTTTTTTTAGAAGCTTGCATTGCCGGTTACGCACAGAAAAAGGGGAAGTCCCCCCAAGAAGTCATGAAGAGGTTCCGTTTACACAATCCCACTGAAGCGGGCCAAACGGCTTGGCAAACATGGCTTAAGCTTCACCGTAAGTTAACCACATACTCGCAAGATATTAGGAACTAATCATTTCCTAGCTGGAATTGACAGTCAAGAAGCAGCATGCCTGCGTAAATTACAGCAACAGGATATCGATAGGAAGTACCCTGACCAGGCAGAAGAAGCAAAAGCGTTCTATGATAAAATTCTGATACATTGCGGGGACCTTGTTTTATCGAAGGACGAGAGGGAGGCTCAACCAAATGAAGGCCTTTATCTGTTGCAGAAAATAACGGGAAAATATGCTGCTCAGGTATAGTACAGAATCCAGTAACTATCGCAATCGATTGTACTGAAAAATTTGCTGATAGCTCGCTGCACTCAGCTCCATTCATCCTGTTGGGGTGGCGTTAGTGGGGTTCATAGCAGATGACAAGCTTGCCCCTCGGGATTCGACTATCGCATTTACGAGCTCACCAATGATTGCGGAAATGGTCAAAGCTATGGGCCTACCCCTCACAGAGGATAGTGCCTTAGCCATGAGGAACTTCTACGACGGGATAAAGGCATTCAGGTACAAGGTTTATGCAGGAAAGGCACAAATAACTTACTCATATCCTTCCAGCCCATATCAACCCAACGCCATTAAACAGAGGTATGAGCAATTTGTCTCCTAGCCCGCATTGGCTGAAATAGGTGCAGAACCTTTCTTCAACATCTTGGGGCGTTTACGAACCCCGATAAATCTACCAGCGAGGTGTTTGGTGCCTCAAGCCTCATGAAGACCGTCGTGATGCACATGAAGCAAAGTGTCCATTTCAGCGATGATCTGGACAGGTATTTGGGAAATGGAACGGGAAACACGGCCATCAAATCAGAGGTTGAGGGCGATGCGAACAATGTGGATTACCACACACCTGCATTAAAAAGGAAGGAAGGCCTCGCCTTTGCAGACGAGACCTACGGCTCGCATCCCCAACGCCGCACTGAGTGTGCTGGGCGGCTTAAAGCAATCATTCGTATGTCCTTTTGCCGTGCCGTCTGATTGCTCATCTGACATCTACTTGTAGTGGAGGCAACAGGGATAACTGAGCTTGGGCACAACTGGAGAGTCGCCAACATACTTTCATTCATGCTTGAGCATCGTCTCCGTTTTGTTGGTTGGCATCGTGGTGTCCCACGCTTGAACAAGTCACTACCGTGCGATTGGACCCCACGCGAGTCTGCACGGTGTATAATGCAGCTCACTCACCAGGATCCGGAGCAGACGTTGAGGGTGGAACAAATGACAGATGGTGAGGAAAATGTCAATGAAACTTCAAAAAAACACAGCTCACCGGTTTGGGCTTACCAGACGAGTACCTGACGCGTGAGGTGCTACACTATGCACCAGATGCGAAAGGGAATATTACGAAATACCTATTGCCTGAACACGAGACAAGGAGGGCAATTGCGAGGACAGCGGTCGTCCCCGCACGAACCCAAAAACATAAGGACAGCACGCCAAACTCCCCAACTGTGGAGATGGAAGGAGATTCGGTTGGTGATAATCAAATATCATCCCCGTCTTCCAAGCGACGCAAGAAGTCCAAAGCCACTCGTGCACGCACCCTCACGAAGGCAAAACCTCCCCATGTGACACCTGGGGGCCACAACCAAATGAAAGAAGCCGCGGTACCAGAGAACGAGGTGAAAGGTCCACAGGACGATGGCATCGTACCCGAGACACCACCTCGCAACTCACCTGAACCGGGCGGGTCTTCATCATCATCAGTAAAGTTAGAGGCAATAAACCTGACAACGTTCCCATCGGGTGTACGCTCAGGCTTCCAGCAAGGGCGTGGACCGCAACTCCCTGATGACCCAGAAAACGACGTCTTCATGGAGCAAGCCGTTCTGGAATCACATACGCCAATGGTCATCCCTCCAATTAGGCTCATCCATCCAACACTGCATAGTACTCCCCTCAAAGTTCAACCAGTGTTGAAGATTAATGGAAGTACGCACCTCACTGTGAACGAAGGTCCAACGTCCCGGGCACCGTCGGAGGCACCGTCATCCGTATCAAGCCTAAGCGGTGAGCCTCCCACCTTTGACACCTTGTTCAGGTGTGCACGAAACTCAGTGTGGCGGGCTGCATCGAAAATGTTGCCGGCGGTTCGTTTGAAGGCGCTAATGGAAGAAAACGTTGAACTCCTAGTCAACATCGACATCATTGCCCTGCACGTTACCGAGAAGGAGCCACCTCCTGAAGTCTTAGATGTCACTCAACACTGGAGAATGATTAGCGCCGTTGGAAACGAGCTTCGTGACAGGGGGGCTGATGTAGGAAAGGTTGCCAGGAGGGTGGTCCAACTGCTTGACGAGTTGGAAGTGAATGACGACGAGGATGTGATAGCTACGTGGATACAGATGTTGCCCAGTTGAGTGACCCAAACATCACAACCGATCATTGGAAGGATACGTAGGTATCTTAAAATGAAAATATTGCACGCATCATTATTAAACCTATGGGCTGGGCACAAGTGCAAGGCGTAAGCTCAGCAAACGTAAAATACATCGGGAAGTTATATGCTACAAATTATTCTAGAGTATATACAAAGTGAACGGAAAACGGTCACAGACAGCTATTGCGTGATGCTCTCCGACTACTACTTGCCGCTTAACTCTTCTGGAGTCGGCTTGTTTGGGGGAGCAGGAGGGCTCTCTGCAACTTTGAGCGCAAAAAGACCAGTTTTTGGCTGCCAGCGAATGGACTCAAACTCTTCTTGAGGCGGGTTTCCTGATCTCTTCAACATCTCGGTTGATCGGAATTCAATGCCCTCGAAAAGCTGCCTCCCAGAATCGGCAATGAAACGGACAACATGAGGGTAAATAGAGTCTTCGGCAGGGTAGATCCGCTGGCGGAATGCGCGTTTGAAGCGGTGAAGGCGACAGAGAATGAGACAAAAATGAAGGAGGCCAAAGTACTCTTCTTCGCTTAACTCGAATGGCCTACGCAGGCATATTTTTTTTAACACTTCGCATTTGAAGGTCACCTCCACCATATTGAACGGCGTACGCCCTCGGCTGGTTGTCATCGTCATAATCCGGAAGCGATTGTATTCGAAGAGATCCTGTGAATACATGCGCGTCCATAGCTCTGTTGCTTCGGATGGTAATGTGTCGGGGCCCTGAGGGATGAGCGGGGCTGGTGCGTGATCCAGTAGGGTTTTGATTGTAGTTTTGTCAAATCCATGAGAAAAGACTTCACCAGTATATCCAAGCTCATAGACGCCAATGTACCCGCTTGGGGTATAATCCTGCATATTGATATCTCTGAGAAGGGCGTCAGGGAATCTTGCTTGGAGGTACCGCTTAAGGCTTTGGGCTTCCTCCTGTGTCTTGCAGAGTAGGTTAAGACAGTGCATCGAACCGTCCCACCTGTCCACTTTCTGATTCACCGTGCGGTCACGCACTTCTCGGTAGGCAAGAACGCCCCGCTGCTTGACCGCTTCCAAGTCATGACGTAGCTCCAGCGTAGGGCCTGACAGGCATATGGATATGCCTAGCCATGTGTCAGTGGCGGTAACAGAGCCGGCCTCGGACAACGAAATAGCACTGGACGTGCCAGTAAAGGGTACGGACTGATTCGACAACGGAAGGGGATGTTGAGGTTGGTAGTACGAGAAAGGGATTTTGATAAACGCCGCCATCAGTGGAGCATGCGCACCGATGGGGAATGGTACTCTCATTTTCTTCCATTTGGCCCCTTCCAAGGCCGCGCTCAAATGCAGGCCCTCCTTGTATTTTAAATCCAGCCAGACTCCTTGAAGCACACCCTTCATTAAGGTAGAGAGGTTTTTGAACGAAGTAGGATCCCCCTCAGGGGCAAGCGCTTTCAGACATTGTTCCATGGCAAAGCGCTGAGTAGGGGGATCATCTTGTGGAGCTGCGAGCAGGAATTGCTGTGGGCGGGAACATGTAACGGTTTCCGTAACAACAAAGTCGAATCCCACAGTGATATCCCCCTTCATGATGCCGTTCGAAGCCTTGGCCTGAGCACGGCTCCGTATCTCCTGTTGAAGGGCATGTTCTGCTGCATGATCATGCAACGGTGAACATGATCGACAGACTGCAAAGCGTTTTTCACCATATTCCACCCTCCAATGAGGAACTCCCCACCATTCCAGAGTGAGGGCAAAAGCCTGAGCAGAAGCACTGAGGGTGGAGTCGTGGACCTCGGTGTGAGTGCCGTCCGAGCCGTCGAAGATGGTCCCAATGGCTAATTTTTGAATTGGCCACGTCGGAAGTTCCATACCACCCAGTATGGCGCATGCATCGAGGGAAACGAGGAGGCAATAACGAAGATAGCCTCGTAGCTCTCCAATCCGACGTTCAATCTCACCAACCGTTTCATGGTGATAGTTCTCGGACTCCGCAATCATCCAGGATTGAAGCAGCTTCTCAAGGTAGACATCCGATTCATGCTTGAGTATCGCCATAGTTTCACGATGTGAAGGGAGGATTTCTGCGCGGCAGAGATGAGAAACGGTAGTCCGAACGTGGCGAAGAAGTTGTTTCAGCAACGAGTTCGTGCCTATAATCCGCTCCCTCCACTCAGACGTTGGGAGCCAATTCAAACCGTCAGGGGAACGTTGCAAGTCAATATTAAGAATAGGCGATGGGATATAATGAAAAGGGGAATGGCATTCGATAAGCGGGAGGTGCAGGCGGAGCAGGTCGAAGCTGACTGGTCTCCGACAAAAGTCCACAAACTCGCGATATCTTTGAGAGGTGTTAAGGACACTTGTCCTCGTTGAAGGGGTGGCGTTCACCCATGAGGCGTACGATCCATCATAGGAGCACATAGCATGGGTGTTCACCGCCATGATACGAATCGGCGTCTGACGGTAAGCGCGCTTCACGGTGCCACCTAGGACATCCTTTATGTATTAGACTGGGAATGAGGCGATAGCGATCAGCTTACGGGATAATTCTGTTCTCCAATTTTCAACGTGGGCCGCAGCCTCAGGGGTGGGGGAAAGTGGCTGAACGGGTCGAAGAGGCGCACCTGGCGAAAACATCACACTGTGTGAGAATAACAATTAAAACATTCCTAGACATACTATGCATACCTTGAATAACCATAGCATCTCTTAGCAAGGACGTTGTTCCTCCGTCCTGCGCCATGATCTGTTCAACTGAGATGAAGCGTGCGATATCTGGTGGTGGCGCCCTTAGTCTTGGCGGTGGATCGTAGGAGGAGGGCAGGGGGAGTGGACGATGGGGCGGGGATTCTGGACGGTACTGCGAGATGGGGACTGGGGTATGGGCCGATGGGATTTGGGCTTCGCTGAACCGAACGTCTTCCATGGATGGAGGAGGGTGACGACGTTCTGGGTCATACGGAGGTGCTGGCGGCTCCGCGGAGGATGGCAAGGGAAGTGAATGAGAAGGCTGGAATTCTGGTCGGTATTGGGGAATGGGAACGGAAGCTTGGGCCGATGGCATTCGGGCTTCGTGGAATCGACCTTCCACGGCTGGAGGCGGGGCGTGGTGGCGTGGTGGAGCGTATGGAGGCTTTTCAGGCCCATGGCGATGGCGTGCAAAGGTTCCGGATCCTGAACGGTGCGTGAAACGGGAAGAAGGACGAGAGACTTCATGGGGCGAAGGCGATCTGGAAGACACCAGACGTGGACGCCGGGAGCTTCGATGAAGTGGACGCTGCTCACCCTCTCGCACCTCAGAGCGATGGTACGAATCTGGTGGGAGACCAGGCGATCCTCTTCTTCGTGCAGGTGAGCGCTGGTGAGGGGAACGGCTTCGTCGACACCACTGGTGAACGGAGCTTGGCCTCTGAGGGGGGACCTGTGGACGCGGCGAACGCCCCCTAGGCCTTCCACCGTGCTGGGAGCGGAGGCGAGAGGTGCGTGACGTTGATAGTACAGGAGAATTATCCCTTTCTGAGGCTGACGCAGAAGGCTCCTCTTCATCCCAGTCATTCTCGCTAAGGAACTCTTCTGGATCGGATGAAACACCATCATCATCCTCCGGGCGCGGAACGGATGACCATGGAATCTCAGCAGGATATGTCCATCCTGTGTCAAAGTGTACAGAGAAAAGAACCGAACCGCCCCAGGAGGGTACGTTGGTCCGGCGGGCCTGTAACGGTTGCGATAACGGGTATCGTCGAATATTGAGGCCATCTCATGCAATATGCCGAGCGATCCTGATGCTGCATAATCGATATTCTCTATGTAGTGCTGCACGCAGATGCATTCCGCAATACCCTGGTCATTGTCCATTGTCGCCTTCCTCATAGACTTCGTCCACTCGGATGGGTCAAGCCTCTTGAGGAAGACTTCTCCGAAAGTCTTTCCTACAGTCCAGCCGGCTTTACCGTCAGGGTATGCGAAGGGAATAGGCTCGGGCGATGGTATAGGCGGCGGCATAGGATGAACAAAACACCGCAAATACCGTCGCGCTCCATGGGGAAATTGGTTATATTCTGGAGGAAGGAGTGCGGAGTCGTTTTGTATACATGAATTAATCGCATTTTGAAGCCACGGTCGGGGAATGAGGATTAAGGATGGAAGGACGTATACATCAAACACAGCATGGTAGTAATGCGTCGAGTACGATGGATCCAGTTTACATCTCTGAAACGTTCCATCCAGTGAATGATCCACAACAGGACTAATCACCTCCTCCACCTTCGCAATTCGTTCCGCGCCTGAAAGAAAGCGACCGGGACGCAGTGGGCCGTCCTGTGTGGGTGGCCCAAGTGCACGAATATAGAATACACCCTGATGGTTTACTTTCCAGCCTTGGTGAGCGCGCTCAGCATTGGGAACAGGGATAGGCGATGTCACAACAGCTTCAGAACTCATGTTCGCGAATGCAAATGCAGTGCAAGCTGGAGGAAAGTGGCTTCGTGGAGGAAGGGAGTAAGATGGCAGTTGGAAGATCAGCCGTGTGTAAAGCCAGGTGTGGCCTGGTATCGGGCTTCGAGCTAGGGTGCTGGGCGAAAAGGTGCAAAGGCGACAAACACAGAGATATCTATCGTACCCTGGTACAGCAGTGTGTAAGCACTCCGCACGACCTGAGTAGTTGGAGACGTGTCGAAAGCCGGGCGTGGCCTACCGGTGGGCTTTGCCCTGGGATGCCGAGCGAAGGGAAGTCAAAGCGATACCGCAGTGGAAAGATCTCTCGCACCCTGGTACAGCAGTGTGTAAACACCCCGCACGACCTGAGTGATTAGAGTGGGCGGGGGCATCTGATGTCTCTGTAATAGCAGCGAGTCGCTAGAACACTCTGCTTTCCAGAAACACCAAACGCCGCTAAGCTGCGGCTCCTCTGTTTCGAACGGGAACTGTAGAATATATTAAGTGAGGTTGTTACTTACTTGACGATGCGGCTATACGTCTGGGACCTGACTGAGAGAA